CTAACAATTGAAGCTACTTTTTTTCGCGGAGTAAAAATGCACAAGGAGAATTTAAAAAAATAACTGTTTATTTAATAATAAATTAATTAATTAATAAATTGATTCTGTTTTCCTTATCAATAGGGAAGGCAAAAGGTTTGTTAACGCGCGATTTTGCATTCTAAATTCAAAAATACGAGAATTGAAGTTTTTAATCACATCCATGTCACTTGATGACATGTTATATTAAAATTACAATAAAAAAAAATTAAAAACATAAAAACTAAAAAAATATAAAGAATTTGCAACAAAATTTAGTTAAATGTAACAAGGAGAACAAACTTGAGAATTGGTTAAATTAATGGATGGGATATATAAAAACAAACAAAAAGGGAATCAAACAACATACTCGTAATACTTACAGAATTCATTTTGACACCAGACATTTGAATTTAGAACATTATCATTCATAACATGCTTTCAGAAAAATTAAAAAGTAACAAATGTCTTTATGCGTCACGAACATAAGATATACAGTTTTAATTTTTTTTTTATTACAAACTACAACAACAGTATCATGTCTTGGAGTACTACAAAGCAGTGTGCTCTAATACACGTTTCCCTACGCCACACCAAAAATCAAATAATCGAATGTCAAATAATGATTAATCGAAAGAACATTTAGTCGAATGTTTTATGAAATGATCAAAATATGTAATATATTGTATTCATAATGTCAAATCGTCAATAAATTTTAAACTTAAATTATCAAAAATCAATTACATTATAATAAAATAACAAAATTTTCATCGTGCCTCCGATCAAACTGTTTATAATTACTCCTCTCCATCAAAAAGTTGCTTGAAAGAGATCGCTCTTAGCGATAAGGTCGCCCATTGTTTTCTCATTGTGATTATTTCTTGTAATTGTTTATATTTATAATAAGTTTACTATTGTAATCTTTTGGAGGAAACAATAAAGAGTATCTATCTATCTATTATACCATTATAAATTTAATGGATTTTCCGCCTTATTCATAAAAACATGAAATCTCATAAATCTATAGTAGTAAAAGTATTTTGTTTTTTTTCCTCTGCGCTAAATTCAATTACAATACAATTACAAAAATATATTTGAAAACCGAGTGATCGACTACGATTAATTATTTATATAATCGATTGATATTCGATGAATTGACTCGATATGGCGTAGGGAACCCACGTGCAGATGGCTGCGCGAAGTGCACTGCCTGTCACGCTACCTCGTCCATATGCCGCCTATGGTCTATGATATCTCCCCACCGCCTGGTGCCCGCGTGCAGTGCCGACATCTCGCAGTGCAATATGTGCTATACACACATACATATATACTTATAACTATTACATACATCAAATACATATATATATATATATATATATATATATATATATATATATATATAGAGATGTTTTCTTCCATGAATTCTCAGATTATGGAATGAACTCCCTGTCGAGGTTTTTCCAAGAGACCACAGCATGGGGTTCTTCAAAAGGTAGTGTAAAGAGGTTGCTTCAGAGTCGACAACGCGCACGTAATACCCCTAGTATTGCAGGCGTTCATAGGCTACGGTAACTGCTTACCATCAGGCGGGCCGTATGCTTATTTGCCACTTCAGTGGCATAAAAGACCGTATTGTAACGAAGGTAAGAGTTAAATGTTTGGAACAGACATGAAGCAAGAGAAATATGTAAGGAATAGCTGTTTCTCGCGACGCCGCCCACGTTGAAACACGAATGGGACAGAGGTGACCAAGCAAACTACTTTTGTACAAAGTCTCCCTCTGGTTCACATATAATATTGCATGTATATTTAATATTATTATGTAATAATATGACCGTTCCTTATGCCAGTCTATGGGGAAACCTATGTTCAACAGTGGACGGATTATGGTTTACAGAAATATTAAAGAAAAAAAATTATATAATTCTGACATTAAAGACGTAAGTTCAGAATTCGGTAGGATTGGGCGGGTTAAATTATCCATATGGAACCCGATTGGTGGGCAAAGATCCCTCATTGGATACCCACTGATTGATAACGACGCCGAGCCCAACCCAGGAAGCGATAACAGAAAGATCTAAACGTATTTAAAAGGGACTCGTTCGAGGTGGCGATTAACAGGAAATTTTGGAAGGACATATGGGAAACTTGTCCAGCAATGGGACATCATGGGTTAATAACAGAATACATAATTATAGTACTATATAAACTATATAAAGTTAAATTTTATCAAGACTTTACAGCATAAATTACATCATATACCTCTCACATCTCATATCATGCGATCCCTTCATATCCAATATCTCCATAATGAACGGTTAGAATAAAAAAATAGACCTCACCTTAGGTTTGGCCGTAAGCATTGGAGGATCGTTCCAGCCCGGCGCCACGGGCTTCTGTACGGGCGGCGGCTCCGGCTGATTGTTGTAGTAGCCGCCGTTCACCGCCGGGTTCATCGGGTTTAATGGGTTGACGGGATTTACAGGATTTAATGGGTTAACGGGATTTAATGGGTTGACGGGATTCAACGGATTCGGATTCATAATATTCGGAGGATTTATAGAGTTGACGGGATTGACAGGAGCGAAGCTGGACGGCACGCTGGCAGAGCTGTACTGGTCGGGGAGGGGGCTGTTGTAGCCGGCGGCCGAGAATGGCGGCTGCGGGGGGCTGTTGAAACTGTACTGGTTGTACAGCGGCGCCGACTGCACCGACGGGTCCACTTTGTATTTCGATCGAGACGTTATGCCGCCTAAAAACAATACCGCTCATGACTAAGGGTCCCCAATGGTCCCGAAACTAGTCGCAATTTCTCGACTAAAGTTTGTAAGTTAATGCATTAAAAAATAATACCGTAATTTCAAATATGATCGCCATTACGGAATCTTGTTTCCCTATTGTTCGCTATATTATATATAGTATGCATGTTTGCCTCACGTCTGTGGGTACCTGAGGTAAGTAATCCTGTACTCTTTGGGTTATTTATCTGAGGCAAGCGCTGTCAAATTTTGTATACTGTGTCCGTTGACAAAAAGGTATAATATAAAATAAATATGAATCAAACAAACCGGACTGCGGGCCGACGCTGCCTGGACGCGGCGGCTGTGGCGGCTGTGGCGGCTGCGGCTGCAGCACTTGCGGCTGCGGCGGCTGCGGCGGCTGCAGCGGCTGCGGGGGAGGCGGCGCGTAGCTGTTGTGCTGCGGGTACGCGCTGATCGGCGCCGGAACCGATGCCTGCTGCCACGGCTGTTGCCACGGCTGCTGCTCGTAGCCTGACATCATGATACTTGTGTTTATTTGATTATCTTTTTCTACGTATTCTTGTCTGGATTATCTCAATATTGTTATACAAAAATATCGATCCTAATAAAAATAATTACACTTTTTAAATCACATCAGCCATTAACTGTTCACCTACTGAACATAAGCCTCCCCCATAAGAGGGGTTTCATCAGTAGTTGTCATGCTTGGCAAGCGGGTTAGCAACCGCAGCTAGGGATGCTACTGTTTATCTCTAATTGATTAATGTTAACTTATTCTTATAACCTACAACCGGTGTTTCCCGGGGGTAAAGGAATTGTTAGCAATGGAGTTTGACAGCCCCATTGCTAGCAGTATGCCTTATTAGGTCGACCTCCACGCGGTTCCCCCTGGAAACCATCGTGAACAATTCTTGTTGAATTCGTCACGATGGGCTAACTGACCTGCTTCATCCTCACCTATCATCCTTCACTGGTGCCCCGCTGGTGTATACCGATAGCGCGGGTGGGGTTACCATTCCATTATCATCCATTACAAAAAACCGGTGTTTCCCAACGTGGGGCCCACCTCCCACAGGAGGCCAATTTGATAATTAAGGGAGGAGGCAGTTAAAAAATGGACTCCAAGTGATTTTAACCCTCTTGCTCAGAGTCATTTAATTGCTACGAGTAGACATCGGTGCCAAATTTAACAATCAAAAAAGCAAATAAAAAAAATGCTATAAATATTTATTTATGGTGCAATAAAGAGTTAAATAAATAAATGTTTCTCAGTATAGAATATTGCAGTCCTTGTATTATGCTGAATATACTGATATATCGTCGTGTAGGTCCCGGCATAGAATGGACCAGCCCTTCCTTTCCCGTAGGTGTCGTAAAAGGCTAAGGAAGCTTATGGTGGAGGGATGGGCAGCAGCGCCCCTCTTAAAACATCTCTAACTGCGGTTGTCAACCCGCCTGCCAAGCGTGGCAACTACTAGCAAATCTCCCTTTATGGGGAAGGCTCATGTCCAGCAGTGGACAGTTAACGGCTGAAATAATAATAAAAAAAATACTGCTATATGTTATAGAACAAGTGCGTGTAATGTACCGGCGTTGTAGGCGTGCGTGACGTCACCGTGCGCGAACGAGCTGCGCTTGTGTGCGTGCCTCGGGCCGCGCGTCGTACTCGTCATGTTTTCAGCCTGCACACAGGGAAACAGATTCAATATAATGTTTTATTTCAGTAATGGGTTCAAATAGACTTCCACGTGGTTCCCCCTGGAAACCATCGTGGTTAATTCGTCAGGATGGGCTAACGGATCTGTTTTCATCCTCATCAGTCATCTATCACTGATGCCCCATTAATGTATGCACCCATTAAAAAAATAGGGGAAGAGAAAGATCCAGGCATAGTTTGTTTTTTTTTATTTTTCAATGTATGACAATGGAAAGCGCGGCCAGCGGCGCGGCGCCGCCGTCGGCCAGCGCCGCCAGTATGGTGTGGCAGTGGAGGTGTGTGTGGCTGTGGGCCGTGTACCTGGTGCGCGGGCAGGCGCAGCGCGGCCCGCAGGCGCGCGGCCAGCGGCGCGGCGCCGCCGTCGGCCAGCGCCGCCAGTATGGTGTGGCAGTGGAGGTGTGTGTGGCTGTGGGCCGTGTACCTGGTGCGCGGGCAGGCGCAGCGCGGCCCGCAGGCGCGCGGCCAGCGGCGCGGCGCCGCCGTCGGCCAGCGCGCGCAGCGCCGCCGCCTCCTCGCCCTGCGCCGCCAGCCGCAGCGCGTACTGCGCCACCACGCGCTCCAGCTGGCCGCCCGGCTACGACACACAAGTACAAAAATAGTAAATTACTGCAGCGGCCAGCAACTGAGGTATTGATGGACGAACGTGCAAATGTGGGCCGAGGCGTAACCGAGACACACATACGTGAATGCATCAATGCCTAGTTGTGGCCAAGGCTTGTATAGTACTTTTCTCAAACAATGCGCGGAAATCAAAAACACAATTTTACTTTTTATTAGTAATAGTACCTCCTTGGTAGCCATGTTTCGAAGTAAAAATCATTCCATTTTTAAATTACAAGACAGATATGAGTTTCCAAGCATGTTTGAGAAAAAGAATATCTTACACATAGAGTAAGATACAATTCAATTAAAATCGCCTATCGTCCGCATAACGCGTCTGTACAACGATATTGTAAAAACCAAACCTGAACTTGATATTCACAACGATAGTCACTCTGTGTTCATGGCTAAATTAAAATGTTGATGTACCTCGCCATTACATTATATTTATTTATAATTTAAAATAATTTGATTACAATTTACATTATTTATATTATATAATTATTCATGTTGTTAATATTTTTACTCATTTAATGACATTTAATAATTTAATTCTATTTTAATGTTTGTAATCCTATAAATTCATAAAAGAAACATAAGGCATGTTGTGGTTGCCTATAAATGTAAGAACAGTTAGATCTAATCTACCAGTGTATTGTATTGAAATGATTAGCTGTATCTTATGTTGGTAATCCTATAAATAAATAATCGAATTCGATACTAATTTTATATTTTTTTTTTTTTAAATATTGTTCTAGTCACGCCATCTTTCAATGTAGATTATTTAAAAAAAAATCTAATCAAGTGAATATAACTAAAATATTTAACGCACAGGACGAAACACTTCAACGACTCTAATAATATCACTACATAGTATAAAACAAAGTCGCTGTCGCTGTCTGTCCATTCCTATGTATGCTTAAATCTTTACAAAACACTACGCAACTGATTTGGAAGCTGTTTTTTTTTTTTTTAATAGATAGAGTAATTCAAGAGGAAGGTTTATATGTATAATACATGCATAGTATAGTAGAGAAACACTGATAAATTTAGAGATTTCCAATGTGATGTTGTAAATAACATTTGCGCTTACTACGCGAACGCTGGCTGAACCCCACGAGATAAATCAAAATAATGTACTACAGTATTGTACACATTAAAAAGGTCAACAAAAAAGTCCGCGATGGTATATGTCTATCTCTTAAGGATAACCCACAATAACCATTTTTTATCCTTAACATTTTACAGGAAAAAATGGCTTATTTACGAAGTGATTTTAAACAATAGATCATTAATTTTTATCCAATTGTGTACCTTAAATACATTGTCCATTTAATATAGATCAATATGGCCTTTTACAGCATGTAATTTTAACGAATATTTTCGAAGATATTACAGATTTAAAATACACGAACATAGCGGTTGCGTCGGTACCGGCCGGGGGGGGGGGGCTATTTAATAATATATTTATTTATTAGAATATAATATAACAATATATAATATATAATGTTTCCAGCGTACAAATATTTAAAATCATATGAATTATTACAACCAGTATGGATACATTACAATTTCTCAGTTAATTATATATTTTTTATTATATAAGTCTAAATTCTGTAAATATTTCTATGAACCTACATAAGATGTATGTCATTTGTATAAAGCAATATAAATATAAGAGGCGGTATAGTAACCTGCACGGGGCGCCCCCTGGCGGCGGCGGCGCGCTGCGCGAGGCGGGCGAGCGCGGGCAGGCGGTCGGCGGCGGCGGCGTCGGCGGCGGCGGCGCGCGCCCAGCGGCCGGCCAGCACGTCCGCGCTCATGGCGCACAGGTAGCACACCGTGGCCGCTTCCGACAACCCGCTGTCCGGCTCCGACGACAGCTTGTCGCCCAGCATCTCTGTGCGCACAATATTTATACTAATGTAAATGTACTGTAAATACTATTTTAATATTTTTATACTATTATATTATATAATAATTTTATTACTATTTAAAATACCAACTCGATAACCATGTTAATATTTGACCTCCTCGTACACTGTTGTTATAGTACATTACTGCAGCGGCCGGCAAGAGAGGCATTGATGGACGAACGATTTCGATTTCATTCTTTCATTCTTCCATTGAACAAAATTTTCATAGGTTTTCAAATATTTTTCTTTAGATTTTGGCGGCAACAAGTTTTCTACTACGGCTCTTGCTGACTCTTGAATTTCAGGTGGCGTTAAAATAATTTCATTACACTCATTGTCTTCACTTGAACTCATTTTGTCAAATACAAAAGTATTTAAAACCAATGACAAAGTTGACGAACAACTAATAACAATAGTTTTTTACGCGCCAAAGTTTTTTTTTTTTTCACTAAACAGCTTTCTATGTGCAAGCCAGTTCGAAATTTAAATTAAACCTTTGATAAATTACCTCTTTGATCGCCATGTTGCGGAGTAGAAGATCGTTCCATTTTTAAATTACACGACAAATATGATTTTACATAATAATTTATTTGGCCGCTAAACACGACAGATATGGATTTTCATACAACTATTGCCGGCCGCTGCTCGACCAGTACCGCAAGTTCCATTTATCTCGAAGAAGATTGTCAAAATAATGCTCAAATTTCCAAGCATGTTTGAGAAAATATTATTTTCTCAAACATGCTTGTAAATGTGAGCATTATTTTGACAATCTTCTTTGAGATAAATCAAAATTGCCGTACTGGCCAGATACATGCGGGCAGCGGCCGGCAAAAGTTGCATGAAAATCCATATCTGTCGTGTTTTGCGTGCGGATACATTACTATGTAAACTCATATCTGTCCTGTAATTTAAAAATGGAGTGATCTTTTACTTCGAAACATGGCTACCAAGAAGGTAACTAATAAAAGATTTTATTTAAATTTCGAAAAGGCTTACAAATAGAAAGCTGTTTATTGAAAAAAAAAAAAGAAAGGAACATTATGGCGCGTGAAAAATTATTATTGTTCGTTATTCGTCATTGAACTTAAAAAGTAAAATTGTGTTTTTGATTTCCGCGCATTGTTTGAGAAAAGTACTATACAAGCCTTGGCCACAACTAGGCATTGATGGACTCACGTATGTGTGCCTCGGCTACGCCTCGGCTACGCCTCGGCCCACATTTGCACGTTCGTCCATCAATGCCTCAGTTGCTGGCCGCTGCAGTAATGTACTATTTACCTTATCTCTCTTTTGATGTTGTACAATAAAAAGAATTATTAAAGAATCTATATTAACAGCGATAATTTTATTTGCACCTATTTTCTACTTAATAAGAATCCGCTTTCTTCCCGTATTACACTTTACACTATACGAATGATGTAAAATATATGAATGATAAAATAAAAACTGTAAAACATATGGTTGCCTCTTTTCTTCTTATGCAAATATAATTAAAAAGGGGACGAAAGATACACCATCAGTTGTCATTTTTCTCAATTCACAGCAGACTAGTATATAGACAATGTTTGATAAGTCAATTTTATTTGTCAATGACAAATTTTACATTACTAGATTATATATTAGAGACAGTTTATGTAGAAAGTATGCGAGCAGGTTGTATCTATATTTGATAGGGTTATATGGGCGTGTAACATTTTCAATGGACTGGCCTGGTATGAATTAACAATTTGATCAATTCTTCCTATGTAATTCCTTGTTGTTAGCGTCGAGTCGGCTGCCGGTTGCGGACAGTACCTGCGTATCGGGGGGAAAGGGATTGTTAGTAACGGGGTCTAATGAACCCATTGCCAACAATACACCCTATCAGGTCGACCTCCACGCGGTTCCCCCTGGAAACCATCGTGATTAATTCTAGAGGAATTCGTCACAATGGGCCAACTGACTTGCTTTCATCATCACCTATCATCCGTCACTGGTGCCCCGCCAGCGTATACCGATAGCGCAGGCGGGGTTACCATTCCACTATCACCCTTTAAAAAAAGTACCTGCGTATTGCGCGAGGTCGGCGGCGTCGCAGTGCGCCAGCAGCAGGCCGAGGGTAGCGCGCCAGCAGCGCGGCGCGGCGGCCGCCACCAGCGCCGCCCAGCGGCCGCGCAGCACGGCGCCCGCCGCCAGCGACACCGGGTCCGCCGCCGCGCGCCGCAGGTGCTGCTGCTGCACCGCCTGCACCAGCTCCGGGCTGCCTGCGGGGCCACGCTCGTTACGCACCGCGCACCGCGCATACATGGAGGACTCTTATCGATAAACAACAAAATTACAGGATACAGAGAAATAACACCTGAGTCCTCAGGAATAGCAACCCATGAGGTATAACGCATACCCCCCATGTGTAATGAATTTCCGCTTAACTAGCTGGTAGTTTTTTTATGCTATTTAGAATGGAAAACAAGCTGACGTCCCACCTGATGGAAAGTGGTAACCGTCGCCTATAGACATAAGCAGTGCCATGGTTATAACAGAGGATACCGTTTCGCCCTATACGTTGCTATTCCTGAAACTCAGATGTTATTCCTCTGTACCCTGTAAATTTACTGCCATATCCCACCCTTCAAACCGAAACACAGCCATGTAAACACAACTGCTTCACAGTGGAAACACGACTGGGACAGCGGTACCTTTTTTTTTTAACGTCTGGAAAATACTTTGTGCAGACCCGTACTGTGGGAATCCCCCCATAAGGTGGGAGTGTACCCAACAAAAACCAGACGTTATACCCTAGAGGTGCCATATGTCGGAGACATGGGTTCGTGTTCGCACTCACTACATCTCCGTCGGCAGCGACCCGCCCCCTGATGGTAAGAGCAGGTCTCCTCTCTCAAGATAGGATGGCTGGCGTGCTCACCCTACCACTCGGGGGATGCGCCGGTATATTAGCACATCCCCCAGGGGGACAGAGGTACCTAAGCAAACGACTTTTGTACGAAGTTTCCCTCTGGTTTCGGGAGATTCCCTCACCTCAATACAACCCACGACATCTGATAGTCGTTAGTCTTTTATTCAAAAATATTCCACGCGTCTTACAATGCGTAACACATATAACTTTACAAACATCTAACTTACCCAAGGACGCGATGATAAGAGCATCGGCCACTCTGTCCGCTTCCAAGCACAGTTCGACCGCCTCCTCCAAGTTACCGCACACGAGCGCGCGGCAAATCAAACTAGTCGAGTCTGCAATGCAACAAGAATCGTGACGTGGCGTGAATTTACTGGGTATAAAGGAATAACATCTGAGTCCTCAGGTATGGCAACTCATGGGGGGTATCATGGGCGAAACAGTGTACTCTAGTAGATTTCAACCGTGTTTCAACCGTAAAGCAGTTGTGTTTGCATGACTGTGTTTCGGTTTGAAGGGTGGGCTATGGCGTGAATTTACAGGGTACAGAGGAATAACACCTGATTCCTCAGGAATGGCAACGCATGCGGGGTTATGTTAAGTCCATGGTACTGCTCATGTCTATAGGCGACGGTTACCACTTTCCATCAGGTGGGCCGTCAGCTTGTTTGCCATTCTAAGTTGTATATAAAAAAAAAGACTGGGGCAAATGAGCGTGAGGCTCGCCTGGTGGTAAGTGACTACCGCTGCCCGTCATACCAATGGAGGTTCTGTCAGAATCTGCCACCATTGGCAGGATTGGCAACCGAAGTTAGGCTTTTAGAAATGTTTTAAGAGGGACGCTGCTGCCCTTCCCTCGGTGTCCCTTAGTCGGCTCTTACGACACCCACGGGAAGAGAAGGGGTGGACCATTCTATACTGGGACCACACAGCGAATTATTATATTACGAATACAGTTAGATTTATATAAGACAGAATCTTGTCTATAAACAACGAAGTATAAAAATTAATAACATACCTTCACCATTTGGTATGACAACGTTAGTGGCGGTTGGTTCAAGGTCGATGTTGGCGAGCTTCCTCTCGAGCAGCGCGGGACCGTCCTGCCAAACCAATTATATACTTACTTATTGACAACTTTTTGTAAAAAAAAAATACACAACAAGCGTCCTTAATGCCTTTATAACATTCGCTGACCTCCCCCCCCCCCCCTCACTATCCGTGTATCCACAATTAATATTCACTGATCGTTACTTATGATCATTCGAAAAAAGAACACACTAAGGTTGATTCCAAACTGGTACGTATGTAGGTACATATATATGGCCTTTTTAACCGACTTAAAAAAAGTTAGTGGTTCTAAATTCTATTGTTAATTTTTATGTATGTTAACCCATAACTCCGTCATTTATAAGCCAATTTGGACAATTCTTTATCTGAAAAGGTATACTTTCAGTTTGAAACATTTACAAAATCGACTTTTTCGATCGAATCGAGTTTACTTACGTAGTTTAGTTTTAAATCAACATTACTAGTTTTACCACATTTGAAATTGGTTTTTTCAAACTTAAATTATATTTCCTTAATAATTTACATTTAAATGATAATACAAATTGTTACAACGACTGAAACGTTAGGACAGACGAGTAGAGACGAGTAAAGCCGAGTGCAAGCGAATAGAGCCGAACAGTGGCGTGTACTTACCGAACGATCTGCGGCTGCGCCGACGACTTCACCCTCGGTATCCGTGGACTCGCCCTGCGGCCGCCCGCACGTTAGTAAACAGAGGTCGAAGCGGGTTATATAAATAGGGAGAAGTCTGAATCCAAATCATTTCAATACAGTGTCCTATCAGGAAAACTGGACATTTTTCCTATTCTTTTATTGTATGCAATTTAAAATGGCAAACAAGCTGACGGCCCACCTGATGGTAAGTGGTAACCGTCACTTATAGACATGAACAGTACCGTGGACATAACAGAGTATACTGTTTCGCCCGTGATACCTCCCATACGTTGCCACTCCAGAGGACTCGGGTGTTATTCCTCTGTACCCTGTAAATTCACTGCCATATACCACCCTTCAAGCCGAAACACAGCCATGCAAAAACAACTATTTCACGGTAGAAACACGAATGGGACATAGGTGCCCAAGCAAAAAACTATGATTAGGAAAAACATTCAGTTTTACTGGTAAAACACTTAAGGATGCTAATAATTTAGATTTCATATACAAATAATTATGAGTTTTGATGACAAGCAGAAGGAGTCAAGAGTAAAACAAGGTGTAATTATTTATATAACATTAGAATTTTAGAAAAGAGTACGAGCTTTTGCATACATTTAGTTGTAAAATATAGTATTTTTAGTACATTGCTGCAGCGGCCAGCAACTGAGGCATTGATGGACGAACGTGCAAATGTGGGCCGAGGTGTAGCCGAGGCACACATACGTGAGTCCATCAATGCCTAGTTGTGGCCAAGGCTTGTATAGTACTTTTCTCAAACAATGCGCGGAAATCAAAAACACAATTTTACTTTTTAAGTTCAATGACGAATAACGAATAATAATAATTTTTCACGCGCCATAATGTTCTTTTGTTTTTTTTTTCAATAAACAGCTTTCTATTTGCAAGCCAGTTCGAAATATAAATAACACCTTTTATTAGTTGCCTCCTTGGTAGCCATGTTTCGAAGTAAAAGGTCATTCCATTTTTAAATTACAGGACAGATATGAGTTTACATAGTAATTTATCTGGCCGCAAAACACGACAGATATGGATTTTCATACAACTTTTGCCGGCCGCTGCCCGCATATATCTGGCCAGTACGGCAATTTTGATTTATCTCGAAGAAGATTGTCAAAATAATGCTCACATTTCCAAGCATGTTTGAGCAAAAGTTAATTTGATATTTGCTAGAATTTTACACTATATGAGACACGAGACAAGGTTAAGGATGCGAGAACTTTTATATATATTTATATAGTACTCACCCGACTGAGACCGGAGAGGTCCTGTGTACCGTCCGTAGCCGAGATACTCTTGAATTTTGAAGGCAGCTCGTCTTGTTTGTAACCTTTATAGGAAATATTACCTTTATAAGTCATATTTTAAGTATTCTGATATTAAAAAATATATAATATTTAACAAAGAGATTAAATGGGTTAAACAAAATTCTTCACTTATTTCATTAACTATTCATGGATATTGTTGTACATACATACATATCTGTCACGCCTGTCTCCCATTAGGATAGGCAGAAACAATGGAACGCCAAATGCTTCGATTCAAACAAACCTCTTTCGCTTCCTCCACATTCATCAATCTTTTCATACACGCTCGCCGGTTACGGGTTCTTTTAATTTGGCCCTTCCTCAGCACGTCGCCTATTTGGTCGACATACGTCCGTCTAGGGCGGCCCCTACCGACATCTCCATTCATTCTTGCTCAATAAATCAGGATATTGTTGTATTAGTCGATAACAGCCTCCTCCATGGGGGGGGGGGGGGGGGGGGGGGGGGGGGGCATTGCCAGTAGTTGTCACGCTTGGCAGGCGGGTTGGCATCCGCAATTAAGATTTCAACCGTGTTTCAACCGTAAAGCAGTTGTGTTTGCATGAGGCTGTGTTTCGATTTAAAGGGTGGGATATAGCGTAAATTTACAGGGTACAGAGGAATAACACCTGAGTCCTCAGGAATGGCAACGCATGGGGGGTATCATGGGCGAAACGGTATACTCTGTTACGTCCATGGTACTGCTCATGTGTATAGGCGACGGTTACCACTTTCCATCTGGTGAGCCGTCAGCTTGTTTGCCATTCTAAGTTGTATAGAAAGCTCAGCAATGGATAATTAACGGCTGATATGATGTTGATAGAAATCCTTAGCTTCTTGTAGAAATGGCAATACATGGCGACTAATGGAACTTAATGGCAAAAGGATGAGTAGCAGCTCCCCTCTTAAAACAACACTAAAATCCTAACTGCAGTTGCCAAGCCGCCTGCTAAGCGTGGCAACTACTGACAAAACTCCCCCTAATAGGGGAAGGCCTATGTCCAGCTGTGGACAGTTAACGGCCAATCTGATGATGACGCAAAAATACCACAGTCCTTGTAGAAATAACAACACATGAGGGGTACTGTGGGTGTCACAGTGTATTCTGTAAAGTTCACGGCGCTGTTCATCTTTATAGGCGACAGTTACCACTTTCCATCAGGTGGGCCGTATGCTTATTAACTATTTTTACTATCATAAAAGTGTAATTAAAACGTCACAAAACTAACCTAACAAGTTGAGTGCCTCATTGCGGAAGTCGGGCAGGAAGTTGGCGCGCAGGAAGAACCACGTGTAGCGCTCGTCCTGGTCCGTCGCCTGGTCGCCCTGCTGCCGGCAGTACCTGCCGACCACACACTTCATCACAGCCCACAACAACGTGCATACATATAAAAAAAAAATTATCGACAACAAAAAAATAACAATCAATGTGACCATACTTTTGTTCTATCACCAATAGTTTCCGCAGCGCACGCGATCAAAGATATTTTATAGCATTTTTTTACACCTTGAGTTACGTTACTAAAGTTTTAGTAAGAATCCCTAATCTTTTCTAGCAATAAATATAGCCTATGTTACTCAGGGTGAACATAGCTTTCTAATGATGAAAGAATTTTTGAAATCGGCAAAGTAGTTTTTGAGTTTATTCATTACAAACATACATACACACAAAAATACTAATCTTTTCTCTTCAAAAGATAAAGTAACTTTTACCAAAATTTTTTTATTGAAATTGGTTCAAATGAGTTGCTTATATAGAGCGTTCACTGTAATAATATATCGCCATGTAGGTCCCGGCATAGAATGGACCACCCCTTTTTTTATTATTATAAATTAAGCCACGATGTTTTCCAGGGGGAACCATGTGGGGGTCGATCTGACGGGTATATTGGTAGTAATAGGACCCTTAGTCTCCATTACTGACAATTCCTTCCCCTTTTACGTAGTATTCGAGACAGCTCACAAGATAGGCTAGTGTTTATCTTGGTGGAACGTGGGAAGCGGCGTATATCGACTAGTATAATATGAAGGCGCGTTACTCGGCGAGGCTGTGGTGGGCGGCCGCGTCGCCGAGCGCGGCGTCGAGCTGCGCGGCGCGCGCGGCCAGCTGCGGCTCGCTCACCACGCGCCAGATCCGCACCACCCGCTGCGGCCCGTTCTCCGTTTGGTTTTGCTCGATCGTCACCAGTTTGCCGCCGAACTGTACATACAATTTTATGTTAAAAAAAACACGAAATGACTAGTAATGATGTTTGGTGTTCCTATTGCTAAGTGTACTCTATTAGAGGGACCTTCACATGATCCCTCTTGGGAATTACTGCGATTTCCAAGAGGGACATCGTAAAGGTGAATTCGTTACAGGGAAATAACTAGTTTTTTCTCAAACACGCTTGGAAATGTGAGCATTATTTTGACAATCTTCTTCGAGATAAATCAAAATTGCCGTACTGGCCAGATACATGCGGGCAGCGGCCGGCAAAAGTTGTATGCAAATCCATATCTGTCGTGTTTTGCGGCCACATAAATTACTATGTAAACTCATATCTGTCCTGTAATTTAAAAATGGAATAACCTTTTTTTTCGAAACACGGCTATCAAGGAGTGCCTAATAAAAGGTTTATTTAAAATTCGAACTGGCTTGCAAATAGAAAGTTGTTGGTCTTAAAATTGTCAAAATAATGCTCACATTTCCAAGCATGTTTGAGAAATAATTTTAATCTGTCAACCTACAGTGGTGTTTGTTCAGCATGCACCGATAGTGTAGATGGGGATATCATTTCTATTAGCATCTATTAAAAAAGCATTATGGACATACAGAATATCTATTACCTCTTGTGTATTTTCATTTATGAAAATTAAGATGTATATTTTTAATTTATTAATTTTACTGTTTGATTTTTTTTTTTATACGACTTAGAATGGCAAATAAGTTGACGGCCCACCTGATAGAAAGCGGTAACTGTCGCCTATAGACATGAGCTGTACCATGGACGTAACAGTAGATACATATACTGTTTCGCCTATGATACTCTCTATGTGTTGCCGTTCTTGAGGACTTAGGTGTTACCTCCGTACCCAGTAAATTACCATAACCCACTCAACGCCGTAACCCACCCTTCAAACCGAAACACAGCCATGCAAACACAACTGTTTCACGGTTGAAACACGAATGGGAGAGAGGTACTCAAGCAATCGACTTTTGTATAAAGTCTCCCTCTGTTTGATAAATATTCTTTATTTAATGTGTACAATTAATTATGTTGTATAAGTTTTGTGTAACGGAGTCGGCATGTGTATGTGAGTGCGTGTGCAAGTGCGTGTGCAAGTGCGGTATGGGTAGGGCGTGACTGTGTGTACGGATGGAGTGCGAGCGTGAGTATAGGTGATGTGTGTATGAGGTGAGAATAGGGTGCGCGGGCGGCGCGTGTGTAGTGTGTAGTGTGTAGTGTGTAGTGTGTAGTGTGTAGTGTGTAGTGTGCGTGGTGCGTGTGTGGTGCGCGTGGCGCGCGCGTGTGTAGTGTGTAGTGTGTAGTGTGTAGTGTGCGTGGTGCGTGTGTGGTGCGCGTGGCGCGCGTCCAGACCGCGTGGCGCGCCGGCGGCGCGCGCAGCCAGGCGGGCGGGCGCGGCGGGTGCGCGGGCGGCGCGTGTGTAGTGTGTAGTGTGTAGTGTGTAGTGTGCGTGGTGCGTGTGTGGTGCGCGTGGCGCGCGTACAGACCGCGTGGCGCGCGGCGGCGCGGCGCAGCCAGGCGGGCGGGCGCGGCGGGTGCGCGGGCGGCGCGTGTGTAGTGTGTAGTGTGTAGTGTGTAGTGTGTAGTGTGTAGTGTGTAGTGTGCGTGGTGCGTGTGTGGTGCGCGTGGCGCGCGTACAAGACCGCGTGGCGCGCGGCGGCGCGGCGCAGCCAGGCGGGCGGGCGCGGCGGGTGCGCGGGCGGCGCGTGTGTAGTGTGTAGTGTGTAGTGTGTAGTGTGCGTGGTGCGTGTGTGACTCCCGGGACTAGGCGGTAGCGCGGGTGGCGCGCGCGGCGTCGCGGCGCAGCCGGGCGGGCGGGCGCGGCGGGTGCGCGGGCGGCGCGTGTGTGTGTAGTGTGTAGTGTGTAGTGTGTAGTGTGTGTGCGCGTGGTGTGCGCGTGTGTGTGTGTGTGTGTAGTGTGGTGCGCGTGGTGTGCGCGTGTGGTGCGCGCGTGGTGCGCGTGGCGCGCGTACAGACCGCGTGGCGCGCGGCGGCGCGGCGCAGCCAGGCGGGCGGGCGCGGCGGGTGCGCGGGCGGCGCGTGTGTAGTGTGTAGTGTGTAGTGTGTAGTGTGCGTGGTGCGTGTGTGGTGCGCGTGGCGCGCGTACAGACCGCGTGGCGCGCGGCGGCGCGGCGCAGCCAGGCGGGCGGGCGCGGCGGGTGCGCGGGCGGCGCGTGTGTAGTGTGTAGTGTGTAGTGTGTAGTGTGGTGCGCGTGGTGTGCGCGTGTGGTGCGCGCGTGGTGCGCGTGGCGCGCGTACAGACCGCGTGGCGCGCGGCGGCGCGGCGCAGCCAGGCGGGCGGGCGCGGCGGGTGCGCGGGCGGCGCGTGTGTAGTGTGTAGTGTGTAGTGTGTAGTGTGGTGCGCGTGGTGTGCGCGTGTGGTGCGCGCGTGGCGCGCGCGCGTACAGACCGCGTGGCGCGCGGCGGCGCGGCGCAGCCGGGCGGGCGGGCGCGGCGGGTGCGCGGGCGGCGCGTGTGTAGTGTGTAGTGTGTAGTGTGTAGTGTGTAGTGTGTAGCGTGGTGTGCGCGTGTGGTGCGCGCGTGGTGCGCGTGGCGCGCGTACAGACCGCGTGGCGCGCGGCGGCGCGGCGCAGCCAGGCGGGCGGGCGCGGCGGGTGCGCGGGCGGCGCGTGTGTAGTGTGTAGTGTGTAGTGTGTAGTGTGTAGTGTGGTGCGCGTGGTGTGCGCGTGTGGTGCGCGCGTGGTGCGCGTGGCGCGCGTACAGACCGCGTGGCGCGCGGCGGCGCGGCGCAGCCAGGCGGGCGGGCGCGGCGGGTGCGCGGGCGGCGCGTGTGTAGTGTGTAGTGTGTAGTGTGTAGTGTGGTGCGCGTGGTGCGCGCGTGCGCGTGTGGGCGCGCGGCGGCGCGGCGCAGCCAGGCGGGCGGGCGCGGCGGGTGCGCGCGTGGTGCGCGTGGCGCGCGTACAGACCGCGTGGCGCGCGGCGGCGCGGCGCAGCCAGGCGGGCGGGCGCGGCGGGTGCGCGGGCGGCGCGTGTGTAGTGTGTAGTGTGTAGTGTGTAGTGTGCGTGATGCGTGTGTGGTGCGCGTGGCGCGCGTACAGACCGCGTGGCGCGCGGCGGCGCGGCGCAGCCAGGCGGGCGGGCGCGGCGGGTGCGCGGGCGGCGCGGGCGCGGGCGGCGCGGGCAGGCGGCCGAGCGGCGCGCCGCCGAACGACTCCAGGATGCTGCTCTGCGCCGCGCTGCTCTGCAACACGACACCACACGCAACGCGCGCCGTAACATACCGCCGCTCTCACACACGGTACAACTCTTTGTACCCTCCACACTCTTCTTCGAAACCCCCAGTCTCCCAACTACTTAACGAGGAAATTCCAGTATCTTTTTGAAACTCACGATCGTAACCCTCGATTCAGTAATACTCTCCAACTATCTTTCCCCTCTCACCGTACTGGTTACGCTTCAAACTCTTTTCTCCTACATTCTTCACGACTCTGGAACGCGCTCCCTGATGTCATTAAGAGACTACCGACTAAACCATCTTTAAAAAAAAAATATTCATGCTCACTTTTTTACTTTATCCGAGCAGTAAGTACTTTATATTATTCTCAATTTCATATATAATATAGTATATATCGAATATGTAGTAGTACGTACATTTGTTATTCATATATATTTATTCATATATATATGTAATTTTAATATGTATGTAAATAAATAATTACTAGTACCATATTCGAGTATTCTGACACTTCCTTCTGGTTGACTGGAACAGAATGCTTTTAGCATTAAGTCCGCCATGTACACATATTTGTACTAATAAATAAATAAATACCAACTTACAATGTTTCAATAAACAAAAATTCACCATCAAGATTAGGGCTAGCGTCGCGTTCAATGTATCTGCGATCGCGTAAACTAGCGCGAACTATCGGCCCGAACGTGGTACAATGTACTGCGGCGATCCTGGACGCAGTGAGGCCGCAAGTAACCAGTCGAAGGCAACGTGCTGATGTTCCGCGACGAACAGTCAGCAAGTAAAGGTGAGGCGAGCCCGAGAGGAGTAGGAGAGAGAGAGCGGCGAGACTCACGGCGGCGGAGGCGCGGCCGCCGAGCAGCGAGTGCACGGCGAGGTGGTCGGGCCCGCCGACGGCCAGCAGCGCGGGCGCGCGCGGGCTCCACGCCGCCTGCAGCGCCCACCGCGCCTGCTGCCACACCTGCACCTGCAGCCACCCGCCCTGCGCACCGCCGCCAACCTTACTCACACGCCACGCCTCACATATATACAGTATACACTAGTACATTTAACAGAATGAAAACTCTATCGTCCGTAATGTATTAAATATAAAAAAATGTAGTCGAGTGGTTCACACACAAAAGTGTAATAAACAAAAACTAAACACTCGCACATTAAACTAAATACTGTAAACACAATTGAAAAATTTCAAGTTGTAACTAGAGAGGTGAATACCAAAACCCCTGACTTAAAATTCTATCATATAATCTATAAATGCATCATTGTAAACTATTCTCAGTATCCTTATGTAATAATAACTTACTGATTTTTCTGTGCAATAAACAATAATAAAAACATTAATATAAATTATATATTAACACAATATACGATTACTATACGACCATAACAATAAACAGTTGCAACTCAATCAAAAATATTTTTTTCATTTGGCAATGAGTTGTTGCCCAATATGCCACAAAAAAAAATAACGTATTACATATTCTCTATTGCACTTGTAAAAAAAAGAGATGATTAGTTTAACAACTTGTTAATACTCACTGTATTATTATTTTCGAATTTCGAATAGAATTTTAAAATTTACAATACAACGATTGCCAAGTAGCTAAAGTATATATTTAAATTTGGAACAGGACAAATTTTCAAATGTAGAAGGCGGCGGTTACCGGACGCGTGTCGTTGGGGTCCCAGAGCAGCACGCGACCGTCCTTAGAGGCGGACAGCAGCAGCGCGGGGTCCTGGCGGCACCACGACAGTGCCAACACTCCCTTGTGGTGGCCCTCCAGCGACACCAGCGGCGACGCCGCCAACCTGCAACCAACATACACACACTCGTATTTACGTCTGCTTCAATAGAACTTATGAAAGTGTCCTGATGACTGATCAGACTGATGTCCAATAATATTACAGATCAAAAATCAATCAAATGTTTTATCCGATAAAATAAAAAAAATCCTATTTTAATTTATCTTGTTACTGCACCGAAGTCGAATTAAAATTATGACCATTTTCACAAATTATTACGTAGCTTTGTCATTTTAATAATTTTAAGATATCTAAATCTCTAGTTAGCTCGACTTAACTTAGTCTTATTACAGAGTCGATTGAGAATGTAACTCCACATGACACCTGAGTCCTCAGGAATGGCAACGCATGGGGGGTATCATGGGCGAAACAGTATACTCTGTTATGTGCATGGTACTGCTCATGTCTATAGGCGACGGTTACCACTTTCCATCAGGTGGGCCGTCAGCTTGTTTGCTATTCTAAGTTGTATAAAAAAAAACTTTCAGATCATCATCATATCAGCCTTTAACTGTCCACCGCTGGACATAAGCCTCCCCCTAGGGATTTGGAGATGTTTTAAGAGAGACTCTGCTGCCCATCCCTTCCCATCCTTAGTCGCTTCTAACGACACACATGGGAAAGTAATGGGGTGGCCCATTCTATACCGAAACCATACAGCAAAAGTTACCTATAGACATTTTGGCTTCACTTAATGTATTTAAGCATTTATTTATTTATTTAAATAATTTTATTTAACAAATAAAAACATTTAAGGAGAGGGCAACATAATCTGAATGTATTTATTTATAAGGCAGCTGGTACACGTGAATGTTTTGAAAACAGTACATAACATACTACCTGAGGTCCCAGAGCTGTATGACGGGCGCCTGGTCGTCGTCGGAGGCGACGCAGAGCTGCGTGGCGACGGACGGATGCCAGGCCAGCGCCCGCCACCGGCTGCGAGACTGCGAGTCGCTGCACACGTGTAATAGTATAAAACACTCTATATGCAAGATGAAGTTTAAATCGTTATTATTAATCTTTGTGTTCAGAAGATCTAACATTAAATGTTTTCCATAATTTCCGAGCGGAACGGAACATAAAATTATATATTTATTCATTCATTAGTACATACTACAATTACATAATATATCTTGTTTAAAAATATTAAAATATCGTCCCTTTGGACTTTTATAATAGGAACAGGGGGCCTACCATGAAATGAAATCCCGAATTTTCGGGCTTAATTTTGTGTTTTTGTTCGTACCTAAATCGACCCAGTAAATGGAGGTTAACGTTTCATTCATCATAAATCCTATTCTAATAGTCCAGAGAAATGATATTTTAATATTTTTAATAATTTTAAACCGCATGTATTATGTAATTTTAACATCAAATTTTTATTTCGTTCGTCCCCGAAATTTCGGAAAATATTTCATGGTAGGCCCTCAGATCTAATTATGGCTAAAAAGAGCCGATTGCAGGTAGGTATAAATAAAAAAAAATTTACGAAATTATCAAATTAAAATATTTAAGTTAAGAAACATGGTCTAGAGTAACAGCGCTTCAGCGTCAACCCTGGTACTATAAAACCACAGTTAATAAACACACTTACCTCAATTTCATAATCGGTTCATTCTTCCTCAAGTCCCAAACGACGCATCTTGTTGCAAATGTGGAACCCAAAATGTGTTGAACCTGAAATTTATTTATTTAACATTTTATAAAAAAATATCCATATATTATTTAGGTAATTAATTTTACAAGGTGAATTTACAGGGTACAAAGGAATAACATCTGAGTCCTCAGGAATGGCAACGCATGGGGGGTATCATGGGCGAAACAGTATACTCTGTTATGTCCATGGTACTGCTCATGTCTATAGGCGACGGTTACCACTTTCCATCAGATGGGCCAGCTTGTTTGCCATTCTAAGTTGTATAAAAAAAAAATATTTACGTGGAAGAAAATTATAAAATTAAAGCACATGTTACATTTACAAATATTATGACTGAATTTCAGGTTTTTTATATTTTAGTATTTTTTATACCACAAAAGTGGCAAACAAGCATACAGCCCATCTAATTGTAAACGGTCACTGTAGCCTATGGACGTCTGCAACACCAAGAATGTCACATGCGCATTGCCGACCCTGAAGAAATCTTAATATACCCTTTTTGAAAAACTCTATACTTACAATAAAAATTAAAATAAAATCTCAAAAATCTTTTTTCTTCTATTTTTATAAACATTTCAATGCAGTGGACAGTCAGAGACACCTTTATCGCTAAATATATGGGGAACAGGGATTTTTAAAAATGGAGATTAGCAGCCCTATTGCTAGCAATATACCTTATCAGGTCAACCTCCATGCAATTCTCCATGAAAACCATCGTGACTAATTTATCATTAAATTCGTAACAATGGACCTGTCCTTGCGCTCTCAGCAATGATCCCTCACTGGTGCCCTGCCAGTGTATACTGATAGCACAGGTGGGGGTACCATTCCATTATCATCTATTAAAATACCCTCAGATATAAAAACTTGGCATTTAAATATTTAACAACATACTTGTTGATTCCACGCGAGCCCCTGCACATGGTCGTATGGCTGACTTCTATTTCCGGGGGCCATTGGCTGACTGGTATTGTTCAAGTCCCAGATGAAGATCTCGCTCTCTGATGCACCTGACGCGAGCAGGTTCTTCTGGTATGGGTTGATGTCCAGTGCTGACACATGACCTGTTAAAGATTTGTTTAATTTTATTAATAAATTTATAACATCTCTTTTTAGCTTCTAGCTAAACCGCCAGTTTTTTTTTTTTTTTTGATGGGTGAAAATGGTCTGGTAACCCCGGCTACGCTAACAGGATACACTCGCGGAGCACCAGTGAAGGGTGATAGATGAGAATGAAAACAGGCCAGTTAGCACATCATAATGGATTCATCAGGAATTAACCGTGATAGTTTCCAGGGGTAACCGCGAGGAAGTCGACCTGGTTGGGTATATTGCTAGCAATGGGATTCTCAGTCTCCATTACTAACAATCCCTTTCCCCCCGCTGAACCGCCAGTTGCTGCTGGGCAAAATTTTTGATGACACCCTAAAAAAACTACTAAGGAAAGGGGGAGGGATTGTTAATAATGCGAACTACTAGCCCCATTGCTAGCAATATACTCCGTCAGGTCGACCTCCATGTGGTCCCCACTGAAAACCATCATGCTAAATTCCAGGGTATATTCATCATAGTGGGCTAACTGACCTGTCCTTTTCATCATCCCCTATCATCCCTCACTGGTGCTCTGCCAGTGTATACTGATAGCGCAGGCAGGCCACCATTTCAAATGGAGTTTGACAACCCCATTACTAGCAATATGCCTTATTAGGTCGACCTCCATGTGGTTCCCCCTGGAAACCAACGTGGACAATTCTTGTTGAATTCGTCACAATGGGCTAACTGACCTACTTCATCCTCACATATCATCCTTCACTGGTGCCCCGCCGGTGTATACCGATAGCGCGGGTGGGGTTACCATTCCATTATCATCCATTAAAAAAAAACAAAAAAAACTGAGGAAACTCCCGTTATGGGGAATGCCTATGTTCAGCATTGGACAGTTAATGGCTAATATAATAATAATATAATAATGCCATAATAATAATAATATAATAATGCCATAATAATAATAATATAATAATGCCATAATAATAATAATATAATAATAATATAATGTATTGACATGCTATGAGAACAGACTCAAACATTTTAACATGAAGAGTTTGGTTGCGCGTCGTAAAATTATTGATCTAACATATTTATATAAAATTGTAAATAATGAATTGGAGGGTAATTTATTGGAGTACATTAACCTGAGAGCCACTGAACACTCTTCTCGTACAACTAAACTTTTTTCTATACCGTTCGCAAACAATAATGTGTCATATAATAATCCAATATACAGAATGTGCAAATTGTACAACGACATTGATTGTAAATCGGATATTGACATATTCTATCAGAAATTTTCATTGTATCGAAGCACTTTACATACATTGATAACTTAATAGTTGTTATGCATAGTTTGGTAGTTTTGTTTTTGATTCTTGTTTTGTATCTAGTTTTTATCATTAATTCTTTTTGTAGTAAAAATTAACCTATTTTGTTTCATCTCTGTGAATGTTGAGTACAACTATAATTGGATTGCAAACTTATAATGCTATTGTTGTATTCTATTGTTAAAAGTTTTGTTTGTAATCTGTTGTTGTATCACAAAAATAAAAATAAAATAAAATAATAATGCCATAATAATAATAATATAAAAATTATACAACAACTAGTCCATATAAAAAGTGGAAGATAAAGGGTTATCAGCAGTTGGTAGTGGAATGAGTTACTTGTTAACTACATACTAATATAACACAGATAACATGACAATTGTTTTGCTGATAAATAAAAATTAAACAATATATTTATAACATTTTTATTACAAATGTAGCAGTGAGTAGACTACAATTATTCAATTCTATATAAAATTTTTTTTTCAGAAGTAGTATAAGGCCTATGCAAACAATAGTGTATAATCCGTATTGAGTTAAATGCTGTAACCATGGAAACAATAGAAATACTCCTCACGTCGACCACTAGATGGAGTTGTTATTTTAGTATCTGTGTGCTACAACGCGATATTAAGATTTCTAACCTGTATAATAATGTATAATGTATTTCTATATAAGCTAAATAGTATATTGAACAGCAATAAATCTCATCTGGTACAGTTCAAGGGTGTATTTATTTATTGAAACCTAAATTAAAATGTACCTATACTCATGGATGTGAATAAGGGTTTGTTCAAATAGTGTCATTTTATGTATGGAAAAACTCTTTGCTCAACACACCTGCATGGTAGAATGCAATTTTAAACATTTTATTATAACTGAAATAATATCATATTGAGAATTACCTCTTATTAGACTGAAAAGAACCTGAACAAACAAGACAAACTAAAGAAAATATTGTTTTTACATGAAATACACTTCACCTCTAAATGCCTTTATGTTATGCAGGTAACTTAAGACAATTCCTTGGATTAAATGTGTGAAAGAATTATCTTACAGTTTAAGAAACTATATTATATTTTAAACACCTATAAATTAAGGTTAAAAATGGCTTATATTTTATGGTACATTTAGTACCAACTGGTACTAGATAAAATCCATTATATGAACAGATATGGCCTACTTATGCCAATTGTTTGAAATATTTAAACTCATAAGAGTTTAACATGTGTTGCTCATACAAATTGGGAATCTGTAGTAGGCTATATATAGTGTAAATATATTTTAATTATTCTAGAATTAATTATAAATAATAATTATTATTATTTGAGCTATTGATTCCAGATTTATTTATTTTATTTCTTGTTTTATGTGTATGTCTATCTATATCTGCTGTTATACATATGCTATAAATAATGCAAATAAATTATCTATTATTCTATGTAATAGTAAACAAACAAACATAAATTAGGTACCCCTCTGTAACAAAAATATTATAATACGGTGAACACTCAATATAAGCAACTCATTTACAACAATTTCAATAAAAAAAATTGTTATTGGGAAAAGTTGTTTATAGGGAAAAAAGGAGTATAAAAATATTTACCATCTGGAAAATATTTTTACTTACTTCTTTTACTAAGCTGAGTAGAATAAAAAATATATAAATATATGCTTATAGAGGTTGCTTGAACACTCTACATATAGAGAGTACACTGTAATGCCCACCATTTACACTATTTAGGTGTATTAAATGTATGAAATTGTAGTGGAGGATTAAGGCCAATATAAATTATATATATTTTATCTATGGACAAAATATAGGTTTACTAAAATTTATATTTTAAAACTGCATTGTAGCATGCAATTTGTATTGGTGTATTTATACGTAAGCCACTATATTATAATACTAAATTTGCATGCCTTTAGATAAGGCGAAATGTGTAGATCTATTATATTTAAGACCATTATTATTACCACATTTCTAGCAAATAAATAAATTATTATTATTATATGAGTAGACCAAAATAATGAGGCAATGCAAAGCAAGGAATACAGGGAATTTTTTTCCTAACAGAAAAATCCCATGTCTGCACAGATTCCTTACTGATATAATATAGTAAATGTAAAAAATATCTTACCGCTGTGTTTTGTGCTACTGCCAACTAATGCATCACTGTCACTTTTGAGGAGTTTTTCCACATTGTAGAACTCGAGTAAACCACCATCACAACCTCCCGCTATGACTCCAGCACCGGACCATACAATCTTTTGGAATCTAAAAATTAATTATTGGATTCTAAATTAATAAATAATCAAGTTAGCAGACTTAATAAAATAAATATTTATTATTGTATATAATACTGAACTTGGCTGAATAGCAGAACATAGTCCCTAACAAACATACGAAAATTGAAAATCACGAAGTTTTTGATATACGAAAAATATTGATAGGCTGAATGCAGTGTGTAACCCATAATTGGATGAAAGTCTATAAGATGATGCAGTTTTTAAGTAAATAAAATTATATCATATATCTAATATGGTTTAGTTATGTGTAAAAAAAAAAAGTAAAAAGGACCATTACAGCTTAGATTAGAACAGTTAATAACGATAAGAAATAATCAATGACGGGATAAATATAACTTTTTTCTGACAAAATACACAGGAAACATAAAATTACAGTTCCAATTGGAACATAACTTACTTATGCTGTGTCTGCAAGCTGGACTTCAATTCCAGATCTAATCCAGGGTCGTCCAAGTTCAGCGAGTATAGCTCTAAGGAAGAATTGGAGCTGAAGGATACGTCCACTTGCTGAGCGGCGGAGCCGGCCGCCAGCAGCACGGGGTAGTGCTCCGCCGGCGACCAGCTTATGTTCACCGCCCTCTTCAACTCTTTTAACTTCATCTTACAGCCACTATTTCACTAAAAAGTTAAAAGCCGCTATACTATTCACAATATTCTAATATGTTTAACGAATTATGTCACACTTCTCACCAGTGCACACCGTTTAAATAACATACAGTTATAGTTCTATCCACAAACTTTACGATAACACAAAGTATATTTTTTTTCTCTTTACAAGAAAAAAAGGGAATTTTAATAAATTTAATGCAATATTTACCATAAAAACACCGTGTTGGCACTTCCAACGTGGCTGACGTATAAACATTTGATCCGATTTGACACAACGTAAAGCAGTGATGCCAACCTTAAAAAAGTAAAGAACAATAGCTCGCCAATAAAAAAAAACAGGAGAAAACAGTAGATTAAGTAAAAAAGATTGACTTCATACTTTAAAACAATAACCAATTTTCTTAGTTACTAGAACTCACATACATTGTTATATTAATAATCACAATATAATAAAAAAAAAATTAAAGTAAAATTATTTTCCACGTTCTCGAATATTTTACTAAATTTATGAAAATTATTTATTCATGAAAATAAGTTGTTGTAACCGATATTGCTTTTAAATTACCTAAACATTATTTCTCAAATTACCTTTGCCTTAGTAATGACATGATTATATTATTCAATTTTTCCCAATAAAATATTTATATAAATATTTTTAGTCTAAAATTAAATCCGGTCAATTATGTTTCATAATCGTGCAGTGACAATTCTGTCTCATTTATTTACTTTTAAATGTTAAATAACAAAAACTAACACAAAATATAAAAATAGGTACATGCTTATAATAAAAAAAAAGCCTAAAGTCGTTGTTTCTATAGCAACAACAATCAAGTTGAATATTTGATATCAATATGAAATTATTAGCAATCAATACAGTCAAAGATTTTAAATATTTATTTAATTAATTTCTAAATAATATTGTATACAGTTACTATGATATTTGCTGCGAGAATATTTTATTCTTCATAATTTTTTAAGAGCTTGGTATTTCGCTCGTATTTTTTTTTATTTCAAGAAAAGAACTTCTGTAATAATTAGCACAGGCCGGTAAGAATAAATGCGAGAAGACTAATAAGTCGAATTGCCGTAAAAATTTTGACCGAAAAATATAGTAATATAATTAATTAATAGATCGTATTTAAATGAAATTAAATTAAATGAATTTATTTTGCTAGGCTTGCTTTACTATTTAGGTAGTAATTACTTGTTTAAAGGGTAGTGTACTATATGAATTTATAAAGTTAATACAGAAGTGTATTAAATTTGTTGCCTACTAAAGTATATACATAAGTAACTATACACCTATACTACTATATTAATTTGCAGCGCCTCTGGTTCTAAATTTAGCGTACAGTATTAGTATTTTGAGAATAAATTATCACATTATGAGCTGCACATATATTATCGTAATCGACAGATATGCCGATAGCGCTAAGCAAAGCGGAGTGGGGCCGTATTGTACGCTGGACCGAACAGGACAAGGAGGACCCGGAAAATGTACACCGGCGAAAATATGTTCAGTACTTGGATGCCACCTCCAGGGAGATGACCAAATCATGGCCCAATTCCGTCGAGGTATACATAACTAATATGAAGTGTTTATCCTATATCTGCTCATGTCTGTCAGGCGACGATTACCACTTTCCATCAGGTGGGCCGTCAGCTTGTTTGCCATTCTAAGTTGCATAAAAAAATCCTTAAAATGGGCTTTCTCGCTTAGTTGACTCCATATGATACCCCCGTTTAGAGGTGGAAGGGGAAGGGATTGTTAGTAATGCAGACTACTTATTGTTAGCAATGTACTCTATCAGGTCGCTTCCTGGAATTCTAGAATTACTTAATAAATAATAAAAATAAATTAATTACGTACTGAATTTCAGGCATATAAATTCATCACGATGGGCTAATTAACCTGCCTCTTCATTTTAACCTATCATCCCTCCCTGATGCCCCGCCAGCGCAGGCAGGGCTACCTTTCCATTATCATTCATCAAAAAAAGATAAAAGTATAGGGCCACAACCCTCTCAACTAAGGTATTACTTGCGTGTCGTCAATTATGACAAGAAAGTCTTGAGTCACGTAATAAGTGTATATGTAAGATTTTTATGTATGTATCTGTAGGATTAACAGTAGGGTTCGTATTGTAAATAAATTTAATCAATAATTAAAAAAAAATATTATTATCTTACAATAAAGGAATAAAATTTTTAATTGTCCAAGTTAACAAAACACTCCCTCTCGTAGCTGGCCCGTGCGCGGGATGTGCGCGCAGCCAACAATAACAAAGCACGCATCTTTCGAGTGAGTCCCGTGACCAAGCGTCATGTTATAAATATATATATAACAAAATGTTTGTTTGTCTGCTTGTTTTTAACTAATAAAAAATTCAATTATATTATAAAAGTTGATATATGTATATAACAAACCATTGGTGAGTATTATCTCACCACATACCTTTTATTATTTTCATTATATCAGCCGTTACCTGTCCATTGTTGAATATAGACCTCCCTATAAGAGAGGTGACCACGTCGTGGATGTACCAAGCGTGATAACTACTAACACATTAACGGGAAAAGAAAGGTTGATCCATTTTATCCCGGGACCACACGCCGATGTACCTAATTAGATTTAATTAGACTTTAAAAAGTAATTGATTTGTTTGAATCGAAGCATTTGGCGTTCCATTGTTTCTGCCCACCCTAATGGGAGACAGGCGTGACAGATATGTATGTATGTATATATATATATATATATATATATATATATATATATATATATATATATATATATATATATATATATATATATATATATATATATATATATATTAAAAAGTAATTGATTATAGTTGATGCCGTATTTCATGATTTTACAATGTTTGAGTTAATCTGTGTAGCCTATGGCCGTCAGACAGTTATCTGATTTTGTTTATTGAACATAGAACGTGAACAAACGCAATGAGGAACTACGGCGCGCACGCATCGAGGCTGCAGAGCAAGCCAACACGATGTTCTACAAGCGCTATGTGAGACGCAAACGGGAGGAACAACAGCGGCTCATGCACAACGCCAGGGATACTGTTTTCAAGAACAAGGATGCGCCGAAACTATTGCTTAGGTATTTAAGTGTAGAAGTATTGTTGTGTCTAAAGAGACCTCCCCATTTAAATACCTTAGTCCTCAGGAATAGCAAAGCATGGGGATATCATGGGCGAAACAATATAATCTATTATATTCATGGTGCTGCTCATGTCTATAGGCGACGGTTACCATTTTCCATCAGGTTGGCCGTCAGCCTCTTTGCCATTCTAAGTTGCATACAAAAAAAACATCACAGGGTGTCATATGTATGAAACGAGTTACGGTCACTAACGTAGATATAGCAAGAGATGTGTTCGAGGGCTTTGGAACTTGAATCTATGTGTGCATACTAAAAAAAAGTCAATTTTAATAATAGTAACAATAATAATATAACTCTTTATTGCGCACAGTAGAGATGTATACAAGGAGTATTTATACAGAATGTGCATATACAAAAGGCGGCCTTATCGCTAAAAGCAATCTCTTACAGATAACCCGATTAAAAGAGTTTGTATACAAGTCTACTAAAATATTTTTATGTTCTATTAATTCTCTCTGCTAACGCAGTAGGGATCTGGCGTGAAGATTGATTAGGTGTTAACCAGATATTTCAGAATAGGATATAGTTCTACAAAGAAATCATGATTCATAGTGTAAAATGCCTTGCCTAGGCTTACATAAATATGCCCGGGGAAGAGGTATATAACAAAAACTTTTTTCAACACAGATCCTATGTGGGGGGGAAGGGATTGTTAGTAATGGGGATTAGCAACCCCATTGCTAGTAATAAACCCTATCAGGTCGACCTCCTCGCGGTTCCCCCTAGAAACCATCGTGATTGGTTTATTGTTGAATTTGTTACGATGAGCTAACTGACCTGCTTTACCCTCATCTATCATCCCTCACTGGTGTCCCGCCAGCGTATACCAATAGCGCAGACGGGGCTACAATTTCATTATCATCCATTAAAAAAAAAAAAAAACACAGATCCTATGTATACTATATCTGAAAATATGTTCCACTGAGTAAATCATTCAGTTAGATGCCACATTGTGGGTATTTTATACTTTCAAATATTTTATTCACAAACTCCAGCGCAGTTATCGAGACAGTAATTCAGAAAGAGCGTCAAGAACAGCTGAAGTTTCTTGCGGAACAGCGGCAGAGAGAGGCGGAACACAAGAAAAAGGATGACGATGACTTAATCAGAAAAGCGAAGGAGTGGCACGAGCTGATGGAATTGAAGAGGAAGCGAAGATTTGAAGCCAACAAGCAACATCAAAAGGATATACTAGACCAGTGAGTTTTTTCTGTCACATATGTATGTGTTATAAATAAATAGTTGTGTGTACAGTAAAACTTCATTTAGAGACATGTTGTTATTCGTATTGCTGCATATTTCGGTTTAAAAGATGTCAATATGGCAGTGAATCTACTGGGCAGAAATGGCAATTCAAGACTATAAGTATAAGCAATGTTTTAAGCGAGAATCGTAAAAGACTTATCCTTCTGGGTAGACGTGCGATCAGCCTGGGAGGATAAGTCTTTTACGATAAGATTAGATAGGAAGCACGATTGATTTATGATTGATTGATTGATCCTTGTTATGTAAAAATATGTGACAGTATCTGTATTTATAAGCATATCTAATTTACTTAATTTTATAGCTATCAAATTGACAAATGTTCTGTGATAGGGCACGTGAAGTTGCAGAAAGGAATAGAATCGAGTATGAAGCTGAGCTGAATCTTCAAAAGATAGACAACATCAGAGCTAACCAAGAGATGGCCGATCTTAAGGATTTTAAAGAAAAATTCGTACGTAAAATTCTTTCAAATATGCTAGTTAAGTTCAAAATATGAGTGCCTAGTGTATCTATACCATGATGACCTTTAGCATTCAGTTAGCATGCCATTCCTGAGGATTCAGGAATAACACCTGAGTCCTCAGGAATGGTAACGCATGGGGGGTATCATGGGTGAAACAGTATACTCTGTTATGTCCATAGTACTGCTCATGTCTATAGGCGACAGTTACCACTTTCCGTCAGGTGGACCTTGGTGGGTGGGCATGTTTGCCATTCTAAGTTGTAAAAAAAAATTAAAAAAAAAAATCTTTCTATCTACCCTGAATTTAGCGAGAGGATAGACGTTAATAAATTGGATTAGATATGGAGCGTGGCGTTTCGTAGCTTACTCGGTTACTTTACTTTTCTGTGTTCGTGTTCATATGCGATGCACTTAAGAACTCTATCACTCATAGAGAGTAGATAAAATTTTTATTTTTAATACAGGAAGTAACTAGTAGGTTATAGGGGGGAAAAGGATTGTTAGTAATGTAGTAGTAATGAAGTCTGAGAATCCTATTGCTAGCAATATACCCAACCAGGTCGACCTCCTCGCGGTTCTCCCTGGAAACTATCATGGTTAATTCCTGATGAATTCATCATGATGGGCCAACTGGCCTGTTTTCATTCTCACCTATCACCCTTCACTGGTGCACCGCCAGCGTATCCCGCCAGCGCAGGCGGGGTTACCATACCATTTTCACCCATCAAAAAAAAAATACTAGTAGGTTATTGTACGGCGTGCTGCGTTGAAATATAGTTGAACAGAGGCAAAAGGTTAACTTACTTCTGTATGTACTCCAACTCCGTACGTTAATGGCCTAGGCTAGGCATCGTTGCTAAGCAGTAAGTGGCGTGTACGTTGCGGCAGTGCGCGGAGGAGAAGGCGCGTATCTGGGCGGACATGGAACGGTCGCGGCACGAGGCGGAGCGGCGGTCGCGCGAGCAGGCGGCGCGCGGCCGCCGCGACGAGCGGCTGCTGCTCGTGCTGCAGGACGCCAGCACGCGCGTCCACGCGCTACGCACGCGCGCCGAGAACGAGGCACGTGCCATTCAATTCTTTTGCTCCCCAAGCTATAGCAAATTAAGTACTTCTCGCTGGAGCTGTACATATATAGCAACAGCTGAGGCGGCTCCAGCAACCAGCAGCATTAATTTTTTTTTTCTTTTTATTGTTTTAATTTTTTTCATTTTCTTAACACTGGTAATAAAGGTTATCTATCTATCTATCTGTCTACCTCTCTACAAATCCTTTTTTTTATAAATTATAAACGATATAGCATTAAGCTCTTCTAACACATTGGCTAATACTCTTCGCTCTAGAGAAAAGTTGAATTACCATTTCTCTTAGCTTTAACTTTGTATATAAAAATTAGTTTACAAAATTTTAATATTTGTAAATGCAAATTTTAAAACAATTCCATGAAATAAAGTAACAAATCCGATATTCAGTTAAAGGAAGAAAAACTACGCGTGCTGGAAAAGATCAGCCAAAAGTTGGAATCCGGCGACGCAGCGCGCGAGGCTAAGGAGCAGGCTATACTAGAAAAAGCAATCAAGGAGAAGGAAGCTGCGTAAGATTTATAATAATTTTGTAAAAAAAAAAATAGATGAAAGCGCGATTTAGCAATTACTATAATGCGAAAGTGGAAGGATGCAGGTATATGGCGGGACACCGGCACCGACACCGGTGAAGAGGAATGCAAGTCAATTAGTCTATCGCGACGTATACATTGGATTTAACCACAGTAGTTTTCAGGACCTGAAAGTCGACTTGGTGGGATATATTGCTAGATTTACCAACAATGATAGTTCCTGTTACTAACAATCTCTTTCCCCCTATCTAATAGATTTAGATGTAATAATTATTTAATAGGATTTCAAAATCTTTACTTTCTGCTATAAATATGTTTGGAAATAAATTCTTTATTAGAGTAAAATAAAAAAAAAATATTCAATTAATTAAATAGGTACTTTTTAATAAATTAAAAAAATGGCCTAACTGATTAAAAACGTAAAGCAATAGCTTCGTACATATTATATTTTAATGTAACAATAACAAGTTTAACTTACATGTAATTAAGTATAGAAAGTTCGATTAGTTTCGAGACCATTCGGGGCCCTTAGTCGTGAACGGCTGCGATGCGAGCAAGCTTTCTCAGCCTAATTACACTTGAGTTAAACCGGTAGTTATTACATTAAACAAATAGCTGCCGATGTACTTACCAACTAAAGATTTATTTTGTTTAGTGCGGAAGCACGTCGCGAGGCGCATGAACGCAAGAAGGCACAATTTAAGCAGGACAGGATTGACACTAGAAACAAGTTCTTACGCGATGAGGAGCAACGGCTACACGAGTTCAACACAATGCGACAGTGGGAGATCATGAACAGGTGACCAAAACATTTTCAATTAATTGAATATGGCAACATTGGTGAATACCTAAACGGTAGTATTGAAAATGGCGGTAATTTCAAATAGTTTAAAAATTCTTATCCAACTTTCTGTCCATTACTACATTAATATGGGTACTTTAAAATACAGTGAAAAATATTTTTTTTATGCAACTTAGAATGGCAAACAAGCTGATGGCCCACCTGATGTAAAGTGGTAACCGTCGCCTATAGACATGAGCAGTACCATGGACATAACAGAGTATACTGTTTCGCACATGATACCCATGCGTTGCCATCCTTGAGGGCTCAGGTGTTATTCCTCCATACCCTGTAAATTCAAGCCATATCCCACCCTGCAAACCGAAACACAGCCATGCAAACACAACTGCTTCACGGTAGAAACACGAATGGGACAGAGGTACCCAAGCAATCGACTTTTGTACAAAGTCTCCCTCTGGTACCTGCGTTATTTTTATATATACATACATATCTGTCACGCCTGTCCCCCATTAGGGTAGGCAGAAACAATGGAACGCCAAATGCTTCGATTCAAACAAAACCTCTTTTGCTTCTTCCACATTCATCAATCTTTTGATACATGCATTTTGTAATATATTTCTTTTTTATATTTAGATTCAAAAATGCAGAACTGTACGAAGACTTCAAAGATAAATCACGACTGGAGCGAGAACGCAAAATAAAAGAGTACAGGGACGACATCCTCAAACAGTGGGTATGTTGAAACACCTGATTAAGACCTTATATATTATGTTTAGTGACATTGTATCGAACACTAATAGTAATCGCTCAACACGAACATACAAAGATGTTTTGAAAAAGTTTATCTTTTATGCAACTTGAAATTGCAAATAAGCTGACAAAAAGCTGAATGTAATGGAACGAGTATTGTGGAAAATCATATACATCGCCTACTTCGATAATTATGACTTTTTATGCTTTTTTTTATATACAACTTAGAATGGCAAACAAGCTGACGGCCCACCTGATGGAAAGTGGTAACCGTCGCCTATATACATGAACAGTATCATGGACATAACAGAGTATACTGTTTCGCCCATGATACCCCCCATGCGTTGCCATTCCTGAGGTCTCAGGTGTTATCCCTCTGTACCCTGTAAATTCATTGCCATACTCCACCCTCCAAACCGAAACACAGCCATGCAAACACAACTGCTTCACGGTTGAACATGAATGGGACAGAGGTACCCAAGCAATCGATTTTTATACAAAGTCTCCCTCTGGTAATTATAAGTAATTACCATTTATGCCTGCAAATAAATAATAAATTTATTTCTTTTAAATGTACAGAATGTGCAAATTGTACAATGACATTGATTGTAAATCGGATATTGACATATTCTATCAGAAATGTTCATTGTATCGAAGCACTTTACATACATTGATAACCTAATAGTTTATAAGCATAGTTTGGTAGTTTTGTTTTTGATCCTAATTTTGTATGTAGTTTTTATCATTCATTCTTTTTTTGTATTAAAAATCAACCTATTCCGATTCACCTCTGTGAATGTTGAGTACAACTATAATTGGATTGCAAACTTATAATGCTATTGTTGTATTCTATTGTTAAAAGTTTTGTTTGTAATCTGTTGTTGTACCACAAAAATTAAATAAATAATGAATTCCTAAGAAGACATGTACCTTTGAAGTGAATCATTCAGCACTCGTTTTTATCTATTCCGGTTTTGAAGAGAATAGACATGTAGCAATCGATTTTGTCTATACCGATTTTGGCGGGAAAATAGATTGCTAAACCCTATTGTTCTCTCTGTCCGTTAATTATATATTTTTAATACTATAAGTAAACAACATTCTATATATCAGTTTGATGCAAATATTTCTGAGTATAAAGGAAGAGTTAATGATGTTCCAGCTTTAAAAAGTTATAATAAATTTCACACATCATTTATTCGGAAGTTTTTATAATTTTTGGGACCATATTTATATAAAAAAGCTAATAAGGAATTATCTATATTTTCAAAAACTAAACATATATGCAAAAGTTAGTGATTGGTTATTAAGTAAGAGGTATGATGAAACTGAAGATTTGTTATTAACAGTATCTTAGGTTACGACTGCCACTTTACAATAACTCATCCATTCCGTACACTCACAAATTACACAGTGAAGATTCACCTGCAAAATATTATTTGGACAAATTATATTTTTTTTTTATATAACTTAGAATGGCAAACAAGCCGACGGTCCACCTGATGGAAAGTGGTAACCGTCGCCTATAGACATGAGCAGTACCATGGACATAACAGAGTATACTGTTTCGCCCATGATACCCCCCATGTGTTGCCATTCCTGAGGACTCAGGTGTTATTCCTCTGTATCCAGTAAATTCACTGCCATACTCCACCCTACAAACCGAAACACAGCCATGCAAACACAACTGCTTCACGGTTGAAACACGAATGGGACAGAGGTACCCAAGCAATCGACTTTTGTACAAAGTCTCCCTCTGGTAATATATATTATATCTGGTATTGCTGTATCAGTACCTTAACTTTTATTGTTTCTTTTTTATATAATTTTGTGTCATTATACCGTACAGGGAAGAGCACTGCTTGTCCCAAAGTACAGGATTTACCTATTTAGGGAGCAGGGTTTTACCTATTTATTATTATTGTGGTCAGCGCGAGCGCGAAGAGTGCGAGGCGCGGTGGCGGGAGGAGACGCGGCAGTTGCACGGGCCGCGCGCCGAGCTCGAGCGGCGCCGCGCCGACCGCGCGGTGCTGGCGCGCGGCGCCGCGCTGCTGCGGGACGCGCGCCGCCGCCGCCGCCCCGAGCGCCCGCTGCGCCGCGCCCTGCATGTTAGTACACACCACCCCGCCGGCTACCTTTCTATAATGGGTGATAATAGAATGGCAACCCCACCCCGCTATCGGTATATCGGCGGGGCACCAGTGACGGATGATAGGTGAGCATGAAGCAGGCCAGTTGGCCCATCGTGATGAATATACCGGGAATTCAGCACGATGGTTGCTAAGGGGAAACTGGTGGAGATAGACCTGACAGGATATATTGTCAGCAATGGGACTGGTAGTTCGCATTACTAACAATCCCTCCCCCACCGGCTATTTTAGAGTAAACATAGGTTCACTGCCCCTTGAATTACTTGAGCGATCCAACTACGAGCACGGTGGAAAAAGGGATTTATAGTTAATGGATTAATAATCCCATGTTCATTAGTAATGTGCCCCGTCGAATCGCCCTCTCCTCGGTTCTCCCTGGAAACTATCGTTATTGATTTATGGTTCAATTCGTGCTAACTGACCTGCTTCTTCTTTGATCATCATCTCTCACTAGTACCCCGACAATGTATACTAATAGCGCAGACGAGACTACCCACTAATAACATAATTTTATTTTAAATTTTCAAATTTTGATAAATTATTTTAGATTTTTCGTTAGTTCGTAATTATGTATAATACATTTATTACGTTTGTTCATCGTAAGTATTATAGTAAAATCCTGTACTATATTACTGATTTAAAATAAGAAATTATATACAACATGTACCAATTTACTTATTTGCTACAAATAAAACTATTAGAAATTATACATAGTTGTACCTCAGGGTTCAATTATTAGACCCCACTCTTTTACCAAATAAGGTGTATTCTGCCAAATACATTAAGATATATCATTGAACAGCGCTACTGCAAGCTACATCGACTGTACCCAATGCCGGAGCTGGCAGCATCGATGCAGGAACACTTCGAATCTTACGCGCCGAGAGACGACTCCCAGCTAGACCCCAACTACACAGAGCCGGCCCCGCCGCCGACGGACTTGGATCCAGACGCGTCCGATCCAGAGGATCAACAACAGCCGGACACGGTTCCGCAGGGCAAAAAGAACGGCTTGCAGGAGATAGGGAAGGTATAATGTATAATTAAAAGCGAATGTAGTAAAACTCTTTTCTCCTACATTCTTCACGACTCTGGAACGCGCTTCCTGATGCCATTAAGAGACTATCGACTAAACCGTCTTTAAAAAAAAACGTTCACGCTCACTTTTTTACTTTATCCGAGCAGTAAGTGCTTTATATTATTCTCAATTTCGTGTATAATATAGTATATGTCATATATGTGTAAGTATATTTGTTATTCATATATATTTATTCGTTTATATATGTAATTTTAGTATGTATGTATATCAATAATTAGTAGTACCGCATTCGAGTATTCTGACACTTTCCTATGGTTGACAGGGAGAGAATTCTTTTAGCATTATGTCCACCATGTACACATATTTGTACTAATGAATAAATAAATAAATAAATGTAGGACAAATTGAGTGTTCATAATAGAGTTATTTGATATACGTTTATATGATATGTAACGAAATCACTCGATGTTTGCAACGCGATACATCGAATCAATTCGATATTTTGAAAAGCTATTGATATATTCGATGTATCGAGTTAATTTCATAAAAACTCAGTTTGATCTCTAAATCATTACAAAAAAAAATTAAGTATTTTTGTTTGTTTTAAAATATATTTATTTTTCAATACATATATTTTAAAACAAATATAATAGACAGTTTTATATTTTAAACGTGTTTTGATTAAACTTAGATGAAACCAGCCAGTATCTTATTTCTATGTATCTAAGTAATATTTACTAATCATTGTGATACTTATTATTTTTAAATTCATCATCATATAATGGGGGAGGGACCTCCATAGACCGCCAAAAGGAACGGTCCTGAGCCACCTACATCCACTGACTCTCTGCAATGTATTTGAGGTCGTCACTATCTATCTAGTGGGTGGCATCCCACTTACGTTTGCCTGTATGGGGTCGCCACTCAAGTAAAACAAATTGTAAGATCAACTTTTCTAACAGGCTGGACTCCCTAAGCTGAGTGAAGAGAAGGAAGAGAAATCGGACGACTATAAAAGGAAGGGTCGTGCTAATGGATTACAAAGGAAGAATAGCCAAGTAAATATGTCTAATATTTTTGTTATAATTCAAATTCTATGTAACAATTTGAATGCATTATGCTGCAGGATGACTTTTGAATAGGTACATTCTGATTTTTGTAATTTGATGCAAGTTCGTTATGTTTAGTACACGTTTTGTACAAAGTCAAAGTTACATGGAATCCAATCTAATAAATTAAGTAATTATTCGAATTTAGGAACAAACTGAAAATACTTTGTATAGAAATTACCAGAGGGAGACTTTGTACAAGTCGATTGCTTGGGTACCTCTGTCCCATTCGTGTTTCTACCGTGAAGCAGTTGTGTTTGCATGGCTGTGTTTCGGTTTGAAGGGTGGGATATGGCGTGAATTTACTGGGTACAGAGGAATGACACTTTAGTCTTCAGGAATGGCAACGCATGGGGGGTATCATGGGCGAAACAGTATACTCTGTTACGTCCATGGTACTGCTCATGTCTATAGGCGACGGTTACCACTTTCCATCAGGTGGGCTGTCAGCTTGTTTGATATTCTAAGGTGTATAAAAAAAACCAAGCGGAATTCTTGAAATTAGTATCATCTTTAAAAATAATAAATAATAAAAAAAACCGACTTCAAAACAATTGTAATGACTTTAAAACACTGAATAATCACACGCAAAATCAATTAAATTGATCTAAAAAACTAAACTACCTAACCGATTTTGTTAATTTTTTTATGGAACTAATCTGTAAGTATCCTAAATGTATTCCTTTTAGATAAAAAAAAAGATATTTCCAAATCGGTTTAGAACTGACAGTGTTAGATAATAGGAATAAAAAAATTAAAATTGAATTCAGAACCTCTTTATCCTCCTTCTACTTTGTATGAAGTCGGTTTTTTTTATGGGTGAAAATGGTATGGTAACCCCGCCTGCGCTGACGGGATACGCTGGCGGAGCACCAGTGAAGGGTGATAGGTGAGAATGAAAACAGGCCAGTTAGCCCATCATGATGAATTCATCAGGAATTAACCATGATAGTTTCCAGGGGGAACCGCGAGGAGGTCGACCTGGTTGGGTATATTGCTAGCAATGGGATTCTCAGTCTCCATTACTAACAATCCCTTTCCCCCCATGAAGTCGATTGAAAGATCTATTTAATATATTAAAATACTTTATTACCATAATGCATTTTAATACATTAATACATTCATCATTATAGCTATTATAAGCTCTTGGGACGGTTTTGTCAGTAGTTGCCATACTTGGCAGGCGGATTGGCAACCGCAGTTAGGCTTTTGAAATGTTTTAAGAGGGACGCTACTGCCCATCCATCCATAATGCATCTATAAGATTCTAATAATGCTGTTATTTTAACAGAAAGACCTAACTCTTCCGCGTATAAAGGCGCCCCCCTGCCCGGCGGAGAGCTGCCGCTGCGAGACGAAGAAATAAAACGACAACGTTTAGAAAATAATATATTTTTAATTTATTCATATCAACATTAGAACGTGTTCGTCATTTCAACACAGAGAGCGTTCATTTATGGCACGAGTGTGAATTTTACGTTAAATCGTGTGACTAGAGGCAAATGGTGGATGTCAAATGTATTTGTGAGAACAGTAATAAATGTTTGTAAACGTCCTAAACGGTGATTTTTCTTAATACAATTATTAAAATCGTAAATTAACTAGCACTTAACTATTACAATAATCAAATCTTTGGTCGTTTTGAGTGTAGATTATTCGTCGACGGTTTTTACAAAAACAACTTTTGAAACCTATTCCATTTACAATTCCAAAATTAGATACAGAAATACTAAATATAATATTTGTGAGGTCAAATCTTAAGATAGTCACTAATCTAACCTAAGGTATATATTCTAAAAATTAATAGAGAAAACACTTTACAACTATTTAGGCAAATGTCTAACTCGTCAAAAATCTTTATATTTGAACTCAAGCTATTGGACATGATAAACATACTTCATTTTAAACTTTCGCGTTGTTTAAACATATTTTAAATACACAATCGGAACTTAACGCGATGTAAAAGCCTTTACAGGTAAATAATGCCTACACACCTGTTTCGACGTGGATTACACTACGTCAAAACGTTCCGTCGTGACCACGACGTGGTGCAATCCACGTCGAAGCGTCGGCAATAAAGAAGCAGATATTTAGGTATTATATATCTGTAAAAGCTTTTCCATAGCGTTAAGTCCCAATTGTGTATTTAAAATTTGTATATACATACTTATTGAATTTTTATCAAATTATTGAGCCTGAAACCTTAATGTATGTATGAAATTAACAAATCAATAAAATAAATGGAACCTACAAGTAAAGGTCTATATTTAATACCTATGTTTAATTTATAATAATTAAAATTTTGTATAAAACAATAATATTTCGAAGGCATTATTTATTTATATAAATTTTATAACGTTTGGAATTGTACATAGATTAGCCGCGCTAACTGACCATGTGCCAAAGAATCTCATGAAAAAATATGGAATCCTCTCTTAAAAACACAGCATTCGTAATACTTTCGTTTACTTTGGCTTGCACAATATTGTCTAACGTTACGTTGAACAGGCAGCATTAACGGATGGATCGTTTGATATCAATTTTACACAATCACAAGACGATCCACGATAACACCGCCTGCTCTAATGTCCGGCAAAGTTGTATGTGTAGCTGTAGAGACGTGTTCACAGCGAGAAAACATAACGAAATATTTAACTAGACCAGGGGTTCCCAAACTTATTTTGTCTACTGCCCACTTTGAGAATAAATTATTTTTTAGCGCCCCCATTTTTCCACCTACTTAAAAACCACTATTACTTCAAGATCAACTAATCACCCCCCAAATCTCTACACAACGGCCCCATTTTTTTTCTGGTTCTTTTACCGCCCCCTTTTAGACCTGCAGCGGCCACAAGGAGGCGTTATCGGCCACTGACGACTAATATGGAAAGGTTAAACTTCTATTAATAATACCAGTACTGGATCTTCTAGTGTTGCCAGTCGCTTGCATACAAATGGTGGCTGAATTAAACAAAATAATTGTAATCAAATAACCAGTGATTCCTTTTCAATGTTTAGTTCAGTAAAATATTAACGAAATATGTTTAATAAATTAAGTTTAAAAAATACCTTCCTGCACCAACAACAATCATTTATAGTCATATTAGAGTAAGAATATTTATTATAGATACTAAAATTGGACGAAATATTTAACAGGGATATTACTGTGTAATTTATTTATCGATCTAATGATACAATAAAATCTACAATAAAAATGCCTTATTTTTTTTTTGTGTGTGCAGAATACTAAATTGTTTTTGACCTAAATACTTGATTACTAAGATATAACGGTGCTCAAGAGGGTTTAAACGTAAAACTGGCAACATCTGCAGTATCTACCATAATTCAAAACAACTTTAGACATATCTTATTTCTAATTCAAACAGTGCAGATAATAATCATGCAATAAAAATCCTATTAAAGTATCATTGAGTTTTAAATCTTTTTTTTTATATAAAAACTTTTATATATATATATATAAAAGTTTTTATAAAATATATATATATATATATATATATATATATATATATATATATATAGGCAACGGTTACCGCTTTCCATCAGGTGGGCCGTCAGCTTGTTTGCCATTCTAAGTTGTATAAAAAAAGAGTGTTGCTTATATAGAGCGTTATCTGTATATTGTAAAATAACAGCAAATGTAGACGTCGCCCGTTGTCTGTGCAAACGCCCTAGGCAGCTACACATAAAAGTTTGCAAATTCGTGTGCACGTCGATCGACTAGTCGTGTTCGTAACTAACTTACATCTAAATTGTACTTTCGTGCGTCAACCAACCATACTGTTGCTACTATTGACGAAATGGCATCGGTTTGTGCTATAATTCATTGTTTATTAACTATAAAATACATTTCCCGTATCGACATGTAACTTTTTAATTATTAAACCCGTCAAATGTCTAATAAAGTATTAATAATTAATTATTGAAGCGTTTTCAATAATGATTAAAATATATTTATACGATGTTTATGAATAGGGATGTTCAAAATTAATGTATAGTCAATTTAGTGTCCCACTAGTGGACAAAGGCGTTATTAGCAGCAGCTAAATGCGAATTCGTGACCATAGAGTGAAAAAAAAATATAAAAATAATTTTTCGATTTCATAATTTGAAATCGATTTTTTTTCCAACACAGGGGGCAAACGAGCATGCGGCTCACCTGATGGTAAGTGACTACCGCCGCCCACGGTCACCCACAACACCAGCGGCATTGCAGGTGTGCTGCCGGCCTTTTAAAAAGGAATATACTCTTTTCTTGAAGGTTATGTTGTCGTATGTCGATATTGGAACCATACAATTTTTTATTATTATTATATTATGGATATAATTAAAATTATCATTGACAGCAATTGCCAAATAATTTAACTAGCTATTAATAGTTTTTAATAATATATATATATATATATATATATATATATATATATATATATATATATATATATATATGTCTACCCCATATTATCTTCGAAAACGTAATAAGTCACTATAGTCGATACGAGAACATTGTAAACTATTCTACAAGATAATGTGATGTCAACTTACAACATGTCAAAATGGGAAACATATTTAGTTAGGTACTATTTACAAAAATGAATAAATAATTTGAAAAATACATCTAAATTTTTTAACTATAAAATATCTACATTGTGTTTGTCTGTCGTTATAATTAGTTCTAAGGCAAGTACGGACGACACGCGGTGTCTAGAAGACTGAAATTTACATCTCAGTGTCGTATAGACGCCATAAAATTATGTTTAAATCACAAATTTAGCAATAAACTAACAAAAAAGAACCTTAATTTGTAAAGAGAATGGAAAAAAGAAAAAAGCCTATCCAGCCAGTAATAAATTTGGTATTGATATTCATAAAAAAAAAAAAAAAAAAAAAAACTAGTCTATGGCGACTACGGACGATAAAAACACATTTACATCTCGCACGAAATAATAAACACACATAGGCGGAGTGTCAACAATCGTACATTAAAGAAATCCATGGAATTACGTACTCCGGCTTAACAATACGCTAACAAATAAATTAAGTAACGCGATCAAATAAGGTTTGGCACTAATCTAATACTTATACTACCTGCCAGTAACAAATGCATGGATACTGTGTAATACGAAATGCTAGGGGTGTCGCCGCGTCGAATTCTAAATTTGAAGACTGTTCCACACACAAATTTAAAAACATTTTTTTTTTTAATTCATTAACATTCGCTTGTCTCAGATCTGATCACCAAAAGGCTTGAGATCATAACATTTTTTTTTTTATTATACCTAAGTATATAAAAATTACAAACTATAAAATATCTTACATTTTTCTTTTAATACTTTTCCAATGGGATGTTAATTTGTCTTCAAATATCACATTCGACGTGGCATACCGCCCCATAAAAGAATAATCCGGTGGTTGGATCTAGTGATCAATCAACAACGCGAGGCAGACTGACAGTGCGAGGCAGACTGACAACATGAGGCAGACTGACCAAGCGAGGCAGATCGACAACGCGAAGTGAGACAAGCTAGGTCGTGGGATGACAAGATGTCGTTCAGGGCAGGTCCCGGGAGGCGTCCATAGCTCGGTTGAGGCAGCGGCTCACAAGGTCCAGCTTGTTGAGGTATGCCGTCGCCACCTCGCCGCGGGGCGAGCTGCGGACATGTCATTGTATTATATACATTTTTTTACACCTTGAGATACGTTACTAAAGTTTTAATAAGGATCTTTTCTAACAATAAACATAACCTATTTTACTCCGGGTGAATGTAGCTTTCTAATGGTGAAAGAATTTTTGAAATCGGCAAAGTAGTTTTTGAGTTTATTCATTACAAACATACATACAAAAATACAAATCTTTCCTCTTTAAAATATTAGTGTAGATAATACTGCTACAAACCTCAGTATGAAGGGTTCGTCACGGGGCGTGTTGGCGCTGTACGGCGACCGTCGCGTGTACTCGCCAACTGTAACGTAACAAATATTCAGTATTGGGAGGAAAGGGATTGTTAGTAACGGGGTCTAATGAACTCATTGCTAGCAATACACCCTATCAGGTCGACTTCCACGCGGTTCCCCCTGGAAACCATCGTGAACAATTCTTGTTGAATTCGTCACGATGGGCTAACTGACCTACTTCATCCTCACCTATCATCCCTCACTGGTGTACCGCCGGTGTATACCGACAGCGCGGGTGGGGTTACCATTCCATTATCATCCATTAAAAAAAAATCACTGCTATACAGGGTGGAAGGGATAGGTTGGTCAAAACGAAAACAGCTGATTCTGATGAATGCTCTGAAACAGAGGGCAGACTATTTTCCCACTGGAAATGCACCCCAGCCATATAATTAACGATCCTTGTTTTGACGCCGCGCAATGTATTTGAAATTTTACGATCCACACGACGCGTGATATGTATGTAGCTCGCGGTCAATGCACGCTTCTTCGTAGGTAGTTTCTTACGATTGTGGTGTTGATCTTACACAGTTACACTTACCAGAGGGAGACTTTGTACAAAAGTCGTTTGCATGGGTACCTCTGTCCCATTCGTGTTTCAATCGTGAGCAGTTGTGTTTGCATGGCTGTGTTTCGGTTTGAAGGGTGGGATATGGCGTGAATTTACTGAGTACAGAGGAATAACACCTGAGTCCTCAGGAATGGCAACGCATGGGGGGTATCATGGGCGAAACAGTATACTACTCTGTTATGTGCATGGTACTGCTCATGTTTATAGGCGACGGTTACCGGCGAGCATATATGAAAAGATTGATGAATGTGGAAGAAGCGAAAGAGATTTGTTTGAATCGAAGCATTTGGCGTTCCATTGTTTCTGCCTACCCTAATGGGAGACAGGCGTGACGGATACGTATGTATGTATATAGATAAAGCATCGAGCCTCAAAATCAGGTCAACTTTTTGTTAGCTAATTGTCAAATTAGCTGACTAGTTTTTTTTTTTGTCAATATTCTGTATACGCATAACATGCATCTTGGCGTATTATTTAATAAATAAAATATTTTTACGCATTAAAAAGATGCAGAAATTATAAGACAAAATAAAAATAGAAATTACAAAAGAATCACTCGTAACTATTTATTGCGCAAAATTGTATGACCAAGTTGTCCCGTTTTTCTCGTTGCATTTGTATGGAGACGCTGTATGTACATAATGTAAGTAATCACATTGACCTGCGGGCGAGGAGGGCAGGTTGAGCCGCAACTCGTGCTTGAGAAGCCGCCGCGCCGCCGCCGGCACGCCGCGCTGCTGCAGCGTCGCCGCGTCCGCCGCCGACTGACCAGCACTGCGACCGACAAACACAATTTACAATTTTACTATTATACAAAAAAATCGATCTGTGAAAGCTCACAAAAAAAAAAAAACTAAACGATATTAGGTGGGGAAAGGGATTGTTAGCAATGTAGTTTAACAGCCCCATTGCTAGCAATATACGCTATCAGGTCGACCTCCACATGGTTCCCCCTGGAAACCATCGTGAATAATTCTTGTTGAATTCGTCACGATAGAGCAACAGAGGGAGACTGTACAAAAGTCGATTGCTTGGGTACCTCTGTCCCATTCGTGTTTCTACCGTGAAGCAGTTGTGTTTGCATGGCTGTGTTTCGGTTTGAAGGGTGGGATATGGCGTGAATTTACTGGGTACAGAGACATAACATCTGAGTCCTCAGAAATGGCAACGCATGGGGGGTATCATGGGCGAAACAGTATACTCTGTTATGTCCATGGTACTGCTCATGTCTATAGGCGACGGTTACCACTTTCCATCAGGTGGACCGTCAGCTTGTTTGCCATTCTAAGTTGCATAAAAAAAGTCATTTTTCACTGGTGTCCCGCCGGTGTACACCGGTAGCACATGTGGAGTAACCATTTCATTATCATGCATTAAAAATGAAATTAGGTAGTTTTTTAATACAAAAGGAAATTCGCTAAACCTTATCTTGCCTAACGAGTAATCCAGAAAAATACTTGTTCAGCATTAATTCGAAAATTCTAGATCTAGATTTAAGTTAGATAAGTTAATTTTTAGCTTGTAGTTATTTCTTAAATGCCAAATTTTCGAACGACTGCATGCAGTGGAAATTTTAATATATGCACTTTAACCAAATACATGTAACACGAATCATAACTTACAAATATAAAGTGCCAGTTACCTAAATCAATGACAATGTCATATTCACCATCATTATATCAGCCGTTACACAGAGACCATTCCCAGAGAGGATTTACCAGTAGTTGCCAAACTTGGCAAGTGGATTGGCAACCGCAGTTAAACTTTAATAATGTTTTAAGAAGGACGTTGCTGCCCGTCCATCAAACACTGAGTTCCCTTAGTTGCCTTTTATTACACTTACGGGATCTTTACTAGAATGGCCCATTGCATATCGGGACCATATGACAAAATCTCATATTAGGCGAAATTTAAAAATTATGTAGGTATATTGACTCAGTCAAGAAAAAAAGAACAATATAACACAGACAAAAAGTAAAAAAAATAAACCAAAAAATTAATATAACCTAAATTAAATTAAGATTACCAACTATGAAATTAGCAATAGTGGACTTGGGGCACTCACGTGGCGGGTGTGGCGAGTGTGACGTGTGTGGTGGGCGTGGCGAGCGTGACGTGTGTGGTGGGCGTGGCGAGCGGGCGCTGCAGCAGCGCGGCGGCGGCGGCGGCGCGCGCCTGCTGCCGTCGCCGCACCAGGAATCCCATGCGGACCACTATTATGATCACTGTAGCCGCGCACCTGGTACACCAAAAGATATTAATAGTATATTACTGCAGCGACCAGCAACTGAGGCATTGATGGACGAACGTGCAAATGTGGGCCGAGGCGTAGCCGAGGCACACATTCGTAAGTCCATCAATGCCTAGTTATGGCCAAGGCTTGTATAGTACTTTTCTCAAACAATGCGCGGAAATTAAAAGCACAATTTTACTTTTTAAGTTTAATGACGAATAACGAACAATAATAATTTTTCACGCCCCATAATGTTCCCTTATTTTTTTTCAACAAACAGCTTTCTATTTGCAAGCCAGTTCGAAATTTAAATAAAACCTTTTATTAGTTACCTCCTTGGTAGCCATGTTTCGAAGTAAAAGGTCAGTCCATTTTTAAATTACAGGACAGATATGAGTTTTCATAGTAATTTATCTGGCCGCAAAACACGACAGATATGGATTTTCATACAACTTTTGCCGGCCGCTGCCCGCATGTATCTCAGGCCAGTACGGCAATTTTGATTTATCTCGAAGAAGATTGTCAAAATAATGCTCATATTTCCAAGCATGTTTGAGAAAAAATTATTTATTATTAATAATGGAGCCTATTGCTAGCAATATACCCAATCATGTCGACCTCCCTATGGTCCCCCCCACTGGAAACCATCGTGCTGAATAAGTGTAGTCATCACAATGGGTTAACTGAACTGACCCGCTTTTTTCATTCTCATCTATCATTCCATTCTGGTACCTCGCCAGCGTATACCGTTAGCACATGTAGGGTTATTTTTTTTATTTATTTATTCTTTATTGCACAATAAAACTTTGTACAAATGGCGAGCTTAATGCCATATGGCATTCTCTACCAGCTAACCATTGGGTAAAAACATAAAGCGTATGAAGGGCACTTTCAGATATTAAGCTAAGGTTACCTACCATTATCATCCATTAAAAAAAAGTCCAGAAAGCCAGACCACTTTTTTTTATATCACTGAGTTGGCAAACTAATTACGGGACCATTACAGTCTGCCGACCCCTGCCCTCTGTAATAACAAACCAGCACTCACTTGAACCGTTTCTTTCCGTGGCTCCTCTCCACCTTCCTCGAGGAGGGCAGCCGTAGTTTATTTTCCAGCTCCGTGTACCCGGCTATCACCCGCTGCAGGTACCTCTTCTGCCACACCAGCGCTTTCCGGCAGCTCTCTAGCCGCAGGCATCGACCGTGAAGGTAGCGTATCTGTGTAAAAGAAATAACAATATTTATAGAAACAATAGCATAAATAAAAGACATACGATTTAATCTATACTTATAATAAATCTGTAGCGAGGTCAATTCTGTACATGAAATATATTTTCAAAATAACTATCAGGGGGTGATTAGTGATCGATACTGATGCCAAAAATGTAATCAGTAAAATTTTTGTCTGTCTGTCTGTATGTTCGTTATAGAAACAAAAAGTACTCGACGGTTTTTAAAGAAACTTGGTACAATTATTCTTCATACTCCTGGGCAGGTTACAGTATACTTTTCATCACGCTACGATCAATAGGAGCAGAGCAGTGAAGCATTTTTAAGCTTTCGTCGCGTGTGCAGCCTTAATGACCACTTTTTAAAATGTAAAAATGTCCACTCGTGTGAAGCCGCGACGGTTTCCACACACATTATAAACGCTGGTTTATAATGTGTGTGGAAACCGTGTGGTCCCGGCATAGAATGAATCATCCCTTCCTTTCCCGTGGGTGTCGTAAGAGGCAACTGAGAGAACTTAACAACCGAGGGATGAGCAGCAGCGTCCCTCTTAAAACACCACCAAGGCCTAATTGCAGTTGCCAACCCGCTTGCCAAGCGTGACAACTACTGGCAAAACTCCCCTTATGGGGTAGGTCTATGTCCAGCAGCGGACAGTTAATGACTGATATGATGACGATGATGTGTGTGGAAACAGAGAGAGACTTTGTACAAAAGTCGTTTGCTTGGGTACCTCTGTCCCATTCGTGTTTCATCCGTGAAGCTGTTGTGTTTGCATGGCTGTGTTTCGGTTTGAAGGGTGCGATGTGGCGTGAATTTACAGGGTACAGAGGAATAACACCTGAGTCCTCACGAATGGCAACGCATGGGGAGGTACCATGGGCAAAACAGTTATGTCCATGGTACTGCTCATGTCTATAGGCGACGGTTACCACTTCCCATCAGGTGGGCCGTCAGCTTGTTTGCCATTCTAAGCTGCATAAAAAAAACAATGAGGGTACCGGAGGAGAATTATCTAGAGTCCTCCGGTAGCTTCATTATTATATTTTTTTTTATACAGTTGTATTATATTAGAAGATATCTTATATATTTCAATATATATAAATCCCGTGTCACGGCGTCCGTTCACGCTAATCTTCAAAACCGCTTAACTGATTTTAATGATACTTTATAAATGTATATTGTGTGCCCCATCATATATAACGAACGAATAATAAACAGCAATGGTACCTTCACAACCGGCGAACGGATATAAATTGCTCAAGAGTTGTATAAAAAATTTTATGTATTAATTCCGTTGCTTTGAAAAAGTTACTGTCAATAATAAGGTTTCTTTTGTTGCACTCAATGTTTTTTTCTGATGGGTGAAAATGGTATGGTAACCCCGCCTGCGCTTACGGGATACGCTGGCGGAGCACCAGTGAAGGGTGACAGATGAGAATGAAAACAGGCCAGTTAGCCCATCATGACGAATTCATCAGGAATTAACCACGACAGTTTCCAGGGGGAACCGCGAGGAGGTCGACCTGGTTGCGTATATTGCTCCATCAGTAACAATCCCGTTCCCCCTGCACTCAATGTTGTTGCAACCTGTATCTAATAAAAGAAAGAAACAAAGAGAGAAAGAAAGAATACTATCTCGTAAAAAAACTAGTAAGAAGAGATTACATAAAATTACATCAATAAACAACACAATACATACTGCATATTCATAACGCAAGAAACGCAATTATGTTATATTAGAACCGCAGATATTATTCTAAATTTATGGCATAATGCTATTGTTATGTTAGTCAATTAATGAAATACTCGACATGCCTGGCGTTGCAGATCGTTCACACACGGGCTGCATGCCTTTTGCCTCCTTTGTGTCATAAAAAAAAAAGTTATTATATCTCCTTCATTACCCTCCTATCAGCAGTTATTTCAAAAACAGAACGCTCAAATCGCTTAGTAGTCAGTGATAGCTAACTGTCAGCGGCATACGGTGACAGCGACACGCTTTAATATTATTTTATATTTTTTTAAACGAGCAATAACAAAAATCTCAGCGTGTATAATGAGAGGACATTGACACGAACATTGGACATGGAGTTGCCTAAGAACGAACCGCCCAAGCTGCCCGATATGGTGTAAGTTATAACTTAACGAATTATACTTATTTCGATCAAAGTCTATTCCGATCAAGTGCTGAATGTAGACTATCAGAACCAGTAGTTCTTATTTTAGAGAAGAGCGTGTTAGAAAAAAAGGCAATTTATTATTTATAATACTTAATATATATATATATATATATATATATATATATATATATATATATATATATATATATATATATATATATATATATATATATATATATATAATGATATGTGGGGTACTACGTAATACTTACATATATGTATATAATATATTCTTTAACAATATAAAGTACACATTTTAACACAATATGTTTAATAAAATTAATTTAATTTAAAGTAAATATCTAACAAGCGCATCAATTATAATGAAGACGGAAGGAAGAGAGTTAATACAATTTGAGACTATTTGTGTATATATGTTACGAACTATTGGTTTTTTGAGAGGAAAGAATTTACTTTATGGTCCATGTTAAATTAATCAAAAAGTATTGGCACATTCAGTTATTGATTATAATAATATATAATAATAATAAATATATATATGTATATGTATATATATATATATATATATATATATATATATATATATATATATATATATATATATATATATATATATATATATATATATATATATATCACAATAGAAAATCATTGTTTTACTCTTTTGATGGCAAAGCAATATACTGAGTAATGACCATTTTGTATTACCGTGGCATACACATGAATGGAAAATTTTTTTTTTTTTGTGTATATCTATGTCTATTACTATTTGTTTCCTGGAAGTGATGCAAATAAATTATGCATCTATCTATCTATTTATATATATATTTAAATATATTGCAATTAGTATGTGCGGTGACCATCCGTCGGTGACGAAGACGGACTCAATCGTTCAAGATGTGCAGCTCGACAGCAAAGACAAGGGGAAAGACAGGCTCAGCGTGGTGCCTCGAATGTCGTACGCCAGGATATTGCCCACGGTACGAACTATAAACCACATCAGTGTTTATACGCATTACACATATAGCTACGCTCGCACAGATAGTTTTGACGCAGTCTGGCGTAAAAAGACAGCTTCGTTTTTACGTCGAATACGCGGGAGTAGCAACAGCATCCTGAACATGTTTGTTAATAAATTGGATAGTCCTCTCGTGAAAATGCTCTCCGAGAGGACTAGATCATTATTAGTTACTAAGTATTAACATAGTTTTTAAGTCCACTTACTAACAAGAATGGATCCCAGTTATCTAAAAATAAATAAATAAATAAAAAATAAATTACTAATTTTTGACCGCAACTTCTTCCGTGTGACTGAGATATTAGGTTGATTGATTATGTCAAAAGGTAGCTTTCTATACCAAATACCATGAAATAGCAACAGGGAACAAATAAAGGTAACTCAAGGTTGATTGGAAGAAATCTTTTTAACACGTTGGGCCCGGCGTCGGTCACTGGGGACCGGTACTAGAATTTTCGTTTGACTGGCGTCGATCCGTGGATCCGGCAGTATTAAAGTTAAAAAATAGAATTAGTCTCAATGAAATTTGATCAAATATAATTTGAATGAAATTCATTGAAACATTCTAAACAAAAATTCGCTTTATCTTTACACATATACAATACGTAACAACTTGGTGATTGCTATAAGGGATGGCGGCGCGTATGTCGTAGGCACGGGGCGCGTGCGAGGCATAATATGTTTGTTGTGGGTGGTTGCAGTCGTCGCGAGCGGAGCGTGCTCGAGCCGATTCCGAGCACGCGTTAGCTGCGGGGGCGGCGGCGGGGGCGGCGGGGGCGGCGGGGGCTGCGGGGGCTGCGGGGGCGGGGACGGGGACGCTGGCCGAGCGCGGGAACGGCGCGCTCGTGCAAGGTACGTGCATTACGTGTTATATTTGTACCCACGCGTGTTTTTTTAAATGACTTCAAAAAAAGGAGGACGTTTCTCAATTCGACCATATATATGCTTGTCAAATACTGTGATAGTGATTGAGCACACGGTCCACCTAATGTTATAAACGGTTACCGCAGTCTATCGACATCTGCAACACTAGAGACATCACAGCAATCATCAGAAGAAATGATGAAATATTAAGCAATGTGCGCTTAATATTTCATGTTTGCTTCCGATTTCTATCTATTCCGTAGGACCTTAAAAACGTACCTTTCTAATACTCGCTACAATATGTAAGAAATTAAAACAATTTTGTTTGTGCGTTGGTCAGTCAATAAGTTTGTCCATAGTATATGCATTTAACAGGATATTTGCTAAATGAAATATACCAGTATATAAAATAATCTAAAGGCGTATCCACTTTAATAAAATGAAAAAAAAAAAAACAATAGAAGATACAGTTTATAAAAATGATAAATATAATTTTGGTTTAATTGATTTTAATTTCCTATAGTACAACGGATCTGAATAGAATTCCTATATTTTTTTTTACAACACAGGGGGCAAACGATGATAAGTGACTACCGCCGCCCATGGTCACCCACAACACCAGCGGCATTGCAGCTGTGTTGCCGGCTAAAATTACGACCATCCTAATTACGACAATTCATTCTGTACCTTAATGTACAGGTATTTTTTATACCACTGAGGTGATAAACAAGCATACGGCCCACCTGATGGTAAGTGGTTATCGTAGCCTATGAACACCTGCAATACCAGACGGTATTACGCGTGCGTTGCCGGCCCTCACTCTTTTCTAACAGAATATTCAAGCTTCCATATTCACAATAATAAAAAAAAAAAAATTATTGTCATTATTTCTACCAGCGGCGCTGGGCAGCTTCCGCTGGCCGCCGTACCTGGTGTGCGTGTGGGTCATTGTGCTGGTGGTCACGCACGCGTTACACTGTGCCGCCGCGCTACTAGAGCGCGCCCTGCCGCCACTCAGGTGCCTAAATAATCGCCTATCTCGTCATGTATTTATCATCTCGTGACATATTAGCTCAAAAAAGATTTTTTTGATAATAATTCCTAGCAATGGGATGAAACGGTCCCTCAAGATATTGGATATATGTCAGATCAAATCGCTCGCGAATTCTCCCGAAAACCGTCATGATTAATCCCAGTGAAATCATTACTATGGGCTATCTAATCTGAGTTCACCTCCTTATCGTCATTCACTGGTCCCCCACTAACGTATATCGATAGCGTAGGTATATTTGCTATTGTCATTCAAAATTTTTAAGTTTTTAAAATAAACCTATGGCTCACTACATGTTTTGGGATACTGTAAGTGTGGTGAGTAATTTATAAATAAGTAAATAAATAAATTGTCTAAAGTACAGGATTTACCTATTTAGGGAGCAGGGTTTCACCTATATTTAAAAATGTTTGTAACATTTATTATGAAATAAACTTATTATTATTTTTAAATTTCTAGAAATTTCACATCTCCCCTCTTAAGGAGAGGAGATGGCAAACTAACCCCCGGCAGAAGCACAGTCGGCCGGGGTTCAGGGCCCCAGGGAGAGAAACCGGCGTACAATACGGGCAGAATCTAAGAGCACCGCTTTCTGCATCTTTCCCGGGAGTGAGCCGCCTCGGAATCCCAACCGTCTGAGATGTTGTTCCAGACTGGTTGGGATAAGACCGTTCACCGACATAACGATTATTATTATTATTATAAAAAAAAAATTCCAATATCATCGCCTAAAAAATCAACTGTCTACACAATAAAACAAAATCCCAGCTATTAGAATTTATTACACTAAAAAATCAAGAATAGATAGAGGTTCGCTTTGTTCACAGTATGACTTTCCATTATTTCTGTCTACCCCAACTGGAAACGGACGTGACATATAAATGTAAAAATAAAAAATCAAACACCGCCATTTCGAATTCCAGAAAGCTCTGCCAGTACTTCCGCACGTGGACCGAGGACTCGTGGAAGGTGGATACGGACTTGAACCACCGGATCTACCCGATTTCGCTCGCCTGCGTCACCGGCCTGCTCTATACTCTATACTTCGGCCTCTATCTGCTGTACTGCATCGCTCTATGGTCCATCGAGCCTCTATGTTCGGATGTAGAGGGCAAACATAGTGTTTCGGAAACAGAACCGAAAGTGACTAACTACATAGAGGAAGTTAACAGTGGAGTCAACTGTATCGAAAAGCAATAAATGATCTTTGGATGAGAGATACGAGAAGTCCAAATTGTTAACGATTACATACTATAAACATAGCATGACATCTTCAAGTTAAAATTCTCGACGGAATAAATAACAGGAAAATAATAACTCGTTTTATTATCGCAAAAGTGTTAAGTGTAAAATGAAAAAAAAGTGTCTTATTTACGAAATTTCCAACAGAATAGGCTAGGAAAACTGGCCGGTTCTATTGTTTTTATTTTCAACTGAACAAGTGAGAAACATCTCAAGCAAAAAAGTCTAGCTCAAATGAGCAAGTTAGCGTTAGTTTTGGGGATTTTTTTTCTGTGTAATAGAACGTATCACGAATCATTCAATTCTTATGTTATATATACTCGTAAATGTATAACGTGTGACCTCGGCAAAGAATAGGTAATCACTGCCTTTCCCGTGTATGTCGTTAGAGGCGACTAAAGGAGGGCGAGGGATGGGCAGTAGCGTCCCTCTTAAAACATCTCTAAAACCTAACTGCGGTTGCCAATCCCCCTGCCAAGTGTAGCTACTGGCAAAACCCCCCAAGGGGGAGGCTTATGTTCAGCTGTGGATGGTTAAAGACTGATGATGATGATGAAAAAGTGAGAAACATCTCAAGCAACAAATCCCTAGCCTAAGTGGACAAGTTAGTGGAACTTGGGATTTTTCGTGTAATAGAACATAACACGAGTCGATCAAATCTTATATTATTTATCAGTAGACAGTATACATTTTGCATTTGTATGTAAATTTGAACATACACATACATATTTCTAATATACAAGTGATTGTTTAAGCAAGAGTAAGAAATTTATCATACAATTATGTCAGAGAAATCTTCAATGAATTTTTAGCTGACAGCCAAATTTTTTCTTTTTGACTGGCTGTGAAATTTGATAAAATGAAAAATAAAGTCTATATAGTCTATCAGATAACCAGAGAGAAGTTTAAATAAAAATAAAACTGACCGCTTGGTCCCTGTCGTCGGTGGGCGGCGCTCGCTGCTGCAGTTCCCGCTGCAGCGTTTGCAGCTTGTCCTGCAGCTGCTGCCGTTCAGCGCGTAAAGATGCTATCTCCGGGCTGTTAGCGTCCATCAGGCACTTCTTCAGGGTGGCAATCTCTCGGGCCAGTTCTGTCTTATGCGTCTCGATTTCTGTCTGTTGTACAAATATTGGTATTTACAGTTATTTTCAAGCGATAGTTTATTTATGTAGAACAAAATATATACGAAAACACAGGATTCTTGACCTTTTATATTTAAATACTTTCAATCTGTCTATGGAATATTTTGTTGATTATGAGGTAACTTTCCACTTTTTTAATTGTATTTGTTTTTGTCATTATTGAAGTCCCCATTTTTTGCTCGTATGTGATTATTCTAATCAACTATACCAAAATCATATATAAAACGATCCTTCGAGCCGGATAATTTTACTTTAACCACTACATACAGAGCACTATAAGGTGGTTGTATTTAGTGGTACGTACCAACGCGTGCGTGACTTGTGTAGCGGGGCGGCGGGCAGCGGCCAGCTGGCGTTCCAGCTCGCTGATGGTGCTACTCTGTGTCTGCAGTAGCTCTTTGGCGCGGATCAGCTCTACTCCCGCGTCGTGCTTAAGTCTGATCGTGAATAATATAGAAAAGAATTTAATACAAAATGTGTTTTATATATTAGTTAGCACTATTTATGTGGTGGTAAGACAGGTTGTACATAACACTGTTTGAAAAATAATCAAATGTATATTGAATTTGTATATAAAAATTGTCTACCAATCTTTAGTAAAGACAATAATCACTTTTTTTTTAATAAATGTAGGTGTTGCTGTCACAAGCATTAGTTCTTTGATCCGAACTTGATCCTTCGAGACAGATCAAATGTGAACGAAGGGACTATAAATGCCAAGGAACAACGACAATTTTAAAGTGAGTGTTTGGTTCGTTTGGTAGTGTTTAGTAAAGTGCGGTGTTACCGCTTGTGGTCGGCGAGGTCTGCCTTGAGCGCGGCGCAGTGTCGCGCGGCCTGGTCGCGCTCGCGCTCGGCCTGCACGCGGCCGCGCTCCACCAGCGCCTGCGCATCTGCGTGCCGCACGCGCTCCGCCTCCAGCTTCGACTTCAGCAGCGAGATCTCACTCTTCAGCTGGCTGTTGTTCTCCATCTGTATCACAAAACAAACATTCATATTATTAAACAAATCTCATATGCGAATCTCCCTGGATACTATATGTTACTGTCAAATGCTTTGAGCCATTTTCCATGCTGCGATGAAAATAGAATACGTCATCGTTCTTTTTCATGGCTGGAATCGACTACGACGACACGCATGTACGAAGGGAATGCACTTGAATATAATTAGCAGCTGCCGCTCCAGCTGCGATCCGCTCGCTGCTGCAGCTCGTACCTCGTGCTGCAGCCGGTGCCGCGAGTCCTCGTCGTGCTCGGCGGCTAGCAGCTGCCGCTCTAGTTGCGCCACGCGCGCCCTTTGTTGCTGTTCACGCTGCTGCAACTCCAGTTCAGACTGCATTGCGCTCTCCAGCCGCTTCTTCAGGATCTCGATCATGTTCGAGTCTTGATTCTGGCAATGACAAAAATACGGATTCTACTAATAAAAATCTTACTGATTTTATAAATTAGTTGTAACCCGTAACTTTACCTGTATCAATTATAATATAACGTATCTTATCTTCTTAATCTAAGACAATCTATTTGTGTGTGAAAGGATTGGAAAGCAAATATATGAACCATAGTATCCTAATCTAACACAAGATTTTTTTCTAATACACAGTTAAGGCTATAATTAACTATAGTTAACAATTTAGATAAAATTAAATGTCATATCAAAATAATAACTACTTGGCATTGCGTTAATGCTAAACGTTTGAACGGCAAAGCTTGTTCTTACAAATCGAAGCAGAACTAAGCATCTCATTGATTGCAAATTTATTTGACCTAGTCACCGTCACGACTTATCCGTTATAGTATCGGTCACGCTATCAGTTTATGCTAGGTATAAACTGAATGATAAGAAGCGAACTTCGAATTATTTAGTTTCGTTCCATAAAGAAAAAACAAACGTAGTACATTAATCGTGGAAAAATATTATTATTTATTCTCATTTTTGTACTGCAATATTTTGGTCCTTCGAGTCGGATCACAAGGATCTGTAAATCGCTAGAAGGTCTGTTACCTGTAAGGAATCGGCGGTCTCCTTGTGCGTGTCGAGCAGCAGCTGCAGGCGGGCGGCGTTGTCGCGCTCCGCCTCGTAGCGCATCTTGCTGGTCTGCCAGTCTTGCACGAGACGGTCGCGGACGCTGCAATGTACAACGTCCATTATAAAGCGGTTTACGAAGAATATTCTTTAGATTATAAATGTACGAGGTCTGTCCGGAAAGTTCGTTGCTGGAATGCGAGAAAGAGGAGTGGGGAGGCCAGGTAAGCGCAGGACCCCTTCCTTATGTCCCTAACAATGCTTCAGTTCTGGTCTGACCGCTGCAATGTACTGTGAACGAAACCCCGTCGGCATGGATAAAGCGGTTTACGAAGGCAAGAATAAATTTTTGCTCTCAGAACATTGGGGATGAAATGTAATACTAAAAAGATTCAGAGAGGGCTAACAATGTTGATTGTTTTTTTCGATGTTCGGGGGATTGTCCATCAAGAATTCGTCCCTCCAGGCCAGACAGTTGATGGAAAATTCTACGTCGATGTGCTCAGACGCCTCAAAGCTCGTGTGGCACGAGTTCGTCCACAATTGGCGCGAGAGGGGCGTTGGATTCTTCACCACGACAATGCCCCTGCCCACACCTCTCTTGTTGTCCGTGAGTTTTTGAGTAAAAATTCCATTACGGTGACCGAACACCCCCCCTATTCGCCGATTTGGCCCCGTGTGACTTCTTCTTGTTCCCAAAAACCAAATTGGTACTTCGGGGGCGGCGTTTGGGGGACATAAATGAGATAAAAAAAGCTACGACGGGGCAATACAACCAGTGAAATAGTCACAGGGGAGTAAGATTTACGAATAATTGTAAAATAAAATTTTTAAAAAACTTTTATACGTACTTTCCGAATTTTTATATTGAGATATCAACATTATAGTTTGAAACTGTTAGATTCAGATATTTTGTCTACTGCCCACTTTGAGAATAAATTATTTTTTAATCCCCCCATTTTTTCAGATCAACAAATCACCCCCCAAGCCGACACAACGCTCCCATTTTTTCTTCTCTATTTGAATAATTGTAAAATAAAATTTTTAAAAAACTTTTATACGACTTTCCGACAAACAATTTACTAATGATGAAATTATTTTTTATACGTGAATAAAGTTATTGATCATAACTTTTTAAATTAGTGATATCAAATAGTGAAATTTAAGTTAAAGCAGAAAATGTTCGGGATAAGTTTTTGATCGTAACAGGTGGCGAGTGAAAGTGAGAGAGTGAGAGAGTAAGAGTGCGCGGCGGTACCGGTTGAGCTCGGCGATGAGCGCGTCCTTGTCGTGCAGGCGCGCGTGCAGCGCGGCCAGCTGCAGCTGCAGGCGCTCGTTGTCGGCGCGCAGCCGCCACGCGCGCGACGGCGACGGCGACGGCGACGCCGACGGCGCCGAGCTCGACGACCTGCGCACGACCACTATTCGAACCCACGCTCGCTACACACGCCACACACTTACAATTAAGTAGTAGTTTGTGTGTCGACGTGATCATTAGGATCCCACATTATAGGTAAACGCTTTAGTGTACAAGAAAATTAAACATGACATATTTTTTATAATAATTATTAAGAGAATTTATAGGGTGCCATCAAACTATTTGAATTTCCTTTAAAGAAATATAGTATTACATAAATACGTCACGATAATGATAGGATCTCGTGTCTTAAATATTATAGAATTTTTTATACAAACAAAAAAAAATCTGTAATAAATGCAAATTCCTTTTTTATCGTAATGTATATATCTAATACTATGTCTTGTGGCAGAGAATGCAGATAATTTGGTAACACCTTATATGAAACTGGAACAAAACTTTTCGAAAATGTATTTTTGTTGCCAGTTTAAATTTCTTTAACATATTTTATTATACAGAAATTCCGAACCATTACTGTATTTTGAGAGGGGGAAGCCTACGTTCAACAGTGGACAGATAATAGCTGAGATGGTTATAAAAAATATCTATCCGTGTCAGCTAAAATCGGATAATTCAAGAATTCAAAAAATTCAAGGCATTTAAGACTCTTTTTATGAAGAAAAACTAATTTTAAAAGAATAATACCATATTTCATTATATTATAATAGTTAAAATGACATGAATAATTTATTAGAAACTTACTTGGACGTATTTAGAGCGAGCCGCGGAATGTCTTCGTGCTCATCGCTGCTTGCAGACAATATCTGTGGATAATTATAACGAATAAGAGGCGAACAATAAAATACTATATATAACTGCATCCGCTCGAAATGTGTATTATTATTACGTCAATAACAGAGCGTCAACTGTTTGTTAAGGAAGGAAAAATATGTTTTCTGAAATATAGTATTTCCTGTTTTTCTATTTTATTTTTTATCTATTCGGAACAGAGTTGCAAATGTACTTAGCAGCAAAATTCACAGGTGATATTTTATTTTCAGCTACAACACAATATCAGCGTTTTGCTCTTTTGAGGGCAAAACAATAAATTGATTGTGACCATTTTGTGTAACTATGGCACGCGTACGACAGGTTGTGTGGTGTTTTTAATGGACGTTAATAGAATGGTAACTTCACTCGCGCTATCAGTATGCACTGGTGGGGCACCAATGAAGGATGATAGGTGAGGATGAAGCAGGTCAGTTAGCCCATTGTGAGCAATTCAATAAGAATTGTTCACGATGTTTTCCAGGGGGAACCGTGTGGAGGTCGACCTGATAGGGTATATTGCTAGCAATGGGGCTGTCAAACTCCATTGCTAACAATCCCTTCCCTCATGTATGATGTGTTGTAATGTAATGTAATTTAAATTGGATTTTCTTTTCCGCGCTTAGCCTCTCTCATTTGGGTCCCTGTGCGTATGCGTGGTGGCTAGTACAGGCAGCCCAGCTGTCGCTGCATGTGGCATGTGTCGCGTGGGCGTGGAGAGGTCCCGTGGAGGCGTGCAGCGGCGGGTGTGGCCGCACCTGGTCCATGATGCGGTGGTCGAGCGCGTGCGAGTAGTGCAGCTGGTCGCGCAGCGCGCGCTCCAGCTCGGCCGTGGGCGAGCGCCGCGCCTCCAGCCGAGCCTCCAGCCGAGCCTCCAGCCGAGCCTCCAGCCGCGCCTCCAGCGGCGACTGCCTGCGCACAGCCTTACATTCCTATCCTTGCTCTACAATAACTATACAACATCACTTTGTACGAAAATCGTTTGCTTTGCCACTTTTGTCCCATTCGTGTCTCAACCGTGGAGCAGTTGTGTTTGCATGGCTGTTTCGGTTTGCAAGGTGGGATATGGTAATGACTTTACAGGGTACAGAGGAATAACACCTGAGTCCTCAGGAATGGCAACGCATGGGGGGTATCATGGGCGAAACAGTATACTCTGTTATGTCCATGGTATTGCTCATGTCTAAAGACGACGGTTACCACTCCCCATCAGGTGGGTCGTCAGCTTGTTTGCCATTCTAAGTTGTATAAAAAATAAAAAAGATCCACATCAACATATACCAAATGTGATGTTATGGGGAGAGAAGCCGTTATTAATGAGACTAGACCGATAGATCGGTGACCTGCATTCATCCTCGTCTATCTTCTCATCTCCATCTCACCCCTCACTGGTGCCCTGTCCACTGTAAACCCCAAGTTACATTAAATTTTCTATTACCTGTCCAGGAGTTCCTTTAGTTCTTGCATTTCATTCTCAAGCTCGTGACACCGCTCCACCTTTTCTTGCAACTTGGCCTTCAGCTCCGAAACGTTCGACTCTTCCCTCATTCTAAAAATAATAATAATAATAATACCAATGATATAGGATACATTATAGAATAAAAAAATCGATTAATACAATCTTTAACCAAATTCATTTCTGATCACACGATTACGATAAATGATAAAAAAGATTTTTGGTTTCCTTATCTGGAACTGAAATTGCAGCATCATTTACGTTAAGATAATTTTCAAAGCCTAATGAAAACCTCTAAATGCCAGATTCTATATATATATTTTTTAATTTCTTAATAACACATTAATATGTTGTTTTACTGATATGTAAGAAGTATACCACCAACCTGGCCATTACAATCTCTAGCTGCTCGCTCATCTGCCGCCTGTCGGCCGTCAGCTGCTGTATCTGCTGCTGCAGACCCTCCACCTGTTGCTGCAACTCTGTATTCGCCCTTTCCTTGTCCGACACCTGCTTGTTCGCCTGACTCACATTGTTCGTCAGCTCTGTCACGTCTAGCTTGGCTTTTGCTAATTCGAATGCCTAAAAAAAGGTAATTAAATGTAAAAAAATCAGAAATATATAAAAGAAGTAAGGTAAGTTTGTTTGTTTATCACTGTCCCACTCGTATTTATGTGAAACAACTCTGAACCAATACAGACATGTAAATACATTGCTGTTTTGGTTCAAAAGACGGGAGACATGACAATGAAATTACAGAAAATGAAGGCTTGTTAATGCCTATAGAAGACGGTTTCCACTTTTCATTAAGTAAGCCGTCAGTTTACAAAAGGAACATTGTATCTACTTTTAAAACCAATTAGATTTTGTAATTAAATAAATACTCACTTTGTCATTAAGCTCCTTCTTGTTAAAGTCAAGCTCGTGTTGCAACAGCGTTATCTGTTTCCTTATCTTAACCAGCTGCTTCTTGTCGTTACTGGCGTGAGTCTTTGGCGACTTTATTTCTTCGCCGTTCTTACTCTTCGGCGATGGACTTCGCGACACCATCTTCAGCTGCTCCCTCAAACAAGCTATTTCCTCATGAAAAGAATTTATGTCTTCATGGAGTATTTCTATCTCTGTTTCTTTATCTTTAAGTTTGTCCGTCAGTAACTTAAGCTCGTCGATCTTCGTTGCAAGTTCGTTGTTTAAGGAATTCATTCTTTCCAACTCGGTCTCGCTGTTCTGAAGTTTCAAAGATGCATTCTCTTGTTCTTTTTCTAGTTTTGTTAATATTAGTTTCAGTTCTTTATTATTACTATTGAGTTGCTCGTTCTCTTCGTTGGCTTTACTCAAATCACATTTCAGTGCTTCTATAGAATCTTGCAATTGATAAAGTTCAGTAGATTTCTCTTCGAATGATTCCTTTAAATTTTCTAATTCTTCAGTTTTATCGTTAAGACATCTTTGCAAATCGTCAAATCTGTCTAAGTGTTGATTTAGACTATCTATTTGTTGATTCTTTTCGGAGACCAACTGTTCGAGTTTTTGTAATTCCGTTACATTCTCTCTTAGCTGATGGTTCTCGGATTCACATTTTTCCAGGGATTTGTTTCTGCTTTGAAGCTCATCAATTTTCACTTCTAATTCAGCTAATTTATTAGTCAGGTTGCGTTTTTCTTTGGCTAATTCTAGTATCATGTTTTCTCTTCTTAAAATATCTTCTTTGAGCAAATGTAAGTCTTTGGATTTTTCGTTAACCTCTTGTGTTAGTTCTGTTAATCTCTGTTCCAGAAGTTTCTTGTTTGATGAGAAATTTTCTAGTTGGTTTTCATAAAATTTCTTGTCCGTTTCCATTGTAGCCATGGTATTTTCTAATAGTCCTTTAAGCTCTTCCACTTCTTCCTTAAGAGCCGGAAATTCACATAACTGTTCCTCAGCATTTTTCAATTCAGACTTACAGTTTTCTAATTCAGTTTTAGATTTTTTTATTTCATGTTTTAGCTGAGTCAGTATATCAGGAAAGTTTTCTTGTTTGATGTCAAGATTTATCCCTAATTCACGTAAAGACGTAAATTCTTCTTCTTCGTGAGTTTTATTATCATTCGATGCTTCCATAGAGAAGTTGATCTTCTTAGGTTCAACGCTTACATCTTTTGTATCATTTATTTCCCTGTTAGGATACATTGAGCAATTATCCGGTATATTAGGAGCAGTAGAATGCTTAACACTTTCCCCAAAACCAATAGTTCCAAACATTGTAGTCTCATTAACATTTCTTTTATATTGATTGAGCATATCTTTATTCTGTGTGGAAGTGAGATGTGCGGGCAGTGAGTCAGCGCGTGGAGTATTATCTTGCACGTCAAAATGATCGATAAATTCGATATTGAGAGAACTCATGTTCGCTCGCTGCAAATCTGGGGGCAACGTCCTATTCAATTGACTCTTGTCTCGAGTATCGGATGCGTACGGCGCGCCAGACAAGCTCAAGTTTTGGGCCTTTAATTCCGCCCTCCTCATTTGTAAATCCTGTTCGTCAAATTCTGATATGGAAACTATATCACTAAGCGTCCTAGCAGACGCCTTGCCTTCTACGACATCGCTTTTTTCGTTGGTACCCTCGTCCCGTTGGTTCTCATCGTCTAGTTTTAATGCTAAAAGAAAATATAAGCCGTGAATCATCGTAACCGTTGTATAATAAACAGGTTTGTCATCGTAACCTACATTGTCGTAGGAAATTGGATAGTGTCCAAGTATCTTTAATTGAAGAAGTTCTAAAGCTTACACGTTCAATTACAACATGAAATCGTAAAAGATTAATATAAATCGTTAAAATACTATTTCACATAAACTAGTTCTACCGTTAAATCTGATTGTAATTATTAAAAAAATCTCGAAAATGGACAAAAAAATACATTATATAGAATTTGTGTAAATTACTCTCAGGGACATTTTGTAAAATGAACTATATTACATTTCAATATAGTATAACATACCTAACAATTCTTGCAGTTGGTCTTCTTTCTCAGCTAACGCTCTCTGGTGGTCCCTAATATTAGCTTGCATTTGTTCCTTATCTGATTCCAAACTTCTTGCCAGTGATTCTAACTGGGCAATGCGAGTTTGCGCCGCAGATAACTCGCATTCTAGTATAATAACTTTGTCTTTCGGATTACCTGTCGAGAAACAATTTTTTTTTTATGTTTGTAATTTATATTTAACTTAATTCCCATACCGTTTAAGGTGTTAAAATGTACTCACATGAATTTCCATATAATGTTTGGTGTTGATCGTTGAGTTTATCTCTCTCCTCCAGGCTTTGTTTTAATCGTGTCATCTGTTTGTCTTTCGCCTCCAGTTCATCCTTCAATCTCTGTACCTGTTGCAATCGATTATGTGAGTATGTTATAACAAGAAACTAATAATATAATTCATAATGTTCTGAACAAATTCATAATTGCTTGTTGGTTGTTATGTTTTGTATAATATATATAGATCAAAGTGTGATTTCCTAGTGTAAGTTTATAGCAAAGAGGGATGGCACGCGTAATGCGACTAGTACAGCAGGCGTTCATGGGTTGTGGTAACCGGTTACCACCAGGTGTGTGGTATGCTTGCTTGCCGCCTCAGTGCGAGGTGTGGTGTACCTGTGCGAGCGCGTCGTGCAGCTGCACGGAGAGCTGGCTGGCGGCGCTGTGCGCGAGCGCCTCCGCGTCGTTGCGCTGCTGCTGCAGGCGCGCCGCCAGCGACGAGATCTTCAGCGCCTGCTCCGACATGCGCGCCTGCAGCACGTCGCGCTCCGCGCGCACCTCCTGCGCACGGCGCGGCAACCATGCAATAACATTCTCAAACTTGCCACTGCACATTTATGTTTTGATGACAAAAATGTGTTCGAACAATTCCCAAACATAATATGAAGTAAGTGCAGCTCCAAAAACAATGGAAGATTAGCTTTTATCGGCCACTACGCACAATCGGTATACGTTCATTGATCGGGGCAAAAAGTACCCTGTATTCTTCTCCATTCCTTACAATACGTAATAGGTTAATCCATTGTGATGCTATACAAACAAACTCACTTTGACATCTATAATATTAGTATGAGTCTGAACATTGTCAGATAGCTGCGACGTAACCTCGCTTCATGTTAAAGTTGTGAACACACTTAGGACTAAAAAGGACAAAAGTAGAGTGCTCTTTAGTTTTCAACGTCGCAGTTAACAAGTGACGAATATCTAAACATCTTTACATTTATTTATTCACTTCACTGTACACACTAATATATACAAATAAAAAATATGACAGAGGTAAGTAAATGTACAAAGGCGAACTTAACTCTAAAAGAGTTCTCTAAGTGGAAAGAAGCATCAATGTCAACGGGTAGAGCGGTGTACAATATTGTGACAATTTTCAAACAAAAAAACAAACTGGATAATCTTAATTTTATACCTACACACATAAATAAATAAATATATATTCATAAAGATAGAAGATGCTCTTTAAGTCTACTCTTCAAAAATAATTAGAAATTGACTTTCACGAAAAGGGAACTCCACAATCTAGCAGCATGGACGGTAAAGGATCAGCTATAGCGCGTAGAAGGGAGTTTGAGGATAAGAGACTTCGTCGAACGAGAGAATACGCCATGGGGAACTAGGAAACTACATATGATAGTAAGATAAAATTACATGGCGAACGAACGCTTATAAAAATAAGAACCATTGACGTTTAAGATACGCAGTTTGGACAAAAATAGACTATATAAATACACTATGTAAACATAAAAATACCAACCCCTCTCTCTCTGTATCCGCATATTCATAAACATATCTGACGGGATGTTACTATTGACTGTTACTATTTATAGAGGCCAATTTAGATTACTGTTACTAAACGATCAAAATGTATCTAGCAATATCTATCTAGCAGTTTTTTGTAGTTAATTTTTTAAAATCTTTTCTCGCGTGTACATTCGTGTGACAGGGCTAGATTGAAAGAGATAAAAAGAGTAGCGTAACTCCTTCACCGTCCCATATGGAACCTACATACTAAATGTTATTTCGTAGTAATTGGTTAAAGGTGGTTTTTTTTTTTAGTTTAATGGGTGATAATGATATAATTCATGTTCAAAATTATAGGAAAAATGGTTTAAAAAATTAAATTTGACAGCTATGTTAAATTTTAGCAATTATATTTCTGCAATGGAAAAGGTATCAGACCGATCAACTTAAAGTGATTCAATGGATGGATGACAGACGAAGATGAAAAAATAATGTAGGTCAAATCTAAGTTAGCCAATCCTGACGAATTAAACTAGAATTAGTCACGATGGTCATTCATAGATATCTGCAGGTTACAGTGACCCGTGTAACCATTTTTTTTAATGGGTTCACCCCATCTGTTTGTCTGGCGGGGCGCCAGTGAGGGGTGATCGATGAAAACATGACAATTAACCATGATGGTTTCAAGGAGAAACCGCGTGAAGGTCGACCTGATAGGGTGTATTGCTAACAATGGGTCAGTTAGACTCCATTACTGACAATCCCTCCCCCCGTATATACCATTAAGCGAGTATATTTGTCACCTTAGATAAAAGTAGTACAAAGTTAATCTCGCTTATAGTGGGGAGTAAGGGATTGTTAGTAATGGAGACTGAGAATCCCATTGCTAGCAATATACCCAACCAGGTCAACCTCCTCGCGGTTCCCCCTGGAAACTATCATGGTTAATTCCTGATGAATTTATCATGATGGGCTAACTGGCCTGTTTTCATTCTTATCTATCACCCTTCACTGGTGCTCCGCCAGCGTATCCCGTTAGCGCACGCGGAGTTACCATTCCATTTTCACCCATCAAAAAATACGCTTATAGTTAAAACTAACCCAATCAACTCAGCGCTAAATTTATCAACGTGACACAGTTTTATACCTCTGAGAAGAGGTCTCTAAATGTCATTGGGTTAAACTTGATTGGGTTATCATGAGATGTGTTAGTGTGACGACATTTTATTTTTTGTTTTATATATAATATAAAAATCATGCCCAATAATAGTGAATTTTTTCATTCAAGTTTCGTCTTTGCGAGTTATAATGGAATGTAGCGTAAATTGGACTCTCTTTTCCGTGCTTAGCCTCTCATTTGGGCCGTTGTGCGTACGAGGACTCCTACACGTTGAGAGGCCACAGCTTCACATTACACGATTACGTGAGCAGCCGTTTCTTCGGCGTAAAGGGCTGTCTGTGGCTTCTATTGTGTATTAAGTTAACGATTAAAAGAGATACTATTGTTACTCAATCATCATACAGATATCTTTTCTCGGTTATGTACTGTAATTTTTTTACGTCACTTAGAATGACAAACAAGCTGACGGCCCACCTGATGGAAAGTGGTAACCGTCGCCTATAGACATGAGCAGTATCATGGACATAACAGTATATACTACTTCGCCTATAATAACCCCTATGCGTTACCATTCCTGAGGAGTAAAGTGTTATTCCTCTGTACCCTGTAAATTCACTGCCATATATCCCATCCTTCAAACCGAAACACAGCCATGCAAACACAACTGCTTCACGGTAGAAACACGAATGGGACAGAGGTGCCCAAGCAAACGACTTTTGTACAAAGTCTCCCTGTGATAAATTGGCAACAATAATGCTAATAATATGCGCCACTACGTCGTTGGCAGTCGCAATTATTCTGATAGGCCGTGAATAGTCCGCGCCGTCTGAATAGGATGTACGTACATACAAAACGAATATCGTTTGATTATAGTTCTGTCACATTGGACTTGGTTAGTGGCATTGAATATATTCACACATGTTTATTTTTGAACTGTATACGTATATATAGATAGGTAGGCAGGCTGTGTGCGTGTCGTGTTTGTCTATTCATGTTTGCAAAATTCGTGTTGGTGTTAGTAAAAAAAGAATCTATTACATATCTTTTTTTCTTATTTTTTTTTTTTATTAATCTTAAACAAAAGTGGGAGGCTTATGTCCAGCGGTGGACGGATAGTGGCTGAAATGATGGCGATGATGATGAATCATATACAAAAATCTCGTGTTACGTTGTTAGCGGTCTAACTACGAAAGTGCCACGTAATTTTTTTTTTTGATATTTATTTATTTATTTATATACATATTTTTGGCGAGTTTTACAGTTTTTACCAATGCACTCACTAAAAATTGTATTATATTTATATTTGGTAGATATCAGAATAGGTCTTATAGAGTATATTTCACACCTCTAGATGATTAGATTCTGTCCCTATCTAGAAAAAAAATCGCAAAACAACGTTTGCCAGGTCAGTTAGTAATATTATGTTTTTGTAATTTATTGTCTTTACGATCCTTTCAAGAAAGCAAACGACAACTTTTTCTTTAACATAAGTAAAAATTGCCTCTCTTAGAAATGGACAAATGGAACTTGGTGCGTCTCGTTTACAATTACACTCATTTACTTCCTCCAAAAGATTCTAATGATTCTAATGTATCCTGCATACATTAAAAAAGTATTCTCTACTAATGAAACTAAACATTTTTCCCCACGAAAAATGTATCGAAAAACGACAAAAAAATTAATATGACTGCAACTTCATCTTGCAGATATGGGCATGAACACTCATTTCAAAATAATCATTACAATCGACTCACAATAAAGATAATAGTTATGCAGAATTAGTTAACATACCTGAGATATTGGCAGTTTTTTTTCTGCATAACTACTCGTAACTAGAATTTATAAAAAGACTGCGTAGTATGCACACAAAAATATGATCGAATTAAGAACTTTTGAATTGCGCTGTGTGCCTCGGCATAGAATGGGCCACCCCTTCCTTTCCCGTGGATGTCATAAGAGGCGACTAAGGGAGGGCGAGAGGTGGGCAGCAGCGTCTCTTAAAACATTCTCAGACTTAATTGCGGTTGCCAACCCGCTTGCCAAGCTTGGCAAATACTGGCAAAACTCCTCTTAATGGGGAAAGCAACTTATAATAAATAATAAGAACTTTTGAAGACGGCAATAAACCAGGATTTACATCGCGATACGACGTCATTCGCTAAATCAAAAGTTGGACAATCTTTTAACGAACTGTAAAACTTTCCCATTGCATTATCAACGAAAATAAACAGCGCACGCGGGAACAGTGTAAAACCCCACTCACCGTGAGATCCGGTAGGCCCATACCGATGTACTTCCTAATGTAACCCCACACAAACATCACACATCACGTGTAATCATCACCTATTTATAAACAAACACACACAGGCACTAATATCACAACTACGCCATTAGCACACTACATTTTGTATGATGACAATTGTTATGGTATTCCGTTGGGTACGTTAATGCTCTGGTGTTGTGGGATCAGTGTAGTGGGTGGCGCGGGTGGCAGAGACCTTACGGCAACATAACACGCTCTGAAGCATCGGGAGAGACTGACTGCACGCCGGGACAGCTGGGATGTACGGCCGCCGTGTCGGAGAAGTTACGCAATGGATGCGGCAGTTGAATTTCCGCGATTGTATTTTTTACTGAATGTTCTACGATTTTTAATCATTTTTTTTTTGTTTTTATCATATCTATTAAAAAAAAAAAGACTTCAAAATACTCAACTAATAATATTATTAAATAACAATACTAATTTTGTAATCTTTATACCGCTAAGGTGGCAAATGCAGCCTGTTTGATGGTAAATGGGAATAAGGGAGCTTAAAAGTCAAGAGAAAAGCAGCAGTGTCCTTCTTAAAACATCACCAAAGCCTAACCGCGTTTGCCAATCTACTTGCCAAGCATGGCAACTACTGGCAAAATACCCTCCAAGGGGGAGACCTATGTTCAGATGATATCACGGTACGGCTGATATCATCAAACAGGGGGGAATGGAATTATTAGTAATGGGGTCTAACAGCCCCATTGCTAGCAATATAAGGTATACAAGTTCGACCTCCACGCGCTTCCCCTTTGAAACCATCATGGTTAATTCTTATGGAATTCGTCACGATGGGCTAACTGACCTGCCTTTTCATCCTCACCAATCATCTCTCACTGGTGCCCTGCCAGTGTATACCGTTAACGCAGGCGGGATTACCATTCCATTATCAACCAGAGGGAGACTTTGTATAAAAGTCGATTGCTTGGGTACCTCTGTCCCATTCGTGTTTCAACCGTGAAGCAGTTGTATTTCGGTTTGAAGGGTGGAGTATGGCAGTGAATTTACAGGGTACAGAGGAATAACACCTGAGTCCTCAGGAATGGCAACGCATGGGGGTATCATGGGCGAAACAGTATACTCTGTTACGTCCATGACACTGCTTGTGCCTATAGGCGACGGTTACCGCTTATAAAAAAAGAAGTAATCATCAAATATAAAAAAATACAAGTGAATTGAGAATGTCCTTCTTTTTGAAGTAGGTAAATAAAATTAATAAAAATGTTCCTGAATGTATCAGTACATTATACCGCATCCACTAGTCGAGACTCGGTCATGATCTATATTTATCAGTTGTCTATACATACATATGTGTACGTACGGTCGCGACAGCGGTTGTAGGGTTGCCAGATATTTGGCCGCTGTTTATCTTCCGACTTGTGCAACTGGAGGGCTAGTGTTAATGGGTTGCTAACGAGCGTTGCAACACCGGCCCACTACCGGTTACGTGTTCGCGCTGTATGTTATATATATATATTTTATATTTAATAGGTGGACGGTACTCTTTGTAGTAAATATAGGGCAGGGTCTGGTATAGCAATAGTATGAATGTGGCACATTTAAGTAGCTACGCTTTTAATAAACAAAGATGGAATGGTGCACCTGCTTATGCTAACTGTGTACAATGGGGGGAAAGGGATTGTTAGTAATGAAGACTGAGAATCCCATTGTTAGCAATATACCCAACCAGGTCGACCTCCTCGCTGTTCCCCCAGGAAACTATCATGGTTAATTCCTGATGAATTCATCATGATGGGCTAACTGGCCTGTTTTCATTCTCATCTATTACCCTTCAGTGGTGCTCCGCCAGCGTATCCCGTTAGCGCAGGCGGGGTTACCATTCCATTTTCACCCATAAACTGTGTACAATGACGGAGTACCAGTGGATAGGGGGTAGGGAAGAAGTTATTAGTAATGAGGTTTGACAGCCGCTTACTAGCAATATACCCTATCAGGTCGACCTCCACGTGATTCCCCCTGAAAAGTATTGTGGCTAATTCTTGTTGAATTGACTTCTAGTAGTGCACATATTTAAAACATCGTATGACAATTTAAAATTACTCAGTGGGCCAATGGAGATGGCTTTGCTCGGAGTCTCTTTGTGTGACAGAATCCGAAACGAGGATATCCGCAAAAGTACCAAAGTAACTGACATAGCCAGAAGGAGAAGCAAGCTGAAGTGGCATTGGGCTGGTCACATAGCTCGAAGAACCGACAACCGATGTGGAGGAATAGTACTTGAGTAGTCCCCCCACTAGATGGAGTGACGACCTCAAATGCATTGCAGGGAGTCAGTGGATGCAGGTGGCTCAGGACCGTTCTTTGTGGCAGTCTATGGGGGAGGCCTATGTCCAGCAGTGGACGGATAATGGCTGAAATGATGATGATAATGACAGTAAGCAAATACAAATTCATACGCTTATATTAACACGATTCTACATTTGGATAGATAGATAGATAATTTATTTGCATTACTTGTAGCAGACAAACAACAATAGACATAAATGCACAGTGAAAAAAGATAAAAAAAAATACATATCCAAAAAATAAAATAAAAACAAAAACAAAATGCGTAAAATAACTAACATTTTCCTTTCATGCGTGTGCCACAGTAACACAAAATGAGCACAACTCAGTTTATTGCTTTGCCCTAAAAAGAGCAAAACACTGATATTTTGTTGTGGCCAAGAGTGAGCTGCGAAATTCCATAGAAAAAAATAATAAAAAAAAAGAAATAAGAAATATAGATAAAAAACATTGTGTTTTAAAAAAAACCATCATGATTACTGAACAATGATGCAGCAGCCCTGTTTAAAAACATGTAACTCAAATCGGAGAACACGCCGCGCATTAGGGTCGCCTTAAACAACTCCCACTGACTGATGCGTGTGGACGCTGACTCACGGGTTATATGGTTAACTCGCCAATATTATGGCACATTAGTGGTGAAAACTGAACGAAGGTATTCTTAATATTTATGTTGTTTATATAGGTTGTGTTGTTCTCTAGAAATCTGTCCGATTCTAGAATAATATATATATAATATACGGGTATGCGACACGGCCTCCCGAGCCGCTGCAGTGTCCCCCCCGCCCCTTTCCTTTCCCACATAAGTCCCTTATTCGTCTCGTTCACCAATTTCGTTTACGCATTTCCAACGTTCACTTCCTTTTTTCCTCAATCCTTTCCTCCATACCGTAGGTGGCGGAGACCACCAACAAATGCATTTCCAAAGAGGGTTGACGTCAGGCAGGTGGCCGGTCGTAAAATTAAAAACCAAATCTTTTTGTAATATGGATAAAACCATATTACGCCGACCCCAAATAATAATTGGGATAAGGGTAGGAAGATGATGATGATGATGAATATATTCAGTATGAATTATGTACAATAAAGATTTTACAATACAATACAATTCTTTTACTCGAACCATGAAATGAAATGAATTTATTTTGCTAGAATGCAGGTAATTTTAGATGATAGAGGTTTATATTTCCCGTGTACATTCTGCCTCTATGTCGGCGTGCAAATTTTTAACAATATAATATATATATATATATATATATATATATATATATATATATATATATATATCATTATATTTCCTTTCCCTAGTCATACAATATATTATTATTATTTATTACAGTAAACGGTAAATAAAAGCCTGTACAATAGTTGTCCAAATTAATAAAATATTTTAACAAACTGTGATATCAATTAGTGTATAAGAACAGCATGATTCTTTGGAAAAAATATAATTCCACGAATAGAATATTCCTTTAGTTAACAATTAACTGTAAAATGTAAATAATAAACTATTTATATTGTTTTATATTAAAATCGGTGTAAGAGAAGAAAAAATTGCAACGTAAAACAGCAAAATAATTTTTTAGCCGAATTGTGTTTGGTTTTATTGTAGTTTTCATTTTTGCAATATTTCTTAACACGTTTTGTAATTTTAAACTATGCTTTTGGTAACACTGCCATCCCACACTGAGTACTACTCTCTAAATATATCCTGCAATGCTTTGTTAATATTTTTACCTATAAATATCATGTTTTTTTCTCTCAACATCGCGATATATCAAACCAATTGACTCTCATTTGTGAACATATTGTTTTCGATTGATACATCGCCATCAATTTATTCGACAAATTATTCTTTGTGCTGATGCATTTTTAAATTCGTCTCACTGCATCACTGAACTTATCAATACTAATATATCCTATAACAGTTTTGAATTTATGTGTAATTTATGATAATGTATGGGTAATTTATGTGCAAAAAAATAAATTTTTCTTTACTTCTTTTGAAGCGCATTTGAGTAACAAACTTACAGATTTATACGATTAATCAGATAGCAAAATATATACTTTTTACTCATATGTATCGAGTCATTTATTTTATTTAAACCAACAATTTTGTAGTTACTATGTTTTTGTTCTATTATAACTAAGGCTCCTTTCAAACTAATAATAAAGAATGTTTTACCAAACCATAACTAATCTTGTTCCATACACTAAACCCACATTTATTTTTTTATGCCACAGACAAAACATCTAAAATGGGATTTACATACATTCTATATTTAAGCTCCCTAAAGTGTGGATTACTTTAAAACGCCTATATAACCTCTGTAAATACGAAAATACACTTAAATATACAAAGAAAACGCCCCTTATTTACGCTGAGACGTATCAAAGCGGCGATATCTGCACAGACGGCGTTATAATCGCTTTGAGCCCTTTGATGTGTTTCAACGGATTACTCTCAGAGTCTCGACAGTTGTAAGTGAAAACAAATGACTCATATATGTTAAAGGCTGTACACACAGAATGAATGAAATGACTATATGAGGCGTAGATATGTAATAGGATTAGGTTACAATTTGTTAAATGCGGTTGTATTATTTTATGTTTGTTACCTCATAACTCCGTCAGTTATGAGTGTAACTGACGGAGTTAGGACACCCTTCAAACCGAAACACAGCCATGCAACACAACTGCTTTACGGTTGAAACACGAATGGGACAGAGGCGCTCAAGCAATCGACTTTTGTACTCTCTGTTTCACCAGAGAGAAATCTCTCTCTGGTGAAAACCAGAGAGAGATTTCTCTCTGGTTTTCACCAGAGAGAGATTTATATATTTTATATTTTTTATATTTACTTGTTTACTATCCAATTGGCGAAAATCTCTTTCTATATTAAGATACATACTTTATTTTAAAGCGGTCATTTGACCGCTCATGGTGGGATTTTTTTATGGGTGAAAAAAGAATGGTAACCCCGCCTGCGCTAACGGGATACGCTGGCGGAGCACCAGTGAAAGGTGATAGATGAGAATGAAAACAAGTCAGTTAGCCCATCATGATGAATTCATAAGGAATTAATCAAGATAGTTTCCAGGGGGGACCGCGAGGAGGTCGACCTGGTTGGGTATATTGCTAGCAATAGGATTCTTAGTCTCCATTACTAACAATCCCTTTCCCCCCTCTCATGGTAGTATTAGGTATATATGAAATGTCGGTAGGTTTAGTGTTAATTGCTTTATGGGTATTGCCGGTTACTGAACGCGTATCAGTCGAGTGTATCGTTCCTGTTAACCTGGTTTCCCTCGTTTTCACAACTATTCCCATAAATTTGTGATGGATCGTATAATTCGTTTAAGCCAATGGCTCCAGTATGTATTACGTAACACAGCCCTAGATTTAAATATCGACAGTTTGATACGTTCATCGAATCGAATGGTGTGGGTATAAATATTTTCTCTATTATTACTTTATAGACTCAGTTATTTCACTAATTTTATATTAATATTTGATAAAATTTAAACCGTGTAGGTCCCGGCATGGAATGGGCCACCCCTTCCTTTCACGTGGGTGTCGTAAGAGGCGACTAAGGGAGCTTATGGTGGGGAAATGGGCAGCAGCGTCCCTCTTTCTTAAAACATTGCCAAAAGCCAAACTACGGTTGCCAACCCGTCTGCCAAGTTTTTTTATGCCACTGAGGTGGCAAATAAGTATACAGCCCACCTGATGGTAAGCGGTTACCGAGCCTATGAACGCCTGCAATATCAGAGGTATTACGCGCGCGTTGCCGACTCTGAAGAAACCTCTTTACCCTCCTTTTGAAGAACCCCATGCTGTAGTCTCTTGGGAAAACATCGGCAGGAAGCTCATTCCATAACCTGAGTGTTCGTGGGAGAAAGCATCTCTGAAACCGCGTTGTACACGACCATTTAGGCTGTAGGGTATGAGGGTGAACTCCCTGTCGATGGCGAGCCGTACGATGATAGAAAGTGGCCGTAGGCATCATATTGAATAATTTCTCTGAGCACAATCCGTTGTACAAATGTGGCAACTATTAACAAAACCCCTCCCTACAGTGTTCACCAATCTTCAGCAGTGGACAGTCAACGGCTGATATAATAATATAAATACAGGATTGGTATTCCGCATAACTAACAATCCCCCCCCCCCATACAAAGGTATTTTTATGGGTGAAAATGAAATAGTCACCCTGCCTGGTGAGGGTGACAGGTGAGAATGAAGGCAAGTCAGTTGGCTCATAGTGATCAATTGAACAAGAATTAACCACTTTGGTTTCCAGGAGGAACCGCGTGGAGGACGACCTGATAGGGTGTATTGCTAGCAATGGGGTTGTTAAGTCATTATTAACAATGCCTTTCCCCTCTTATACAAAGGTATTAAAATAAAATAAAATGGTTTAATTTCCGCAGACAATAATTGGACGTCATACGTGGGCGATACGTCTAAGAACGGCAGTATTTGAACTCGACATATGAGTAATAGATATTTGGCACAGCGATAGTACAAAACGCGTATATTAAGGCGAAAATAGAATTATAAATGTTGGTATTATTTTTCACATATCTTTGTCGTAATTGGTAACAGCAAGGCTTTACAAAATTTTTTTTTATACAACTTAGAATGGCAAACAAGCTGACGGCCCACCTGATGGAATGTAGTAACCGTCGCCTATAGACATGAGCAGTACCATGGACATAACAGAGTATACTGTTTCGCCCATAATATCACAGCACATGTGAATATGTAATAAATTTATATTCTTGTACTAAGACGTAAGATATTTCTACAGGTTTGTGTAAATTGTAAATTGCTTAGGATTTTTACAAAGCCATTCTATCACGGTGTCTTTATGAACGTGGTGATAAACATACTTGGAGTTCTGCCAGCCAGAACGAAATTCCTCAAGGTCCACATTAATGGGAATAAATCTTTTGCTGTATATGTCGAAATTTTTGTGATGTAGCGGTTTAACAAGCTGTCGCCACGTGGGCGAAGCCGCGGGCGAAAGCTAGTGAGTTAATAAACTCACTTTCATGATAATCAATTATAAATATATATACTGTGGAGTAATACAATCCATGAAAGAAAAGGAGAAAAGAACATTGATAAAACAATAGAAAATAGAAGAAGCAAAATACTGGGCCATCCTATACGACATGACGATTTTTAAAGAGCATAGTAGAAAACAAAATAGAGAACAAAATAGGAAGGGAAGACCGAGAAATAATTTTCCAGAGGAAGACTTTTTAAAAAAGTCGTTTGCTTGGGTACCTCTGTTCCATTCATGTTTCTACCGTGAAGCAGTTGTATTTGCATGGCTGTGTTTCGGTTTGAAGGGTGGGATATGGCGTGAATTTATTAGGTACAGAGGAATAACACCTGAGTCCTCAGGAATGGCAACGCATGGGGGGTATCATGGGCGAAACAGTATACTCCGTTATGTCCATGGTACTGCTCATGTCTATAGGCGACGGTTACCACTTTCCATCAGGTGAGCCGTTAGCTTGTTTGCCAGTCTAAGTTGTATAAAAAAAAAAATCGTAGTATTTTAATTTCGCCATAACTTCAAAACAAAACGTCCAATTTTAATAATTCAAAGATCAAATACTATCTACATAAACTGTATTTAGTGATGAAATATTTTGATAAGGATTAATAGCATGAGTAAAATAAATGCGCTTAAATGTAGTCCAAAAAAAATTCAAGATTTAAAATAAAAAAATGGTTGTTGTGCCTCACTTGACATAGATAAGTATAGTGTGTCGCGGACTTTTTGTAGATATTTATAAGATCTACAATTCTGTGCCTCTAGTGAGAAAAAGTTCAATTCAAAATGGCCACTTTTCAGGAGAGCCAAAAAACCATTTTAAATAAAGAAAAAAAAATTCTGGTTGCTTTTATTATTATGAATTGAACAAGTCAATGATTGCATTTATAGTAATTTTTTTCCTCTTATAAAATTGTCGCCTTTTGTGTAAAACCTATAGTTTTAAAAATAATTCTATTATACCTAATCACACTTAACAAAAATATTAAAATTATCATGTGAAAATAGTTTTAAGTTGAATTAAAACTATTTTATTGACAATTGAAGAAAAACAATGTTGTGTATTTTACGCTATAAAAAATAATCGCTATTTAATGGTGTAAAAGGGTTCAAATCGAACTGATTCATTTTACACAAAAATAAATTCATATTTAAAGGGTGGTTCTAAGTATGTTGTCATTTTTGGCACTATTTTTGTAAAATATTGTAGTTTTATTTCTAATTATGACTTTTTTACCACAATTTTGTTAATTGTAGCCTTTTACATGTTTACTATCTCTATTGTTTTTAAAGATATCGCTAAGATTCTTATCATTCGAAAGAGAAAAATTTGCTTATTTAAAGTAGCCTAAAAAAGTTTTCATTCTCATAACTTGAGTTATACCCTTCTCACTGAGTGCTCAGAATTAATTAGAACATTTTAATATTTGCGCAGGCGGGGTTCACCATACTATTTTCACACATATAAAAAAATGGCTTAATTAATTACTATGAAATTTAATAAACACGTACTACATGAGATAGAGTGGGATTTAGGCTACTTTTTATCCAAACATCACGCAGACGAAGTCCTTACTTTTTCCAAAGTAAAGATTTAATTTTGTCTATTGGATGATGTAGCATCGATAGTTCCTATTTTTAAAAACTAGATGGCGCTGTGGTTTTTGAGCCTATTCAAACATATTTAAACAAACAAAGTTTTCATCTTATTATATTATGTAGATAGTGTCTTAATGGCTTAATAAGGGGGGAAAGGATTGTTAGTAATGGAGACTGAGAATCCCATTGCTAGCAATATACCCAACCAGGTCGACCTCCTCGCGGATCCCCCTGGAAACTATCATGGTTAATTCCTGAAGAATTCATCATGATAGGCTAACGGGCCCGTTTTCATCCGCATCGCATCGCTGCCGGGGACCCCGCCAGCGTATCCGTTAGCGCAGGCTGCCGCCACAACATTCCATTACTCACACATAGAAAAAAGCTTAATTATTACTATGAACCAATGGACACCACACATGGATAGACACAATCTTTTTTTATTCAAGATCACAAAACGATGACTAAAGGAACAAGAATCAGAACCGAGTATATTTAAAATGTATTCAAAATAAAATATCGACAATGAAAATTTACATAAATGGCGACGTATAGAAGATAGAATCGCGCAGAGAAACGATTAAAATTATGGTGGGTCGTGTATTGCAACCCCTGACAGTGACTTGTATACATACATGGTAAACTTACATTACATAGATAAAGTGTCACCATATAAATGCTGTGCTAAAAACAGATCAATTTTTTATCTATGTGTGCGTATTACCATAACATACGTTTATAAATTAAAATATAAAAATGACCAAATGTATGAAAAATTCATTTTAAAAAACAAGACGAACAGTGCATAAAAATTTCGAATGATGTTTTCTTTACTGATTGCTTTGATTACTTTGATTTATATTAAAGTATATATATATATATATATATATATATATATATATATATATATATATATATATATATATATATATATATATATATATATATAGTTAGCAATTCAAATAAAAAAAAACATGATCTGGGAAATTTTTAATCTGAGACTTTTTTTATATAAATTTTTAATAAAATTTTTGTACCAATAAAAAAAGGCGTTTAAAAAATATGCGTCAAATTGAGTATTTCTTTTTTTTATGTGTAGCTAATTAAATGTTGGCACGTTTTTGCCACTCAGTGCTTTATCCTATCCCATATGTAAGGCAGTGGCGGTACCGTGAGCTGGTGGCGCTGGTCCCGCAGCGACACGTCCTCGCTGGGCTCGCTGCACGACGCCGAGCACACCTCGTGCAGCCGCTCCAGCTGCCCGGTGCGCCGGTGGATCTTCTCCTCCAGCCACCGGCACTGGTGACAGTCGTTATCGTCATAAAAGAGAAACAAAAAAAGTGCGAAATGATGACACCAAAAGTATATTTCTAAGGATTATGACGTTTTAAGAAAACCGACCTCTGGAAACCTTACGTTATGGCTAACTGTGAGCAAGCAACCCGAATTAAAAAGCCTTGTATTTTTTTTTTACAACACAGGGGGCAAACGAGCATGCGGCTCGTCTGATGGTAAGTGACTACCGCCGCCCATGGTCACCCACAACACCTACGGCATTGCAGGTGTGCTGCCGGCCTTTTAAAAAGGAATATGCTCTTTTCTTAAAGGTTATGTTGTCGTATCGGTTCGGAAATACTGCTGCTGGAACTTGATTCCAAAGAGTGGTACTTACAGAAGTCAACAAGAGTAGAGTGTAATAGTAGAATCGAAACAATCCTTCAAAAATGTAAGCATAAGTGTATAATTTCCTACTGTTTTGGTCCTTCGAGGCGGATATTTTGCTTTAAAATCGCTCCCTTATGAAGTGACTTTAAAAAAGAACAAGATTATGAATAGTGATAAAACTGCCAACCTGTTCTCGAACTTTCTCCAACAGCTCCCCATATCGATCCTCCTCCTGCTCGCAGTGGACGCACGTCACCTCACTCTGATCTACTTTCTCGCTCTTCAACGACTCCAATTCGCCTAGCAGGGATCTCATCTTGCCGTCTCTCTCTTCTATCGTCTTTTTCATTCCCTCCAACTGCTCTAATATCTCCGCTTCGTGCGTTGCTTTCTGCTCTAGTTGATTCTCGAGATTTCCTATTATATCTCTGAGTAATGTCACCTTCTCCTCAGTGGCTTTAAGCTCGTCATCTGATGCGGCTTTCTTCATTTCCAGTTCGTTTATAATTTGATTCATCTCACGGGTCTGAGCTTCGAGCTGTTCAACCTGTTGATTAAACAGTATATTTTATATTAGTTATGTTCTGCGCTTTGTCCGCATAACCCCATTAACTCCCATTGAAGTGCAATATTTAGAACATTTAAAAAAAATAATTTCATGCTTTTAAACCAAATTTAATGTCAGTTACTCAGTGCTTAAATAGACATTTGGCCGCATAATATTCCTAAGAATATTCCCAATGTGTTATAAAAGCTTAATCTAAAATTTGTCGGGCATTTTCTAAGCCATCTAATTCAGATATACCTAGACGGAATACATATTTGATGCCCTGTGGTTACGCATAACTGATAGGATGATTATCTCTCAATCTAATGTAGTTATAGAAATATATAAAAAGAGCTATATCTGGATAGAACTATGGACTATTCATTTACGCAGTCAGTTACAAGTTCGAGTTATAAGTAAAAAAATGTCTACTATAATAATGAATGTGTCTAACGTATTCAGATGCTTGATTTAAACCAATTTAACAAATGTCAAATGGATATCAGTTATTCAGGTATAGTAGTATTATTTTGTACAATGGCAATACAGCGTTCATTACTGATACAATACATAAAGATATCAACGCCGCACTACAAAACTAAAAGATTTCTAGTTGTTAAGCCATCACATTGTGTAAGATCTATGTATATACTTGAATCGTGCTATATGTATCGAATCAGAATAAATAAATAAATTAAAAAACTTATTTTAAATTCACATTCAGGACTTCGGCAATAAGATTCAGGTATATAGGTTTACCTGCAACCGCGTCGCGTTAAGTCTCGATTGTAAATTTAAAATACAAATATAAACATGTGTCATTTAAATTCCAAATCGAGACTTAGAATTGTTCCCGCGTGGTCCCGGCATAGAATAGGCTACCCCTTCCTATCCCGTGGGTGTCGTAAGAGGCGACTAATGGAGGGCGAGGAGGACAACAGCATCCCTTTTAAAACATTTCTAAAGCCTAACTGCGGTTGCCAATCCGCCTGCCAAGCGTGGCGACTATTGGAAAAACTCTCCTTGGAGGAGGCTTGTGTGTAAACGACGCGAAAGTTTAAAATTTACTATACTAACTAATTATTTACAAAAAGGTTTAAAACATCTATAATAAACCATTACAGATATTTCAATGTTTCGTTACTTTCTGTCTAGCTACATACTCAATTTATAAGAAAGAGACAAAACTTAGAATAAATATCGAATTTTTAATACATAACTCGCATTACATAAGACATTTATCTAAATAGATGCATTAGACTAATTAGTACATAATAACATACAGGTAACAAATAGGCATGCATATGAAGGCATGCATGGTGCGTGGTGCGACTTTGAAGAGCCATGTGCAATAATATGTAAACACTAGTATCTTGTCACATTAACTATTTACTACTATAGAGGGCGTTAAGCTTAAAAAAAAAACAAAAGTACTTCGAAAATCGTCACTGTGACAAAACAATAGAGTTTACATATAATTGCAGTCGACTACGATACTTACGTGGTGAAGCGAGGCGCGACCGCCGCATGACCGCAGACTCTGCATCTGTGGACATCGGGTTAGTTGCCGACACCACGCGTACAAACGTTAATTGTGCTATTACAACCTATAGCTAGAGCCACATTGGACCGATCTTCAGTCGCCGATCATCCGCGACGGAACAAATTGCATACAGTTGCTACAAACTGCGCGGAAGATCGACCACTGCGTCGATGTAACGCCACAGATACGCGCGATCTTCGATTGGCGGAAGATCGACAACGTATGATTTTTTTTATGCAACGTGTCACACTTTTTTTTTATACAACTTAGAATGGCAAATAAACTGACGACCAACCTGATGGAAAGTGGTAACCGTCGCCTGTAGACATGAGCAGTGCCATGGACATAACAGAGTATACTGTTTCGCCTATGATACCCCCCATGCGTTGCCATTTCTGAGGACTCAGGTGTTATTCATCCCTGTAAATTCACGCCATATCCCACCCTTCAAACCGTAACACAGCCATGCAAACACAACTGCTTCACGGTTGAAACATGAATGGGACAGAGGTGTCCAAGCAAACGACTTTTGTACAAAGTCTCCCTCTGGTAAACTCGGTAGACAGTCCGCGTTGGTAATAATAATAAACTTTACCTGAATTAAAATGCGTGTACACAATTTACTAAACAGTTAATACTATATTACTACACTAGGCTCGCAAGCCTGTATCGTAGTAGTCGGTGAGTGGCTAAAATGGACTAACTAATCCATATTTATTGCCGTTTACATGCCGGTTCTTATATAACTTTATCATTTAAGTATTCGAAAGATAAAATACATTTGAAATTAAATAAAAAAAAAAAATATATAATGCGCCAGAATATCGACGACCCAAGATATGTATGTGGTCCTAGTCTAAGAAACCAGTTGTCCAACACTCTTGCCATGTCCAGAAAAATTACATTTTTTTATTTCAGAATACATTTCTTAATCTAGGCATATCCGTTGGACAACTGGTTTAGAGTATGGAGCTTCTAACAGAAGTCATTTGCAGACAACATTTGTAAATCAAGTGTGAATATTTTTTTTTGTTACAAATGTGTTCTATTAGTAGCATTTAATAATATAAAATGTGCATAGACGTAACTGTTTCAAGTCAATAAGTCAAAATTTAGTAAATTTTAATAAAAGCGCTATATAAAATAATTAGTTTTTTTTTTATTAAATTACTCGCTACGGGACTAAAAATGTACAGCTTTAATTTTGTAATTTTGTGGGTAGTAGGTACTCTGTAGACCGGGATTGTTCGAAATTTAAATCATTTTACACATAAATTTGATTATCTTTAGATCATAACAACATTCATGAAGGCCATTGTTATATTTTGACTTATCTCTTATGTGTGCTGATGTGTTAGGAAACATTAATATTAGGGTGTAGCAATATACGTGTGCACTTTACAAGCAAGCGGTAAAGACTTGAGCGAGACATACTTGTAAGTCAATTATTACTCTCACACTTTATAGAAATACACAATTTACAGTCATTTCGAGTAATTAAAACAAAATAATAAATATTGCCAATACGATACTAGTTTCAAATAAAATCAATTTGGTGAGACTTCCGTAAAAAGGACCCAGTTTAATTAAACACCAAAAAGTACCAGAATGTATCTAAATACTCAAGATGGCTGTTATAAGAATATTATTTAATCGGTTAAACGTACAGTTAATAACAGTGCGTGTCACACATCTCAATCACCATACAAGTGCTACAACACATTGTGAGTATGAAGGACATACATACATAACTACATACACAGTCTATATTTCATACAAGCGAAAAACGACAATGTCTGAGATTAGAATTATCAATTATTTGATTGTCATAGCGAGTTATTACATTGCCTATATAGGATCGTATTTGACGACTTTTCAATAGAGCGACGACGACCGCGCCAGTGTTTTTTTTTTTTCTTACTGAATGCAAGTGCGTTAAATTTTTTTTATACAACTTAGTATGGCAAACAGGCTGACGGCCCACCTGATGGAAAGTGGTAACCGTCGCCTATAGACATGAGCAGTACTATGGACATAACAGAGTATCCTGTTTCGGCCATGATACCCCCCATGCGTTGCCATTCCTGAGGACTCAGGTGTTATTCCTCTGTACCCTGTAAATTGACGCCATATCCCAGGCGAGGGGCGCAGGAGGAACTATATAAACGCACGCACATGAAATTGCTGAATAGGCCGTTCATTTTAAAACTTTAGAGAATATTAATGCAGTACTTTCACACACGCCTAGATACTAGCCTAATTAAAATGTGTTGAAGTTTTAAAGTTACACAATCAAATATTACACTCACGCGAAGCCGGGACAGGTCGCTAGTATTTCATATAGATTAAGAATCATCGAACGAGATTCGAGATCACTTTGTTGACCATTGTTTGCCATTTATAGCCGCATAAACATGGATCCTATAACAGTGTAATAACACCAATAATATAATTTCCCGTAAATTATTTAAAAAAACAAATGACGATTGTCGCTTTTTTCTCTTTTTTTTCTTTTTGTTATTTTGAAAATAACAGTGCTGGTTAGCTTAACTGGGGTACACAGAATTAGAGAATAATTATCTAGAACTGACCTCGTTTAATATTCTAGCATTGTTCTGCAGCCGGGTGGTTAGCCTCGAGTTCTCGTCGCGCAACTCCGCCAGGCGTTTCGCGAACTCGTCCCGTTCCGCTTCTCTTTCTGTCGCCTGCTCCTCTACGAATTGTCGGGTCGAGCGTAGTTGACGGTTGGCCGCTTCCAGCTGTATTTTATTTGAGGTTTTAGAAATTTATAAGAAAATTGAATTTTCCAAAAGAAAAGTAGTAATTTAAAAAATTCTTATTGTTTGTTAATCGTATTTTATAACTGACTCAACATTAGACACATTTTAAAAAGAGCACTCTCTATTATATATATATATATATATATATATATATATATATATATATATATATATATAACACCTGAGTCCTCAGGAATGGCAACGCATGGGGGGTATCATGGGCAAAACAGTATACTCTGTTATGTCCATGGTACTGCTCATGTCTATAGGCGACGGTTACCACTTTCCATCAGGTGGGCCGTTAGCTTGTTTGCCATTTTAAGTCGTATAAAAAAAAAATAGAGACTTGAGATAAACTTTTAAATAAACTGACATTTTGCTCCTTAAGCCCAACTAGTGATAAAATTAAATGGCCATTAAACAGAATTTTGTATAGTAACTGATTAAGTCTATAGAATGACAATGATATGGGTTACCTTAGAGTCAAATTCTATACAAAAATATTATATATATATATATATATATATATATATATATATATATATATATATAAATAAAATATTATATAAAAGTGATAATCATGGTACAGTAATTGATATTAAATCATTTCATGCCTTGATGATTATCTAATAATATTAAATTTCAGATAAATAAAAAATTTATTTCATGTTTAAAGATATTAAAAAAAAAATAGTCATCCAAAGAGGCAATCCGTTCAGTAAACATTGATTTTTTTATTAAGAAACAACACAAATCAAAAGATCTCTCTTTACATATAAAAAAACAGTCAATGATATTTATAAACTAATGAACGGATACGTTAATAATAAACAAAAAAAAATCTAAATACATAATAATTTTTAATTTATGCCAATGTTAAAATTTGAATAAATTTATTGTGCAAAGTGTGTTTGTGAAAAGTGCTTATAAAAAAAAAAAATAAAAACAATCTTAATATTGTACATAATTACTTGTATTGTATACACGACAAGTACAAGTGCGATGCAAATAAAATTACACTACACTACATGTAAGCCATGCCGCGACAACACTGACATCTGTTTTATGTTTGTCCAAATATTTTTAATATAGGTACTATGCATTGTTTTATGTCAAAAAAATTTGAATATGGAACAATGTTTCCTGATAAAACTTTTGGAGGAAAACAGTTTGATATTTCTTTTTTTTTTTACAATTAGTCTAAGTCAATTTCAATTCAAATTTTATCACAACGGGCAAGACATAAAAAATAAAATAAAAAATCTAAAACAAACGTATAAGAAATTAGTATTTTGCATTATAAAAATGCATTTTCTGAGTTCATCACTCCATAAAAAAAAATTGTAACGAAGAGTAAACTAAAATTAGTATTTGGACAAACATCCCGCGTGCGCACAACGCGTGGTTACCTTCTCGCAGCATATCTTATGCACGGGTGAATCGGACATCCGTTTAATCTGGGCGTGCCATGTGCCAATTGCAAAATAATACATACAGTTGTAATAATATTGTTATAATACACTCACGTGAATATCATAAATAAATGTATGTACTCGTATCATATAGGGAATGAAGTTCTTTTGACAAACGGTAGATACGTTTTCATTACCGCATATATGAGAAAAAACACTATTTTGGAGTTGCTATCTCGTTCTATCTCATAGTATTTGGAAAATAATACATACGAGTAATATTATATTGTTATAATTCCCTGATGTGAATAATATGGATAAATATATATTTTTCCTATAAGGGATTAAGTTCTTTTGACACGACAAACGGTAGATACGTTTTCATTACCGCATATATCTTATCTTATTTTTCGAATATGGGGTCAGCTAAGCCGATGCACGTCGACCCATACGGATCTTTTGTGCTTATTACCGCATATATAAGAAAGAACAAGATTTTGGAGTTGCTGTCTCGTTCTATTTCATAATAATGGCAAAATAATATATTGTATTGTATAAAATAATATCTATTGTAAAAAAAAATATTATTTTGTTATAATAAAATTACTTGAATACTATTTATAAATATAGTTACTACTTGTCACACAGAGTATAGTCTCTTAGACATGGTAAACGGTAGATACGTTTTCACTACCGCGTGCAATAGAAAGAACTGGATATTGGAGTTGTTATTTCGCCCTAATTCATGTAAACGTGATGGTGACGTGGAAGATGTAGGATAATACGTGATATTTTTATCTTGTATATTATTACGTATTACTAGTGAAAACTTAACGTAAACATATTCAAACTGTCATTAATAGACTATTTGATAATACAAAAAATAGCTTTATTTATTAATTATGTATAAAACCCAAAAACAAAAATATATCTAGTACCACGTGATCGAAGAATACTTGGACTATATCATGACGTAATATGGAAGTAAACAACATGGGTGTCATTAATGTTACATCGGATTCTTAGTAGCGATATACGAATCATTCAAACTTAAGCGATTATGTTATTCGAATAAATTTAGTATCCAATTACTAATATTATTACTCGATTGCTAAATTTGAAAGCGTAAAACATCTAAATGTAAACATTGATTCTAACTTTAGATTGATTCTTTGCGTATTATGTGGGTTTCTTCGGCACCTTAACGAATAGTTTTTCCGGCGTCTTTATATTAGTATCTATGCACGCTGGCACAACATCACATTTTATTTACACAAAAAAAGTATAAATTAACAAAAAATAAATACTGACCAAATTCGTGTATGGCTCTAGACAATTGTTTACTTCCATGTGACGTCACTGACGCCATATCGCTCAATATATTTAATGTATATTTATTATTTGAAGAAATGCTTATTTGAATTAAAAATGATAATTTTAGAGGTTCTATAAACACCACTAAATAGTCTGAGATGATTTCCAGAAATCTGTCAAATAGCCTATTAAGTGTAACAAGTGATATAATATTATTAGCATCCTTTAATGGAGTGTTCTATTAATAAAAAGTTGAAATGCGGTAAAAAAAAATATTGAGCGTCCTCTACAAATCAGTACTGACACTGGTCATATTTTCCTTTCTAAGGATGCTAACGATTTTGATATCATCTTGTATATGTCTGAACAGTTTAGTCAATTTATTGCGATTTATACAATAATGAGGTACAATGTGAGAGTTTGACATGTGTACTGATAATTAAAAATAATAAACAAGTGGAGGACAGTCACCTGTTGGTGCAGGTCGTCGCGCTCTCGCTGCAGCAGGTCGAGGTCGCGCGCGAGGCGCGTGGCGGGCGAGGCGGCGGGCGAGGAGGGTGAGGCGGGCGAGGCGGGCGAGGCGGGCGAGGGGGGCGAGGCGGCGTCCGGCGGCGGGGGGCGGGGCCGCGAGCCCAGCGACCGCACGCCCGCCTGCCCCGTGCCGTACCTGCGCACAGACACACACACGAGTTTAGGGCATAAGAAGCAACCGACTAGGTAGGACCAACACTCATATATTAGGGGGAAAGGAAAAAAAAGAAAACTAAAAATTGTTAGTGATGGTGAGGTTAGACCCCATTGTTATCAATATACCCTATCAGGCCGACCTCCATATCGTGATTAATTCTTTAAATTCGTCACCGTAGGCCAATTAATCTTCGCCTATCACCCTTAACCGGTGCCCCGCCAACGTATACCGATAACACGAATGAGGTTACCATTAGAACAACACTTATATACTGGGGGGAGAGGAGATTGTTAACTCATTGCTAGCAATACACCCTGTCAGGTCGACCTCCTCGAGGTTCCCCCTGGAAACTATTGTGTTCTATTCCAAGCGAATTCATCACGATAGACTAACTGACCTGCCTTTTCATTCTCACCTATCATCCCTCACTGGTGCCCCGCCAGCGTATATCGTTAGCGCAGGCGGGGTTACCATTTCATTATCATCCATTATAAACACTCATATACTTATTCATGTACGTAGTATTATACATACAAATAAGTAAATAAACTATTACCTCATGTCTTTCCCCTTTTACAGTACAATCATATGTTATATTATCACGAGAGAATGAAATCTACGTATAAAAATGTTTCGAAACGGCAATCTTTAAAACACGTACCCCTCCGCAATGAGATCGGTGGAGTGGACGCCGTCCGCCACCGTCATCAGATGAGCGATCTTCACCATGGCCGCCTCCAGGTCCGAGCGCAGGAGGTTCTCGCGCTGCAGGCACTCCGCCATCGCTTCCTCCATCGTCTACATTCATACACATAAATGTATAAAGAAAAATATACAAAAGCGAACAAAACAATTCGATACCTATAAAATATGTTTTTTCTTCTTCATTATTTGAGAGACAGGAGTGAATCAGTAATGATTTTGAAATGACTTTTCAACAATGTTTAATTATGTTTATAAAAACATATATCCAAATGTAGCAAGTCAGAAGTATTTGTTGAACAATTATAGTGACATACAGTAAATGAAATATTTCCTATTTAAGAGCTGCGCTCTTGTCGATGAATCTCTTGCCACTCACTACGATTTTTTTTATACAACTTAGAATGGCAAACAAGCTGACGGCCCACCTGATGGAAAGTGGTAACCGTCGCTTATAGACATGAGCAGTACCATGGACATAACAGAATATACTGTTTCACCCATGATACCCCCCATGACTTACAATTCCTGTGGACTCAGATGTTATTCCTCTGTACCCAGTAAATTCACGCCATATCCCACCCTTCAAACCGAAACACAGCCATGCAAACACAACTGCTTCACGGTTGAAACACGAATGGGACAGAGGTACCCAAGCAATCGACTTTTGTACAAAGTCTTCCTCTGGTAAATGTTCATAAATTCTTTGTTTTTCCTTTTGACCCCAAAATTATAGTCATTTTTTTTTTATATATTTTACTACATGACTAAACTTCTTACATCCTCAGAATTAAATATTGTGTCAAAATTCAATAACTCAAAATTAGCAGAGTACGGTGTGTTTCTTTTGGGAAGGAATTGTTTCCTTCCTTATAGAGGAATTCTCCTCTCATTCCCCCTTAACATAAATGTAATCTTTATTAATTCTTACTAATATATATTATAAATATGAAAGTGTGTTTGTTACCTAATAGCGCCTTAACAACTTAACCAATCACTATGAAATTTAATATACACGCACTATATGCGATGGAAAAAAATATAGGCTTGTTATTCTAGGTTTTCATAGGAAACTCTATAGAAAAGACTTTCACAACGTGAACACAACCCAGTCGGCTAGTGTTAAACGGTACCTTTTTGTGTAGCTCGCAGTTGTCGCAGGCGGTGCGTCGCGCGTCCAAGTCCTGCACCAGCTCTGTTATCTGCACCTTGCTACATTCCAGCATCTTCGACTCATTGCGGCCCTCTGGAAGTGATTCGAATGCTTTCACTTATTATAAAATTCGAGTGCGTTTAACCACAGTTTCATCTAATGTTAAGTGATAACGTAGTCTAAGATGGATCATATAGATTCAAATTAAAACAAGCAAGTATAGAAGTAAACAGACGTGGACAGTGACTGTTTTATACTATTTAAGATTATGGTCCCCATACCTTGTCGAAAAATTGCTAAAACCATTTTCATTTACTTGCAGTTGAGTTTTTATGACTTTGTCATAATTTGCTGCATATTTGTAGTTATTTCGTCATATCAATTTATTGTGTAACTTTGTGATTTCAACACATCAATTTGTTGTGTATTTTGTGAAATTGACACGTCAATTTATTGTGTATTTTTTTACTTTACACATTAATTTATTGTGTATTTTGTGACTTTACACATCAATTTGTTGCGTATTTTGTGAAATTGACACGTCAATTTATTGTGTATTTTTTTACTTTACACATTAATTTATTGTGTATTTTGTGACTTTACACATCAATTTTTTGAGTATTTTGTGAGATTGACACATCAATTTATTGAGTATTTTATGACTTTATTCATCAACTTGTTTCGTATTTTCGTGACTGTGACAAATCAATTTTTTATATATGTTTGTGACTTTGCCTCACTTTTTTGAGTATTTTTTGTTACGTTCGTGTGTCGTGCGCTCGTATCTCCCCGGTACTCACTGGCGGCGATCCTCGAGGAGAGCTCGAGCAGGTCCTGCGCCTCGGCGCGCAGCCTGGTGAGCGAGTGCTCGAGCTCGAGCCGGATGTCGGCGCTGAGGTCGCGCTGCTGGCGCAGGAAGTCCACGACGCCGTCCTCCTCTAGCTCGCACAGGATGGACTGCAGGTCCGGCGCGAAGTGCACGTGCTTGCCGCGCGACACCACGCTGCTCGTGTTTAGGTCCGCGGACAGGTTCGGCGTGCTCGGCCGGGATTCTTCGTCAGCTAATGGCCTATCAACAATTTTTATGGCTAGAATCATTTACCACCCGTAACCCGTGATTTTGACTGTATTTTACTAATATATAATAGTAACTAGACAAAAAATTTATATGAGGGATATATATATATATATATATATATATATATATATATATATATATATATATATATATATATATATTATATATATATATATTATCTGTCTGTATGTTTGTTCCGGCATTTGCAGATTTTATCACAATGAGGAAGAAACCCCGCAGCACTTATACCTATCACCGATAGGAATTAGCAGCGAACTATAAAAAAAGAGCGACCACAAAAGATCATGAAAAGATCATTTTCTGCCTGAAAAAGGCTCCTCTTTCAATAATGATAAATACCGGTTATATATTACATATTTATTCCCGGCGTCGCCGCGAACAGCTGCCGATCATGAAGCGAATCGAAATCGGACGCGTATAAGAGAGATGAGCACCCATAATAACTAAAGTAACAACTGTTGGCGCGTTTCCAAACTCAGGACATTATTAATTTCGCGCGTAAACCCTCCCAAGCGAATATAGCTGCAATTAGTCGCTCTAAAGCACCGTGTATATGTTGCAGGCAAAACTTTAATCCAGTCAAAAGTACTTTTGACTGAACAGGTTGGTCAAAAATGGTTTTCATTGAAAATTATCAGTTATTAGTAATTTTAACTCTGTTATTTTAGTCAAAAGAATTATTGACTAAAGCATACGGTCAAAAGTACTTATATATATATATATATATATATATATATATGTATGTTCATGTCTATAGGCGACGGTTACCACTTTCTATCAGGTGAGCCGTCAGCTTGTTTGCCATTTTAAGTTGTATATAATATATATATATATAAATATATATACACATACATACATACATACATAGGGTGATGTAGAAACCATTAGCATCATTTTAAGGGTTTTTTTAATGGATAAAAATGGAATGGTAGCCCCGCTTGCATCGTTCGTCCTACACTGCCTTTACCCGCATGGGATCGCCGCTCAAGAACCTTTCTTTCCCGTCGGTTGTCGATTCTTTGAGCCATGTGACTAGTCTATTGCCACTTCGGTTTATTTATCCTTCGTGCGATATCGTTTGTTGTGATACAATTAAGACAAAAAAAAATATACGTGGAATTATGGATGTGTGACGGTTTAATTGTGTTAAATTTCTGAATCGTGTTCTCCTACCGGTAAAATAAAAAAGTGCGCATAGATTATTATAAGGAACGACCCTTTTTTTTTAACATCTGGAAAATGCTTTATGCAGACCCATGCACCTTGTGGGAGGTGAATGGGTACAGTCGGAATCCCCCCGTAAGGTGGGAGAGTATACCCACCAAAAACCAGACGATACATCCTCGAGGTGCCATATGTCGAAGACACGGGTTCGCTTTCGCACTCACCAGATCTCCGACGGCAGCGACCCGCCCCCTTATGGTAAGAGCAGGTCTCCTCTCTCAAGATAGGGTGGATGGCGTGCTCACCCTACCACTCAGGGATAAGGAACGACCCTAATGTACTTGAAGAGCTATTTAAGAAAGAACAGTTACCAGAGGGAGACTTTGTACAAGTCGTTTGCTTCCTATCTGTCCCATTCGTGTTTCTAACGTGAAACAGTTGTTTGCACGGCTGTGTTTCAGTTTGAAAGATGGGATATGGCAGTGAATTTACAGGGTACAGAGGAATAACACCCGAGTCCACAGGAATGGCAACGCATGGGGCGTACCATGGGCGAAACAGTATACTCTGTTATGTCCACGGTACTGCTCATGTCTATAGGCGACAGTTACTACTTTCTATCAGGTGGGCCGTCAGCTTGTTTGCCATTCTAAGTTGTATAAAAAAAGTAAACAGCCAGCGTGGTGTATATGCACCTTAGCAGAGTTATCCGAGTATAGGCTAAGCTAAAGACATGGTAAATCAGCGTATTCGTTTGGCTACTGTCCTAGCGTTGTTTATGGTGGCGATATGAGTCAGTGAGCCGCCTGATGGGGATTTATTGTGGACGCGTGTACTGCAACGTTTAGTAGACACAACAATCTTTGTGCATGCACGATGTTTCGGTAGCACGTTGTACCGAAATAAAAGTTGCACATTACTTTTTATTAACGTATGTAAAAATTCGTAAAGTTTTTTGAAATGCCTGTTATTGAATTATACCAGAGTATAAATAATAGAAAAATATAGTCGCCGTATGGTCCCGGCATAGAATGCAGCCTTTCCTTTCCCGTGGGTATCGTAAGAGGCGACTAAGCCATTGCTAGCAATATACCCAACCAGGTTCACCTCCTCGCGGTTCCCCCTGGAAACTATCATGGTTAATTCCTGATGAATTCATCATGATGGGCTAACTGGCCTGTTTCCATTCTCATCTATCACCCTTCACTGGTGCTCCGCCAGCGTATCCCGTTAGCGCAGGCGGGGTTAACATACCATTTTCACACATCAAAAAAGAAAAAATAGAGGCGACTAAGAGGAATTAATGGAGGAGGAATGGGCAGCAGCGTCCCCCTTAGAACATCACCAAAGGCCAATTGCGGATTTATGTCATTTATAAACGCATATGAACTATGGCGGATATACACCATAAACTGTATAACATAAATTTTTACCTAAAAGGATATACTCTCAGATTGGCCCCATAGAAATGTGATCTGTTTAATAACTTAGTTTTTAAATCTAAGTTATCAGTTTTAAAAGATTTAATATACACAGTAGATATAATAATAATAATAATAATAAATCTCTTTATTTTCAGGTATATACCCATAATTAACATTTTTATATTATTAATTAAATAAATTGTTATTATTATTTTTAAAATATACATCAATTATAAAATACCAATTTAAATTATTTCGTTATAAAATCTCTTGTCGTCAGGTGTGGTGTGTATGATATAATAAAACATTATTTCTATTGTGTCCATCGACGCGATATTATCATTAATTATTATGCGATTACGTTAAATAATTATAAACATCAAAGTATGTGCATTTGCAACAATAATATAGATGCACTAAATCCTGCATCGTATCATTGCACGACCCACATTCGCGGCGCGAAAATAATACTGGCACAGACTGGACGTCTCCACGTCTCGACTTCACACCAACGTCTAAAATCAGTTAAGTGTGGCATTTTACTAAATTACGAGAATATTCTACAGGATGTGATTTGAGGCTTTCCCCGCATAAATTAGGACCTATATACATAATTATCAACTTCGAAAAAAGAAGAGATACTCAATTTGTAGGCTGTATTTTTTTTTAAGTTTGTTACCTCATAACTTCGTCGGCTGTAAACCGATTTGGAAAATTATTTTTCTATCTGAAAGGGTATTTATTTTATTTTATTTATTTATTAAATACAATAAATTTACAACGCGAGTACATTGGACCCTGGACTCGGGGAACCTGTATCGCGGGAGTCCATAAGAGATTACCAAGACACGGTGATTTACAAATATAAATTAAATTAAATCAGTAAGCCAATTTTACGAAAACAACAAGTTAGAATGAAGTACGTCCGTATTACTGACAATAATTGTCAGTAATGCGGACTATCTGTACTATAGTCACATTGCCCTATCAGGTCGACCTCCACGTGGTCCCCCCTGGAAACCGTCGTGTTGAATTTCAAGTGTATTCATCACGATGGGCTAACTGACCTGCTCTTTCATCCTCACTTATCACACTTCATTGGTGCCCCGCCAGCGTATACTAATGGCGCAGGTGCGGTTATCTTTCCATTATCATCCAATAAAAAAAATACACTCACTCGTCGCTGTCAGTGAGCCGGTGCAGCAGCTGCGCGAGCACGGTGCGGTTGAGCTCGTCCTCGGCGCAGGCGCAGTACGCCACCAGTTGGCCCACCACGCGGTGCAGGCTCACCGCCACGCGCTTCAGGCCATCCCTGGAACATTGTTTGTGGTATACCAGATGGACAATCACGACACACAGTCATTATTACGAGCGCCTCTATCTACTAGTACAGTACAAGTACAGTGGGGGGAGAAGGGATTGCTAGTAATGGGGACTAGTAGCCCCATTGTTAGCAATATACCCTGTATATAACATGTTAACATGTTAAGTTAAGGGCTCACTTGATGGAAAGTAGTAACTGTCGCCTATAGACATGAGCAGTGCCATGGACATAACAGAGTATACTGTTTCGCCCATGATACCCCCCATGCGTTGCCATTCCTGACACAGGCATAGTTTACTCACACATTTAAACAACAATAGGCTTTTAAGTAATTTTCCCCGGTAATTAATTTACAAACAGTACAATTAACAGAAAAATATTACGTAGTAAATATTCGGTAACCAATAAAGGTTCCACTAATACCTATTACAGGGGGGAAAACGATTGTTAGCAATGGAGTTTGACAGCCCCATTGCTAGCTATATACCTTATTAGGTCGACCTCCACGTGGTTCCCCCTGGAAACCATCGTGAACAATTCTTATTGAATTCGTCATGATGGCCTAACTGACCTACTTCATCCTCACGTATCATCCCTCACTGGTGCCCCGCCGGTGTATACCGATAGCGCGGGTGGGGTTTCCATTCCATTATCATCCATTAAAAAAAAACCTATTACACACAGAGCAGACAAGGTTTGATATACAGCGATAAAATAATATGTAAAGGACGCCCTACCTTTCCTTAGTGACCTCCTCGAGGTGCCTGTTCTGGTCGAAGCTGTGGTTCCGTCGCTGTTTCCATTTGCCCTCGCCGCCTGACAGCTCGTCGCGTAGGCTTGACAACTGTCGGCAACATTGTATCGGTTTTAGTTATGCTGGCAACATACTACTTTGTACAATTTATTTGATCGTTGACTTAAACCAGTAATTAATCTAAAAAAAACTTTTTAAATAAAAAAAAAATCACTTAATACAAGGAGTGGTAGTATTTACTATCTTTATTTAAAGGTCTTTGCCTTTAGTCTCTGCCTCTCGTGTAATGGAGTAGTACTTATTTATATAGTACAGGCAGTCTCTTCAGGGGGAGGAGGGGGACAAGGGATTGTTAGTAACACGGATTACCAGTCCCAATGCTAGCAATATACCTCGTCACTTCGACCTCCACGTGGTCCCTCCTGGAAACCGTCGTGTTGAATTTCAATTGTATTCATCACGATGGGCTAACTGACTTGCCTTTTCATTCCCACCTATCATCCCTTACTGGTGCCCCGCCAGTGTATACCATTAGCGCAGGCGGGGTTACCATTCCATTATCATTCATTAAAAAAAAAAAAAACACGTTCTCTTCAATAATTAATGAAATATATTGCATAAACCTTTCGCGATTAACTATTATCAAATTAAAAATATCCAATTAGGTCGCTTATAAATACTTATAAACATATATATTTTTTAATATAATTATATTATTCTCATAAGTCATAAAATCCGTACCATAAATCTCCGAAGCATCACCATGATGGGTTGTTCACATCGTGACCAATAATACCGCACAAATATCACAACGTTACCAAATGTCCACTATTGTCAATTCATTGTTTTTCATTATTTGATAACATTTATTATATATATGTATTACGTAAACAACACTTAAAATAGTAAATTGGTCGCTTAATTATAATAACATGCCTGTAGTAATAATATTCTGGTACATTTTAATATATACCTACAAGTTAGAATAATACAATATTGGTTACATCATTGTCTCTCAACCATTTTTATGTCGCGACCCACAATTAGACGAAAAGTCTTGCGACCCCGTCTCTTTAAAATTATAATAGTATTTAAATTAAAAATTAATAATTTAATAAATAGTTTAATTAATAGGTTTTTTAATTTAAAATAATAGTTTATTTATACGTTTAATAATTAGTAATCCATCAGAATAATGAAACCAAAGTCCTTTCCCTGTATTCATTACTACCACCCCACTATCTTAACAATAGGTGATAAAATCATCATCATCATCATACCAGCCATATAAGCCTCCCCTTGGGGGGTTTTGCCAATAGTTGCCAGTAAAAGTTTCAAATTAAATTTATAATTGTATAACAATTCTTACATGCATACTCTAAGACAATTCCACATATTTTCCTAAACTCCAATCTCTAACAGATATATAAGTGTTTTTGATGTGTGAACTTAAGAGAAAAAATAGTTACCTCTGGATATACTATAGATCCAGAAGGCTTACCATGAAATGTTTTCCGAGATTTCGTGTTCGAACGAAATAGAAATTTGATATTAAAATTACATGATATTATATCGTTTCAAAATATTTTAAATGTTAAATATATCGTTCCTTTGAATTTTTATAGTAGGATTTATGATGAACGAAATGTTAAGCCCCATTTACTAGGTCGATATATGCATCAACAAAAACACGAATAGGAGTCCGAAAATGCGGAATTTTATTTCTTTGTACACTTTGTGGATCCCTGATTATAAGCATAAAAATCAAACGGAGATAAAAAATAGTGAAGTGCTTACAAAACACACATGTGTAAAAACAGGCCAACATTATATTATGAGATGTTATCTGCACAAATAAACGGAAATATAGCAACTAGGACAATTTTTTTTGCTAGTAGTAATGCTTTGATAAGCATTAAAATGTTCACTTATTAAATTTAATAGAAACAGACATTATGCTCTGAGAATCCAGGTCTGAAATGAACTTTTGAGGTGACGATTCGGCTGTATTTTTTTTTGTTTGTTAACTCATAACTCCATTAGTTATAAACCGATTTAAAAAAAAAAAACTTTTTTTTATCTAAAAGCATATACTTATAGATTGGTTCCATAGAAATTCTATTCAAGTAAGTCAAGTACTTTAATTTTTAAATCAAAATAAGTGAATTTGCTACAATTGAAGTCTGTTTTTCTTTTGGAATACAATGTTAAGTTATAATTTTAAAGTTAGATAAAGTTAGTTAAAGTTTAGAATTATTATATTTGTTGGATCAGTTGTAATGTGATTTATATGTGTGTGTATATATATATATATATATATATATATATATATATATATATATATATATATATATATATATATATATATATATATATTGCGAAATATCGCGATTAAAATACAGGGGTTGATCTAAACAAGAAAAATTGATGTAGTATATAAATAATATGTAATACTTTATCTACATATCAGCTTTTAACTGTCCACTGCTGAACATAAGCCTTCTCCTCGATGGGTTTTGCCCATGGACATAACAGTGCAATTTCTCACTCCTTTACATAGAATTAACTGTGCTAACAAGGGGAAGAAGGGATAAATACATGGGAATTAGCAACCCCATTGCTATCAATAAACACTATCAAGTCGACCTCCTCACGGTTCCTTTTGGAAACCATCGTGATTGATTTATTGTTAAATTTGTCACGCTTGGCAGTCGGATTGGCAACCACAGTAAGGCTTTAGAGATGTTTTAAGAGGGAAGATAGGCAATGAGGTTAATCATTATTCATAAGTATTTATAAAGAAAAATATTAATTATATATATATATATATATATATATATATATATATATATATATATATATATATATATATATATATATCACTGCTGTTCATTCCTCGCACTCCCTTAGTCGCCTCTAACAACACACACGGGAAAGGAAGGGATGGCCTATTCTATGGCGGGACCACACGGCCATATGTAATTCACCTATCACTATTTGCATTTAAATATTTATTTGTATGTGACATGCAATAAATAAATAAATAAAATCTCAGTCAACTGTGGATGTAGATAAAAGCAAGCCTATTATTAACTAAGAAGTTAATTAAACGATAAAATAAAAATGTAAGTTTAATTTATCGATCGAGACTCTCGTTCAATAATTATAACAATCTCGATTCGAGATTATCTAACCGTTAAATATTTACACATTTTCATGTCTATAATAAAATAGAAATAACTCACATGATCGCACAATGAACGCTTGATTAGAAATTTACGTAAACTGTACAGAACACCACAAAATTATTCCTTCAATTTGCGTAATGCAGTAAACTCACTGTCATGACAGCATCACACTGTATTGTAAACTAACCGAGGAATTACGACTACCCACGTAAACAGGAACAAAACAAAGCCGACTGTGCACTGTCAGCACTGCTATGCACAGAAATAATTTGGGGGAAAAAACGTTGTCAAGTGTGAGTCGCAGATGTGAAACAATGTACTTGAACATCGATGTTATGAACTGGATCAAATAATACAATTATCAATTTTTATATATATGTAAGTACGTGGGTATGTATGTGTATAAAGGATGCACTTACCAACTTACTAAGAAAGTACTTTATAAATGTAATGTATATATTATTATTTGTTATTATTATTTAAGTGGTACCGTACGATAAAATATCGACCATTAACTGCCCCTCCTATCCCCCCTTCCTCCATAAGAGTGGTTTGGCCAATAGTTGCCACGCTTGGCAGGCTGGTTAGCAGCAAAAAATTTAGTTGCAAAAACAAATCTATTTATGTTATATTATTAAGAATGATCAAAAATAAGTAAATTTACTCCCGCAAATTAAGAAACCCGATTGATCTGCTAAAAATAAACTATTTATAGCCAAATATAGCCAGACTTATTGGAGATGATCTAAATATTCTAACGATAAACAATATATCCGAAATTTCATTAGGCATTTAGAAGTTATAGTGGAATAAAGAAACTCACATACATATATAAACCCTAAAAACATTACACTCCCTTTTTGGACAGTCGTGTTATATAATTAAAAGACTGTCCAAAATCAAGAAATCAGATTAGACTTCGCGACTAACAATAAATAGAACTAAGAAAACTTTGACAAAGATAGGTACTGCTGGGCAAAAGCCTGGTTGACAGAATTCTCGTATGAAGTCTAAATACTTAATCTATACTTATAATAAATCTGTAAAGAGGTCAATTCTATACATGAAATATATTTCCAAAATAACTATCAATGGGCGATTAGTGATCGATACTGATGCCAAAAATGCAATCAGTAAATTTTTGTCTGTCTGTCTGTATGTGCGTTATAGACACAAAACTACTTAACGGATTTTAACGAAACTTGGTACAATTATTCTTCATACTCCTGGGCAGGTTATAGTATACTTTTCATCACGCTACGTTCAATAGGAGCAGAGCAGTGAAGGAAAATGTTAAAACAACTGAACCGTGAGGATGGACATAGGCTACTTATTTTACGAAAAACGACGGAAACGCGGACGAAGTCGCGGGCAACAGCTAGTAAAAAATATAATAAAAATTTAAAAAAATTGGGGTTAAGAACATGTTGACATAATTAATAAGGAACCCTAAAAATACAAAACGGAACACGTGTGACTCGATCCCCTGCACACGTGTGCACGATGCGGGCAAGTTCATCTGAACTGTATCACTTTATTGCAACCGAATAAGGGCTGTTTTTGTGTGTACCTATTTAAAGTGAAATATGTTACCGGCGATGATAACTATGTTGCAGCCCATTGCATTGTGGAATTCCAATAAGAAATTGTATTTCCGTGTGACGACATGTACTATATATCACTGCTCGTCTTCAAAAGATCTAGTAAAGAGCGACGACAAAGCAGCGTTGCCAGCTTTACGTATTTTTTACGCAATTTTTGGGAAAATATTTTATGTTTGCAAAACTTTGGAAAAATGAAATTTTTGGAAAAATTTATGTGTCTACTTTTTATTGGATAGATTCACTCTCTCCGCCAGCATATCCCGTTAGCGCAGGCGGGGTTACCATACCATTTTCACCC